GAGGAGCTGAAAGTCAAACCAAACTCCTCCGTCAAAGCAAACCCAAGTCGTCCGAATTTTGTGAACCGGAAGCCCAACTTAAAGCTGTCCCTTACTTTCTCTCTCAGAGCCTCCGCGTGGGCTTGTGTGTGGCTGCAGTTGAGAGCTGACAATAAGGCTCACACCACTTCTGCTCCGGTTCTTAATTGTTGGCTGGACTGAGCATGAGACTGTGGAGCATTATACAACTCTCTCGCTCGTTCGCTCGCTGAAGCTGGGGAAAGTTGCTCAAAGAAGCAATAATTAGAACCAGAGGGCAAATACTCAAGTGGAATTGTTTACATTGTGCAGAGCCTTTCCATAGTTTGCATAGTTTGAGACACTTGATCGGGTAACAATAAATTTGCATGAAAGGGACGTTTAGCCAAGATGACAAGAATATCTATCAAATATACGAAGGGAAAGTTGAGAATGTGTTTAAAAAATTGCAATTTTCGCACTTGCACGTTTCATCTGTTTTAATCACCGTCTAAAATTACGACATGTACTTACGTAGAACTAACGAACGTTAAAAGATGTAGATTTACTATTTACAAAAGTCTGAATCTGCATGCACATTAATGAAATTTAAACTCGCTAATTCTATTTAATTCGATTTGAGCATGTTTTTGTGTTGTGTGGAAAGTTTACCAAATTGGAAGTTAATGGAATGGAAAATTGAACCTTTGTGAGAGCAAAATCCGATATTATTATGGGATTGAATTTCAGCAGCAGGTGAAGGAGAGGCCGAGGCAAATCATAATCTCGCATTGTGCAATACCTGCGAATTCAGTCGGCTCAGTTGGTCGAATACGTTGTTGTAATCCCACTTTAATTTCTGCTCCACACTCGATTTCACTCAGGAGGAGGACTAATCGGACGCCCTGACTGACAACCCACCCAACTCTAACCAACAGCTTTATCCATTTTATTACTTCACGTCCACTAACTCATCCTCATTTCCTCCGCAAACACACGTTGGACCCGTTTCGTAGGGTGATCGAGCAGCAGAGTAAATCATGAAAATGCGCCTCGTCACTTTCACTCCAGTCGGATGACATTCTTTTCCAATTTCCAGGAGCCTTCTCTCCCGGGCGACCATGACGCTGGCTCAAGTGCTCACTCACTGTGACGACGACGAGGTGACGACGAGACTCGCAGGGTGTAAACTATCCTCAAACAAAGGCTGACTCGGCACCTCAGCACCTCTGGGTTCGAAGAAATGCGCGTAATTGCTAATAATTTCCGACTTCATAGCCGACCTGACGCGCGGTGTGGCAACTGGTGAGACCAGACTCACCACAGGACAACTAAAAACCAACTTTCCAAAAGATTTCCGCCTCCACTCACCCTCATGTCCTTCAAAGTTTGCATAGAACGTGTTCGCCCAGGTTGGAGAAAGTAGTGGTGCTCAAGACTACAAACTTTTGTGACAGCACACCAACCAACCATCCCTGCCCATTTCCTTCCTCGCAAAACTTATGACCACCAACCTGCACCACAATTTGCCATGCATACGGACCATGTGCTCATGAAACTCGCATTAGTGCTGCGTTGGGTCGTGTCTAGTCCAACAGGGCCACCACACACACTCTCGGAAGCATTGTTGACATTGGCAGGAGAAAAGTTTGGAGATGGATTCCAAATATGTCACAACTTTATTCGGGGAATGTCCAGTTCTCGGAACACCAACGGTGGTGCTGACGTATGACGAATGAACCGCACGACGAGGTCTCGCTCTCAATGGGTGGGTTATTTCTACGGAGCTTGGTCACTTCGAAATTCATTACGTCGTTTTCTGTGTGGAGGTGGTCACTCCCACCGCGATGATTCAATATTGGTCACGACCACCTACATGCATGCATACTCTTCCCACCAGAATGGACGCAACGTCTGGCAGTAAAAAAAAATATTATGCAAACTCCCAGAACTCGAAATTAGAACGCTGTGACCATTTTAAACTGGGTCGCTCGCTCTTCCCGTCAAATTATGGGCAACAAATGTGAGAGATCAGGACGAGGAGCGAGTCAAATCCAGGAATGAAAAAGTGAGTGGCTTACAACCTCAGCCAGCGAGCGAGGGAGCAAGGATTAATGGAGGAGTACTCTGGTGAGACAAATGGGTCGAAATGGAACACAATTTGTTCCCTGGTCCGCTCTACACGAAGTAAGTGACTGACTGGCCATGGTGTGTGTAGCCTTTCTCATTGACCTTTACATTCGGATGAAGAACTTGGTTGTGATCGAAAGCAATTCAAACACCACCACCAGCCGCCCGCCCGTTCGCCCGTCCGTCCGTCCATCCGTCCCCACACGTTGGATAGATATTCATTCCTCCTTCGCTATCACTCTGCCGTGCACCAGCAAACTTTCTCCTGCGACCTAGATACACTGGGAAGAAGTGCAGTGCAAGTAAATTAGAGGAGAGCGAGAGAGAGAGAGCCAGTTCTAAAGGTTTCATTTATTCACATCCACTCGAGAGTAATAATAATGCGAGTGGAAGGAAGGAACACGCAAATGTTGGACTGTTCAATGTCGCGATTTATTCGTGTCGATTCCTATCCACGTCAGTGTCTCTCCTTTTGAGCCTACGTGGTCGCCTCGCTTCCTGTGAAGCACAATCTTTCCGTCTCACCAAACTAATTCGGAATAACAAAAACATTTCGCTCAAAGTATTTTTCTTGTCGTCGGTTCAAATGAGTGGGCCATTGTTTTCTGCTCTCGTTGGATCGAGTACGCAATTAAACGACTCATTTCCCTCCATGTCATTCCTCGTATGAATTCACTCTCTGTCTTTCTCTCTCTGGGCTTGTGGCTGGCAGGGTGTGGATACATGGAGAAAGCGAGAGCTTGGGGAAAGCGGATTAATTTCCCATATAATCCTCGCAACTGCTCCCTATCAGCTCTGTTTTCTGTGTCTACCTGTGTGCTCACATAGCACTTTCTGCTGACTACAACTTTGTTCACAAGTTGCACGCATATGTTCCTTGCGATTGCTCGTTACGATCATGGGAGCAGTTTGTGCTGAGATGTGTGGTTATGTGACACATGGACATGGGCGACCACTCCACCAGACCCAAGACGACAGTGGCTGCATTGTCACTGACATGTACATTCACTCATCGATTTCTCAATTTCGTTTTTGCTCATAAAATTATGCGTTATTTACAACAATGATGGATGGTTTGTCAATTTGGATAAATTTAAATTCCTGCCCCGCCCAGTAATTTCTTGTACATGGGACACAGCAATTTCTTATTTTTCTGATTACTTTGCAAAGGCTGGGAGGAAAAGCTATCATTCAATTTCACAACTTAATGTGTAAGCTCGAAAAAGATTAAAAAGTGGAATCGTTCCATTCCAAATCGGTTTCATGAACTTTTCCAATTTCCCTTCTCTTCCTGGCCGTGTGTGCACATTCGTTCGCCGGGGCTGCCAGGTTGGGCAGGCGGGCTCAATTTCTCTGAAAACTCTGACTTCACCTCATCCATTATTAAATCTGACTTTTCGCATTAGTTGATTTGATAGAGTAATACTTTGTCATTTGCAGTGTATCAATACTTGAGCAGCGCGAGGAAGGAGATACCAAACCAATTTTTCCCATATCCACCAACCAATAATGGTCTCCCCATCAAAACCTGGCTTTCCCTTCCACCAGCTACACCCGCACCACCACCACCACGAGGCTCTGCTCACCTCACCTTTCCCAGCATCACCAGCACTTGCACTTTATGCAGCACATACAAAGTGAAAGTTTGCCATTTCCCATTAAATTTGCAACCCATCAGAGTTTCATGTTCGCCCATCGACAAATAATGATACCGTGTGACGACAAATGCATATTATTTGGCTCCAAATTGTGTAATAAAATCACCTCTGAAATGAAGAGTGGGATGAGCACGACTTGTTGAAATGACAATTATGCAGCAGCTGTAACTCTTGAGAGTGCCTCGCTTGGAGGTATAAATGACTAATGAATGGGACACCTCTAACCCATGTCCTCTCCCAGTGACGGCGTCCTCCTTCCTAATGGGGCTTGACACTCTCAACTGGCGTGGACGTGTGCATTCTCGACATTGAATTAATTTCAAGTTTGTGACTCTACCACCACGTTCTGAACGACTTGAGATGTACAATAAGCAGGGACGAGCGATGAGTTATTCTTAACTCGCTCCCTGCACAAACAAGCGTCTCGATATATTTGACTGACCACCCCGCCCAGTCAAGCCTACGCCCTAACCCAGAGTCTCTAGATTTTGAGAGTTCATCAAGCTCGTGCTCTATAATAACCAGCAGCTTGTCGAGATATTCGTCCTCCCGTGACAGTAGTGCAGCTTCGAAAGGAGTGGTTTACTCGACCCAGCCACATTTACTTTCACCCATTTCTTTCCAACCTGGCCGGCTGTGGAGTCAAGAGTGGATGTTCCTGTTTATTATGCAAAAAGCAAGAGTGAGCATTGTGCCTCTTTCTTTCCAGTCCAGAAAATAAAAAAAGTCTCCATTCTAGGAACGGGGGGAACTTTTGCTTCACGACTCTGAGGAAATTCGAGTCTCACAATTCAAGAATCAGTCCACTTTTTAACTCTCCGGCCTCGACGTGTCACCAATATCAATCAACTTGAGAGATTTCTCTCCCTGCCTCGCTCTTCTCCATTCCACTACATGCCAGGCCACCCACCAGGGATACACTAGCATTTCCGAACATGCAGACCCAATAAAGTACATGGACGAAGCATTTCCGGCCTTTGGGGCAATGCGAGAAAGTTGTGGTCTGACCGTGATGAGACTTATTTGTATGTATGACTTTCTGGTACTCTGTGTGCAACTTTCTTTCACCGTCTTCAGAAATACTTTATCGCCTCACGATGCTAGAAATGCCTCGCATATGCGAAATGTAGCTTTTGCGATGCTTGGACACATCGTCATGTTGTTATCATTTGAAACTTATAATCCAGAGGGACGGCATTTGGGAATGATTCTTACCTTTAAGTATAAGCCGATTTTGTGTCGCATCCGTTTTACTTTGAGGTTGAGGCTCTGGGGGAGCTTTGGTTGCTGCTGCCAGTGCTGGCCACGTAATTGGGGAAATCAAGACCAAGGCTGAGTAGCTTTTAAATAAATAAATGGCAATATCCCAGCAAGGAAGACTCTTCTCCAGTGGTGCTGACTTTCTCCTCATCGCAGCAGCTCATCCTCCCTCCCTGTTTGCACTCAATAACGCCAACAAAGTGCAGGACAGACGAGTCTCTAGTCCAAGCTAGCTAAATTACACTCCTCGCTCCGTCACAGTCAAGTCTGGCAAATGCTTCCGAAAAAGAAGGAGGTGAGCGAATATCCACCAATGTTTTCTCCCAGTAGCACTTTGTTAGGTCACAAACAACGTGTTCTGAATAAGGTGCAAATCATAAAGTGCATGCACCGCTAATGCCTCGCAATATGTACAAAGCGTCAATGAAAACCAGAAGAAAGAAACATAAAATGTTCGAGAGGCTTCAACTTTCTCACATTTTGCACACTGGTTCACGTCTCATGTTGGTTGGCAAGAGGAGAAAGTGAGCTCCGTCCAGTCGTTGTCTCAAGTCGCCCCCAACAACGCTGAAGAGTATCGACTTTCCCAGTCTATTTTATGATGACCACTTGTCTCTCTCCCAACGTCGGACGACTGACAAGACTGGGAGGCAGCAGCCCAATTATTTCCGTGCTTTATGATCTCCCCACCCTTTCTTCCTCTCTTTCGGAGGTAATGAGAAGGGACGAGAGTGTGGGGGCGATGTAATATTATTGGCGAGATGATGAGCTGGAGGAGAACGAGTCCAGCCGTGGCACAGGTGAGGAGAGCGAGTTAGTTGGATTTATGGGAGGAGGTGGTGGTCGTGTTGTGAGCAGGGACGCCGGAATTTATGGACTGAGGGCATTCCTATCCGGCCAAGTGGACCAAGTTCTACCCGGAGTCTACCACCACCACCCGCCCGCATGTCACCCGTCACTTTCCCTCTCTCTCCTCCTGCTTGCTGCTCCCTCAACCCGGCCAAAAACTCCTCTCTCTCTCGTCCCCAATTACTTATCATCATCATCATTTCTTGAAATAACAAGGAACGCTTATCTCTCACATCATTGCTCTGTCTGTGTGTTCGGGATGGGTGGGTGCGTCTGGCCGACCGACACACCCCGTCGTCGACGGGCTGTGCCAAATCTGGACCAAGAGGATGATACCATCTTCAAGAGGAATTGTTGCTCAAACAGTCAAATCATCATACTTCTAAATTGGTTTCTTTCCTCTGCCTCGGTTCACTCTGCTACTTTCACCTTTCTCCATATTCCTCTCTCGCTCGCTCTCTCCGCATGCTTCGCGAAATCACATCAAACCAAAACAAAGTTTATTTCATCCACGTACTCCAATGCTCCCTCGACCTTTCTCTCTTTGCGAATCGGCATCTTCATAGAGACGACTGCCGTACGCCAACCAGGTCGGGCGGGCGGGCGTATGGATGTACGGACTATCATTCCTTTGTTGCTGTCTCCTGCTCCTGGGCTGAGATGCTGCTGTGCCGTGATGTGCATGCACAGAGGAGGAGTGGGCCTCGCATGTGCTGCTGGTTCCCTTGAACCACCTGAGAATTGCTTTGTGAAACAGTCCTTCGTCATTGATTACATAAATCCATGGCAAACAAGAGAGCGATGCTTTCATCTGGGGCACATGAGTTTTTACGGCTTTAATTAACTCCTATTTCACCAGGCTAATGAAATGAAACTTCACGAGGACAATTGCAAACAGATGGATGAATGGGAGGAAGAAGCCTTGGTGTGTCGAGCCCAGTTTACAAAGGGCAAATAGGGACACATGATAGCGCCTCTGTTTGTGTCGCATTCGATGGCTCGACACCGATATGAAGTGCTTAAGTACACCCGGGCTGAAAAGGCTCACCTGTTTTGTCTTCCTGATATTGACTCGTTGTTTATTTTGCTAATGGGAAACACAAGTTGGGTCTCGTTGGGAGGAGGATAGGACGAAGAACGCGGAGGCGGAAGGGCAGGGTGTTGGGGTCCACCCGTTGTCAGGCCAGGGATAATGTCAGGAGGTTACTTTGTGTGTCACGACTTCATTAAGCGGGCGCCTGCTAATTCTCCTCTGATAAATTTATTAGCGAGGACTGGGAGAAGATGAACCAACAATTTGAACAGTGGGTAATTCTCATCGTGAAAGTCTCCGTTTTGTATGCAAATGTTCCCATTTCTCGTCACATGTCTCTCTTCGTATGCAGATGCCTATTACCTGGCAGCCAACTCTCCTCGGTGGAATTGCAAGACTGCCTGAAGACGAGATTGCTCAATAGTGCTTCACTCGTTTCTGCATGTTGTTTGTTTGTTGTTGGCAGGAAACTGGGTGAATGGCGATTAAATGATGCGCTGATGCAGCAGCACAGCACCGTCGTGCCCTGCAGTTAAGGCTGTCTCATCTGGTCTCACTTATTGTTGTTGATCAAATTAGTTTCCACTATTTATGGGAATTTACCAGCAATAAAACAACCTTCTAATCTGGATTTATTAAATTACAGGTCCGTATAATTGTGCAAATTCAGTGAATCTGAAAACGCTTTGACGCCAGCGGTTGGTTAGGTTATTCTACAGGCCAACCGAGGATCAACCACAGCACGCCAAGCCCACTTCTTAAACCAGTCCCGCTGGATTAGCAGTGAGGAAGAAGCACAACAACAAAATCCAGCTCCATGCTTATTAGGACCCATAATAAACGTCCTTAATGCCTCATAGGCCGCATGGTTCATTGTCTTCGTGACCAAGGACATACGCGAGTAAATCTTGGGCCCACGAGGATGGCGGAGTGGAGTGAATATACATAAGTGGCAGTGGTGGTGCTTAATACTCCAGATCTAATTGTTCCTTAAGATTCCCTTGGGTCACTGCATATTGTAATAATCCACTTCTCGGAAAACGTGAACCAAATTAATACAAAGTTCATTCCCACACTTTCTCCTCCCCCTTCCGCGTTTTCGCCTAATTGAAAGAGTCAAAGTAGTGGCAAGGAAATAAAACGTAACGTGCTGTTTGCGTTGCAATTTGATGATCGCGTATGAACTCGACACTGGGAAATATTTGCGCAATTATTTAAATATGTGGGACGTGTTCGTACCTACTTTGATTGTTCCGAGCGAGTGGGCTGAGCGAGTGTGATCTGCTGGAGGAGTAGATCTGCCTGGTGGTGTTGTTATCAGTCTCGGAGCAAAGTCATTATGCGCTCTGGTATGTAATAATGATTATTACGCGAGTTGATTCATGAGGCAGAATACTCTCTCTTCTTTCCAAACTGGATTTGGCATAGTTTATTGGTGAAATTACCACCTCTTCTCTCGCTCCCTCGCCCTCTCTTCTCGAATTTCCTGAATTTCACCCCATAAATATTCCCTCTTTGAAAATGTCGACTATATGGTGGTGTGAAGCCAAGGTGGAAAGCACCGCAGAAAACTTGGGGTTTGGGGTCAACAACAACAACCCAAACGTATGCAGTCGGCTGCAACTAGTATTAGAGCAAAATAAAAGCAAGCATTTAAGGGAAAGTTTTTTCACGAGATCGAATCTCGAGCATGGACACATAACGGTCTCATCGGTGATAAGCATGTATTCAGGAGGCTAGGCTGGCGGGGAACGTGTCGAATGTGCCCCCAACGGTGTAAATTGTTGCGAAATGGTGCACACGAGATTCGTTGGAGATCCCGGAGATGATCTGTAATGTATGTAGTTTGGGCTCTGGTTGGTTGGGCAGGCTGGTTGGTGGTTACACAGATCCCAGGCAGACATGCACCCATTACACACACACACATGCACGCAAATTCATATTTACACTTCCACGGTTCCGCTTTCCATTTCCCATTACGAATTAGAATTATGTGTTGCATTACACATCACATCACAGCACGAGATGATCCCAGCACTGCCACCAGCCTGGCTCTGGGCGGCTCTGGCTGCTGCTGCTGAACAGGTATAAATGTACATACGAGTGGGCAGAGAAAGTATCAATATCATGGTCCTATCAGCCAGGCGAAGAAGGAATATGTGCTGCACATAGCAATGCGTTCGTGTATACACAACTGTGAATTCTTGACTTTCAAACGTATTAGTTTACTCAGCGAAAATTGAATGTCAGCTAATTATGGTTGATGGTCATTAATTTCACGGTTCTGTGACCTTTCTTCTCTCGTCTGGGTGCCAGACGGAACGTGCAAGTGGTAAAAGTGCAGACCAAGTCAAGGAGATGCTGCACACGCTTTTAATCGCAGATTTTAATTTGCATTTCTTTGTTACAAATGGATTTTAGAGTTGGATCTCTTTCGATAAAAGCAAGTGTGCAGCTTTAATTTTAAGCTGGAGTGGTTCAAAGAAGTCGGAGGGAGGGAGACCAAAAGGAGGCAGCAACCCTCTCCTCTTTTCCCTGCTCCCCTTTTCGCCAACAGGCTCTGATTCCTCGCAAAAGTGGGAAATAAGTGGGTTAAAATGTGAAACGACTCGACTCCTCTGATGGAAGTGGCACAAAGTATTATGTCGAAATTATCATTCCCCAACTCTCATGTTGAGCGTGTAATATGTAGTGAGCGTATTTCCTTCATAATTCAGCATTCGATTCTAAAAGGAATTAGTTTTTTTCCTGACCCAGAATTCAGTGGAGACTGACACTCTTTTTCGGGAAAAGGGGACCCACAAATAAGTACACACAACTGGGTGCGATGGAAAGTTGCTGTGCTCCTCAAAGTCTCCAAGCTAGTTGGCAGAAGATAATACGAAGACAAGGAGCGAAGGAGTGGGCCTGTTGATAAAGCGTTTTCCATTTCATCTCTCCTCATGCCCACCTTTCTCCGCGTCCATCTCTCTGCCCTGCTGGTAAACCAACCTGGAATCTCCGGCCTCCCCCTGAAATCGGAGTGAGGAGCAGGGAAAGCAAGACAAGGCGGTTGGAGTGTCCTTATGGGATTATAATTAAAAATTTAATGGAGCACTGACTGGGATATGCATAATGGAGGAGCACAATAAGCACGGTCTTCGTGTGGCCACATGAAGCAAGTCTGCTCCTGGCATTTACAATTTACTCGGACGAATTGGATCTGAGGTGAACAATGTTTTGTGTCAAGGTGTGTGCAGATTGTTTTCTCTCCTCCTCAATCTCAGGAGGACAACCCTTCACTGACAGAATCACACATGTTGATCCCTTCGGATATGTTACAGTACTCGGTGAATGAAGGTGAAGAAGGGTTTTAATCCATGGCCCCATTTGCGCCCGCTGCACCTACTCAAAAGGGCGAAAACGCAAAAAAATCCTGTTTTAGCTCATTAAAAGTAATTAAAACCTTCAGATACAATTTTGATGGGATTTTCATTTTCGCTTTTTTGTGAACTAGATTATCATATCCAGTTTTAAGCTCAGCTTTTTTAGTACTTTGATTTCTTTTAGAAGACATTAGCTTTTCGAAAATATATTTTTTAATTAATTGAAATTGATTTATACGATAAAACAACTATCTGGGGTAAAAGAATGATCAAGAAAATCCGCAAATTATCAAAACTGATCAAAATTCGATTTTTTTAATGCGAGCAGTTTAGCCTGGGATTTCTGTTTGAGGGGGTGTAGCGGGCGCAAATTAGGCCATGGAATAAAACCCTCTCGCACTTTTCGTACAATCACCCAGTACTAAAACATAAGGGCATCAAAATCTGTAGTTCTCTCGGTCAAGGGTTGCCTTCCTCAGCCACTATCCGACCACACACGCATCCCACCACCACCAACAGAATATGTACAAAGCCGACATTCTTTTCTCTTCCCATCACTTCATTGGCTTCTGGTCTCGTTCTATTTAACAAAGAGGACAAGCAATTCTCAATTCGTCACTGCGGATGAGAATGCAGGAGGAGGACGACGAAGCGATGTTGGACACTTATCTATCTATCAAGAAAGAGGACGGAGCAGGTGAAAGGTTACAAAAGTAATAATGTCGTCACCATCGGCTATTCTATTCTATGCATTTAAGCCAGGTTTAAGTGCTGATGGAGTTTGCAGCGACTTGTGTCGACTTGCCTCGATATCCAATCAATCTCGCTCTCTCTCTCTCTGCCTCAAGAAGATGATAAAACTTGTTCAATATCTGATGCCATTTCACCTCACTGAATATTGCATAAGCTGAAATAAATTGAGGATAATGTAGGAGCTGCTGTGAGAGCGATTGAGTTTTCTCTTTTGGAATCTCATAATGATCTCTTATCTCAAAAACCTATCCAATTCTCATCAAGTCCATCCTCCAACAGCAGATTCCCTGCTTCATTACGAGGCACAAAATTCATTAACGACCACCAACCCAAAGGTCTCAACTCATCTCCATTTCCAGAGAAGTGCTTCAGTTTTCGAGTCCAACGACCAAAGTCAACTTTGAAAACCATCATCACGGCGAGTCTGCTGGGAGTGCGTACGATTGCTCGGGATGAAAATAATATTGGTTCGAAATGTGCCCATGCAATAGATTGACAATTTTGCGTTGTACCATTTAAACTATTCTTTTCTTGCCATTGTTGTCGTATTTTGAAGAACGTGGATTGTTTTTTTTTGCCAGGAAGCGTTTTACGATTGTTCATTTTCATTCAAATTATCCACTTTTCAGCCAGAAATTGTGGTCTCTGTATTTACATGTGCGTGGGAAAAGGAAGTTGTCTATTTGAGAAAATGGATTGGAGATTGTTTTTCCGCCCAGCCGTGTGTCGGCGGATGGATGAGGTGGGTGGGGGCGAATTCTATTACGTCGTTCCATTATCCTGCTTCTCATTCAGTCCACGAGACTCTCTCACATCTGAAGGAAGGATGCATGCCAAATACAGGATAGTTTTCTCCAAAGACGTGGTAATTTATGCACATTGAGACATTGAGAGTCAGAGGGGATCGATAAAGGAGTAATTAAGTTTTGGGAAATGTGCTGAATATTTGGAGACGAGTTCCGTGGGGATCTTCTCGGCTCGGCTAAATCACTTTCCAAAAAGTCTCAGAAGCACCAAGCCACCCTAATTCACACCATATGCATGTCGCACTTTGTTGTCGCACCAGCAAGACAACAAGATTACACAATTACAAATATATATAAGCCCTCGTATGAAGGAAGGCAGGGCCACGAGTCAGAATCATAACGATTTTGAGATAAACAAAACCTTTTGATCCGTTTTTTACGAAAATTAAACCAAATTTGTCTGTTGACTTTCATAGGAAGTCAATTGCAATGCGGATTGAACCGGAGCTAACGATAAGAAAATAGGAAATGTTAGTAGATTTCCGTGATTCCAGAATTTACGTATGAATTTCATGATCGGTAAATAATAGAAATTGTCCTGTTTTATTGTTTCGGAAGATCAATGAGCAAAATTGTAACGTGTACTAATATAACGTAAATAAGTAGCAGAAAAACAGTGTATTTAGGACAGCCAGATTATTGTGTTGATTGAAACAGCAAAAAACCCGATAAGCAAAACCTGCCAGAAAGGAGTCGAGGATTCAACTCATTTTTTGACTGCTTTAAAGGTGCGTTTATGCTTTCTGATTAATTGTAGCGATCTCTTAGAGAATTGATAACCGACGGGTTTTTAGTTCCCGTCCTCGTTACATTCGCGTCGCCATAGCGGTCGCTATGCAATTCGCCATGCGGGTTTATGCATTGTTTCCTCCTTCATTTCACGGCACCTTCACGATCACCATGAAAGTTGAACAGAGTTCAACTTTTACACGGATGAAGGAGCAAGGAAATTTTTAGAAACCATTACAATTTTATAAATATTTCCATTTGCGATTTCAAAATTTTACAAAATGACTACAAAAGTGATATCTGCGCCCAAATCTCCACTGGATCTGGAAGAAAAATTAATTCTTCTAGTTCAGCAACGTCCAGCACTGTACGACAAGAAGGATCCTGCATACAAAAATAGAAACACTCGTGCGGTGATGTGGGAGGAAATTGGAAAGCTACTAGGAAAGACAGGTCAGTTTGTTTTACTGCAGAGTCTATATTCTCACTTGTATTAACTCTAAAAAGGCAATTTTTCAGAGTTCGATTGTCAACAACTGTGGACAAAATTACGCAGCCAATTCAGCGGATTCCTGCGCAAATTACGCAATCCAAGTGGAAAAGAGGACAAGCCACGTCCCTTCTTCCGGCATGAAGGAACAATGCGTTTCATCCGTGACATTGTTGACCCGGATGAAAGGTAATAGTAGTTTATATTTAATTGCGTAATGAGTTGGTTAAATAATTTTGGTAATGACACTATCTCTAAACAAACAGTACCGTGTCCAATCTCGTGACTGAAGATGATTCTTCGTTTGTGGATATGCATGGACCGGGGTCGGAGATCCAGATTGAAGTGATTGACGTGGATAAGCTCCCCGAAGATTTTGACCCACTCTCAATTGAAGAGGAGACAGCGACGACTTCTGTACTTGTACCACGGTCACAACCAGCTTTACCATCGAAGGTATTTGAACGAGAAGAATCATTTATATTTAGACAACAATTATAAATAATATCAATTACTCTGATTTAATTCGTAGAAACGAAAATTGGACGCATTTGACAAAGAGATGCTGGATTTGCTCAAATCAAACGATGATGAACACGACAGCTTCGGAAAAATGTTGGCCCCAAAACTGCGGAGAATTGCAGATTTAGACCGGAAAGTATTTCTCAATCTTCAGCGCAAAATCAATGATGCAGTGCTTGATGCAGAAATAGAACTTCTTGCGTAATTATACAGCTCTAAGTCATTAAAATGTTTTTAAATAATTCTGGCTTGTTATTCAAAAGTTGCAGTAAATAAATCCTTTGTTTTTCATGAACGAGATTTTATTTGCAAAAATCATATTAAATTAGGCATTTTAACAGATAAATTATGAAATTCTTGACATTTGCCATGAAACACTACCCTCATTACTGTTAAAATATTCTAAAAATCTGTCCCGTACAAGTACAGCTTCTAGACGCCGGTTATTGCTGCCTTGTTGCCGCAAAGAGATCATTCCCGTGTCCCCAGTGGTAGTCTCCCTCCAATTTCCCGTGGTGTTCCCATCATCTGAATCCGCCGTTATCGTATTCATATCTTGCTTATCAATAAGCAAATTGTGGAGAATTACTGCGGCATGGATTACGAGCCTGGTTAAGTCAAGTGATGCAACTATTGGCGTGTGAAATATCCTCCATCTAGCAGCTAACATCCCGAATACATTCTCCGACACATTTCTCGCTCGAGAAAGACGGTAATTGTAAATACGACGCTCCAGGGTGAGAAATTTTCCTGGGAATGGCTTCATCATGTAAGGCTTTAAAGCAAAATCGTCATCAGCCACGATAACATGGGGTTGGAGGTGAGGTCCAACTATTTTTGGCTCTGGTAGCCCCAATTTTCCATTTTCATGCCTCTTTCCTATTTCCGATCGTCCAAATACGCCTCCATCTGACTGCGAACCCGAGGCTCCAATATCCACAGCAGAAAATTTGTATTTATGGTCGACAACAGCCATGAGAACAATGGAGAAGAAGCCTTTATAATTGTGGTAAGTGGACCCCGAAAAATTTGGTGCTTGAATTCTGCAGTGTTTCCCGTCTACAGCACCAACGCAATTTGGAAAATTCCACCGAGTTCGGAAGCCAATCTCATTGGTTATCCATTGATCAGTTGTCGGTGGTGGTAGATGAATGTGGCCGAATATTTTCACTATTGCTTGCAAAACTTCTCGTAGAATCTTCGAAACTGCTGATGGTGATATTCGATAACTGAAGGAGAGAGAGATTTGGGAAGCTCCGGTGGCAAGAAATCTAGTAGATAGAGGTCATTTTCACTCAGCACTTAACTATATTTGATATCAAATTATTACCTTAAAGTTATCCCAAGTTTCTCTTCGACAGAAATAGGTCGGCTATGGGTCATTTTTCCTGTAATTTCCCCAGTAATCAGCATCAAAATCTCATCAAAGTTTTCCATATTCATCCTGTAAAATGTATTAAAAGTTTGATATATTGAGAAACAACTTTGTATATGCATTTTACCGGAAGTAACGGTGATGATAATGAGGGTCTTCACGCAATTCTTTCATTAAAATGCTGTCTCCCTGGTCCACTCGATTCCAGAACATAGGCCGGATTGAAGCAGCTCGCACTTTTCGCTTCAATTTTCTTCGAAGTCTCCGGAGAATCAAGATTTTGGTAATCAAACGTCGATCGGGGGCCGGCATAATTGTTTTTGTGAGATTATGAAATGGCTATGATTTTTTACGGGTTTTTACTTTCCCTTCGATGACCGATAGCTAAAACTAGCGTTGAGAGAAAGCGATCGTAAAAACTACAGAAAGTGTAAACCCGTTATGAAGGAAGGAACGCTAACGCTATGGCGACGTTATGTAACGAGGACGTTAAGCATAAACCATACTTAAGTCGCACACAGGTGAAGGGTTGGTGTATGAGAGAAACTATACAACTGAACTCCACCGCAATTCCATAAACATTCAGGTTTGAAATGCTTTCAAAGACCTTGGCGTCTTTTTGGCACCCACTTTCCGAATCTGGTGTCATGTCAAGATCAACTTGGAATCTCTTTTGACGCGTGTTTCGCAAGATATTAGCTTTAATTTGACCTTGGACGTGAAAAGTCAGTCAGTATGTATTCTAGTAAATGTACGCACAAGCCACACTTTTCTCCAGATTTTTCCTCTCCTAGAAACAATGCATGTTTATGTTGTTGCTTTTCCCACTTTGCGAAGGTTGGGTGAAAACAATGTAAAGTTTCGTGTGGGGCGGCAGACCTATGATTTTTATTCCTTCAAAGCGTCTGAACATAGAGGCTGCTGATGGCGAGGCTGTTGAGGAGATATGAACATACGCGAGCCGAGTATCAGAAGAACACTTTGGCAAAATCAACATTTTTGTGGGTTGTTGTTCCGTAATAATCGTTCTGCCTGAGGGGTTTTGAGAATGAGATTGGGTAGGACGACGACTGGTCTGGAGGTGGCGTTTGGGATTTGTTTTGCAGGTGTATTGAACAATTGGCAAGAAATGAACAGCATGCATTATCTCATTTCGGAACGTGAGATGAAAGAGAAAGCCGCGTTTCATTTCCTTTCTCTGGATTAATTGAATTTTTGAGGTTCCACTCCACTCAAAGTTTTGGTTGAGTTGTGAGCTCCTTATCGACACCAGACGGATGTCGACTCACGGAGGAGCGAGCGGGTGTGGAGGCAGCGGTGGGAGAAAGTTCTTGCGGTTTCTGAGGTGCAGCCCAGGCACCTCCATATTTACCGGCTGGCCGTATTTGCCTTCCTCTGCCACAGGTCGGTCGCAACAACTCATCAAATTGTATCAACCATGATCTCATCTGTTGTAAATTTCCGGACGTAGGTTTTGGTTCGAAATGGAGCAATGGTCGTACTTTGGATGCGTCGAGGCACGAGATGGTAAAGTCCGACGAGTCCGACGAGTTGGTAAAGAAATGATGACTTGGACTTGTTGAAATGTTCCACAGCTTTTTGTTTGCTTAGTACTTCAACTTGGGAAATTAAACGGGTTTCACAGGGAGCTCAGCTTCATCAGAATCCCTAATTCCATGGAGCAGACTAACCAGTGTTGTTAAATTTGTGGGGATTATTGAATCTACAATCATCCTTCCACTGCCACCGCCCCACCACCACCAGTGATCCCTGACAGTGTATGGAATTAGGATTGTGATTTCTTCACCTTTATTCATTTCTTTATAAAAATCTCAAACTCAACTTGGAAAGACAAAGATTGCTCAGCTAAAACTGCTTAAAACTAATTTTTCCTGTCCCAAAAAATCTCAACACTTGAGAATTCCACAATAGGCTAGGTGCTTCCTCCCATACAGCAGCCTCTTAAAGAGTGCCACACAGCTTTATGCAGTGATGAAAAATTTGTCAGTGGTTTTAAATTCTTGAAGGATTAGAATTTGACTTGAGAAAAGGCTACCTTTTTTGTGACTTCAACTAGTTTGGAACTCAATCTAATATATTAGCTTTAGCTTCTAAGAAAAATCCGTAAGACAACGGTTTTAATTTCGAGTTGACATTGGTCTCAGCCATAACTTTATTTATTCGAGTCTGAGCTGTAATCAACGCTCCTCGCCTCGACTTAAACTATGTTGGACTGTAAGCTAGCATTAATGCAATATTAGTTCAATGACAGGATGTCTCCGGACCAATGTCATCATTTATAATTCAAATGATCAGTTTATTTAGCAGTTCAACGTGGGAATGAGACATCACTACGAATGAGAGCTGTTCCTCGTCAACGAGGATTGGAGGAATTATTTTATATTTTAAATGATAGGTCATTTTATTTACAAAAATTTTGTGAGGGGCCGAATGATGATCTCGGACGCCTATCCTAATCAAGTCGTGATTTTCCTAAGCCAACCCATCAACATCGGGGTTTTCCTCTACTAAATTGACGACGTTCAATTTGGTACAATTTTTTACATACAAATTCGGCACATTTGACACGAGACTTCATCATTCCAATATGCATTGACACTTACAATTAGCGATCGCAATTACAAAATCGTTAGTCTGTATCTGCTAATCTGTCTGTATGGTTATCATTTTATGGGGCACCTCGCCATAGAAACGGTGTCAATTAATCGTGTTAGACAAGCATAGACACACGAGAACTTAAAGTTGGTAGTCAAGGTTCCAAGTTACTGCGGTTTCATGAAGGACAGCTACGGAATTAAAATAAATCAGACCCGAAAAAAGTGGACTTTGAAAATACTGAGGTCAAGTCAACACGAGACATCAACAATAAAATAATTCTACAGTTGAGCACAACTTGACCACTCAACTCGTGCAATTCATCTTGATTCGGGATGCCAGAGAAAGATGGCGACACGACGGGTGGACCTGGCCCGCCACTTGAAACCAGACCAGAGGTAATAGACAACCTTTTGAGGGGGAGGACGTCATATGTAACGGTGACGTGTGTTATACGCATATATGAGCAATCTTGTAAGGATTGCTATTCCATACGAATAGGTTCCCCCGGATGGAAGGGGTGCGAGTGCAGAGTCGCTCCTCGTGCCGGGCGACAGTGACGAGAATGTGAACAAGGAGAAGAGTTTGAACAAGTGGCATGACGTGAGCGAACCCCCATTTTTACAACATTTGTGTGTCCATTTCCTAATTTTCATGATTTTCAGTTCGAGTCCCAATACTCTCTCGCAATGGAACAGTCGGCGATCATCGAACGAGAAACGTGGGGTTCGCAGCTTGAGTTCCTCATGTCTTGCATTGCCAGTGCTGTCGGTAATTTTCAGAAAACTTGTACTCTCAACATCTCTTTGGATTAAATAAATTAATGTATTTTGGGTTTGGTGGCACAACAGGTCTCGGAAACATTTGGCGATTTCCAGTAAGTTTAAAGGTTTTGGTTTTGCAGTGTAAATTGAATTGATATTCTTGCATTGTGTTGTTGTTTTAGTTCATCGCCGGTCAGAACGGGGGTGGGGCCTTTCTGTTTCCATACATCATCGTTCTGTTCGTCATTGGTCGGTAAGACGAGTATTTAACAAGTAAATATTTAAATGTGTGTATCTCGCGTATGCATAACTGTGTAAAAAAGTAGCTTTTAGTGCAAACGGAAATAATTTTATATCAATTTCAATCTAGACCCATGTACATGATGGAACTGGGGTTGGGACAATTCGTGTCTGGAGGTCCTGTGAAAATTTGGGAAATGGCCCCTGGCTTCAGAGGTAAACATAAAATTAAGGGGAGCCACGAGTCACATATTCTGATCCGGAATTACAACCCTGCAAACTTGTTTTCGCAGGTGTAGGATACACTGCGACATTTGCGTCTTTCTTACTTGGCTCCTTCTACAGTTGTATCATGGGGTGGGCTTTCTCGTATATGATCTACTCATTCTTCCCCACTTTGCCCTGGGATAGGGATACCTGGTCACCTGTCGGCCTTAACAAAGTCTCTGTCGACAAAGATCCAGGAGCGTTTTTTGGGTAAAACAACGTGTTTATTTACATGTATACGTAGGTTTTTATGCTTTCGATTACAGATTTGTGTGTTATGTTTGTCATCAGATATGGACATTTGGGAGAAGTAGTAGGAAATCCTAATCACACTCAGTTCCGTAGAGGCAAAGGGCTTGATGGTCCTCCCGTATTTGCCACAGCTATGGGGCTATTGGTCAGTTGGTGCATTATATGGGCCAGCATGTTTGCTGGGTATGGATGGTTTTTTCAATCTTGATTGATATTATCACACTTAAGTTTGAGCTAATTACTTTATTTAATGACTCGTATGTTGACTGGGGATATTTAGCATGTCCGGTTCGGGAAAGGTTGCGTATTTCACCGCGTTGTTCCCTTATGTCGTCCTCTTTGTCCTTTTGATTGGCGGCGCCACGTTGCCAGGAGCATGGAGAGGCTTAAAGTTTTTCTTTACACCAGATTTCGCAAAGATTGTGACACCAAAAGCGTGGTTTCAAGTAATGCCAAGTAACGCTCAAGCTGCAAATTTGAATTTCTTGTAAACATGTGAATGCATGCATCAAATAGGCAGTGGGACAGTGCTTCTTCTCATTAGGAATCACCTTTGGGGGCTGCATCATGTTTTCCTCATTTAACAAGTTTCATCATAAGCTTGGCAGGTGCGGTACATCACTCATGTCGTAGGATTGAGGTAAAACCAACTTAATGTCTAATTCTTTTGCAGGGACATCATTATCATTGGAATAATGGACACCTTTACAAGTATGTTGGCAGGAACTTGCCTCTTCATGCTTTTGGGCCACTTGGAGGAGCAAAATCTAGGTAAGCTCGAAAACAACAAGACTGTGGAGAACTATTCGGACTCCGCCGGTGCAGGAATGGCATTTGCTGTTTTCCCCAATGTACTCGAAGCATTTAAACCTTATCCTTTGCCGAATGTATGCACACACAAATTTTCTAACCATACGAAATTTACATGGTACGCAAGATAACAATGTTACTCTCCTCTAGATATTCTCCTTCCTCTTTTTCTTCATGATCGTGGTTCTGGCCGTAGGAAGTGCAAATGGGTTCGCATTTACGTACTTCTGACACTCCTAAACTTCAGTCTGTGACTTGTATGTAATTATCATAGGATAATTGGAGCCATTGTGACCGTCATCTGTGATGCTTTTCCTAAATGGAAGAGAAAAATAGTCCTCACTTCCCTGTGCGTATTCTCATTCTTCATTGGATTGTTGTACACTTGCAGAGTGAGTGCAGAGATTATCAGTTTAGGCTTTTAATTGTTTAATCCATTTAACCTGAGACAATTGACTATCTGTTCAGGCGGGAGGCCACATAATTGACATTGTGGACAAGTTCGGGACGGAACAAGTTGTTTACATGTTGGCAATTTTCGAAACTGTGGCAATCGCCTACGTATACGGGCTAAAGAATCTCTGCAACGACTTTGAGGTGAGGATATATGTGGAAAATTATGTTTCAAACATACTGGCTCTTTCTACATTTTTACTACGATAATTCGTATTACAGTTCATGTTAGGGTACCATTTGAGCTGGTATTGGATCATCAGTTGGGCAATTGTTCCAGTCTTGTTGGTAGTCATCTTTATCAGCTACATGGCTACCTGGAAACCTTTCTATGGTCATCCACTTGTTGCAATCAGTAAGTACTAACTATTCCAGGATGAGATCAACTTAATACAATTGACGGTTTGGACAGTTTGTGGATGGTTATTGACTTTCGCTGCATGGCTCATACTTCCAACCGTAATGGTCCTAGTCATCTGGACAAGGAAATCTCGATCCATTGTCAAGGTATGCAAAAACCGAGTTGTATATCATTAATAGAGTATATTCAAGTTCCTCTTTCAAATCAACTCGACTTATTTTTCCGCCACTTTTCTGCAGAGAATCAAGGCGAGTTTCTGCCCCACCAGGAAATGGGGTCCGAAAGGTACCTGCCAATTATCACGACTCCACTTTGATTACAATATAACTTTAATTTGTATCTGTATCCATCTGCAGATCCTGCCGTGCGTGAAGCTTGGCGACGATGGAAGAAGACCAGACCCACGGAATTTGCCTTTACGTCGGAAATTATGAAGGCGTTGGGTCTGCGGAAAGACGAATTGCCCGGAAACACCCAAGCCTACTGGTCAGACCCCAACGAGTCGATGTATCAGCCGGACTCAAAAATGCCGTCCTCCACGGATGTTGTGACCCCGTCGGAACAACAGTCTGGCCCTGTCACCGAACCACCTCCCACCTGATCACCCACTTTCTCCTCGCTAATAATATGCTGCAAAATTATAATGAATGAATTGTTAATATTTGTCGTACTGAATCTTTTCATCAAGCACAAAATTTTAAAGCGACTCAATGTATAAAGCGCAATAATATGGTCAATTTCGTAAATAAAATGCGCAATGCGTTTTTCATTCAATTTTCATACGCGTCTACAGAAAGCGACACGAGCACGACTTTTGACTGCCATCGAGTTTACTGGCTCCGAACTCAAACTCTTGAACCAAATCATTGAACGCATTTCATATTATTTACAGAGTTTGGTTGTTGGTTAATTTTTTTTGAAAATTACAAATTGTGCAGTGACCGAGCCATAAGACCATCTTTGATTGTAGATATAATCAGGATGGTCAGCTTTTTTAAGACTCTAGTTATTTAAATCCTTTGACATAATAAAGGTTTGTCATTATGGCCAATTTGGACGATGACGACAACTTTGTGGCGTTTGGAACTGCGTTAGAACCAATTGAAGAAGGTATCGCCTATCAATCACGTATCAACGTCTTGTCAAACTTGCATAAGATTATTTAACGCTTAAATAGTATATTAATACGATATTTTAATTGTTCACATATGCAGAGGAAGTAGCCCGCAAGAAGCCAATTACTGTTGCTGATCAGATTGCCACAGATGAGAATGGACGACGTCGCTTTCACGGAGCCTTCACTGGCGGATTTTCTGCCGGCTATTACAATACGGTCGGCTCCAAAGAGGGATGGGTAAGTTTTCTGCTATATAATGTGTGCTTTGGGTTTGTAAAGGATGCTAAAAGTATAAAACCATTATAACTTACAGACACCATCCACGTTCAAGTCGTCACGGTCGGAAAGGTTCTCAAAAAGCGGACAGAATGTCACAGATTTCATGGACGATGAGGTTAGTCATGAGTTAGTTAGATATCATAGTTTTAGTAGTGTGAATATCTAAGTGTGGATGTAGTTGTCTGTTACATTGTACTTAACATTTTGCAACATTTATTTGTTGCTGGCAGGATATGGGTGCCTTTGGAATTGCTCCCCAAGTTTTGCGGCCAACTGATGAATTTTCTATTTCTGAGACGCAAGCTAGTAGCAGAAAACGAACAAAGCCTAAGCAGTCGGATGGCTCGATTCCTGGAATGCCGGTGTTACATCAAATTATTGAACCAGCAAAGTGAGTTTAAAAGTATATTTACGTACTTATTGAATTAAAGTGAGTGCTTTGATGATAATCCGATCCAATTGAATTATTATAACGTATGCTATCAATTTAGGGAAACGGTTGGTATCAAAATCTTGGTGAAAATGGGTTGGAGACCGGGGCAGGGTGTTGGACCGAGGGTGTTGCGAAAAAAGGACAAGGAGTCAAAACAATCACGCAAGACAATGGATAAAAAAGACGATGAAATTGACAAGCCAACCATTGTAGATGATGATATGGATATTGAGAAATTGTCCAACCAAAAAGTATACGGGTGCCAACTACCTGCTGAATTATCAGCCAAAAAGAATGATGATGAAGAATCGTCGGACGAAGACATTGATGCGGATGTCCTGTATGCACCAGAAGATGTAGAGTCGCCACTGTGCAATCCCAAAGAGAACTCGTTTGGACTGGGCTACAAAGGGTTGGAGAGAATGACTGGACCAACAGGTCATATTGATCTCTTTGGAAAACAACTCAAGTTCCGAGACGTTCCAGGTGGTAGTGGGGACAAGAAGACAGGAAACAAAACAAATGTCACTGGAGAGGTACGTACATGTGTGATGCGAGTTTACTATCTATTTATTACGCATGTTTTGTTCTGGTATAAAAATGTATTGAATGTAAACATTTTTAAATGATTTTATTATCTTCTAGGCATTTGGGATTGGGGTAATAATATTATTATTACTTAATATAATAATAATAATGATAATAGGGTAGTAATAATATTATTATTGATTATCCAGGCTTTTGAAGAACCTGATGAGGACGTCTACACTCGAGAAGACATGTCCTCGTATGACTTTGAGCTAGAAACTATGGAAGAAAGAAAACATCGGAAAGCGAAGGAAGCGATTGAGAAACTAACAAAGAAGAGGCAAAAGGACAGTTGCATTGATGGTTTCCATTTTGCTAAATCAGCCACTACAAAGAAAACGTTTTTCCCTCCTCCCACACTTCCACACGACTTCCAGCCAATTCATAAACAACGGAAATCTAGGTTTGAAAAACCAGTAGAAACCCCATCCGACCAGAGTACCTCATCTTTCATCAAAAAAGGATTGGGACGTCACGCATTAAGTGTTCAGGAAAGGCAAGTATTGTTGGGCGAAACACCACAACCTCGATCATCGAACCACGACGAACAACTTGACCCCACAAAAAAGTCGCAAAATGATGTCAATGAAGCCAATAAGAAAGATGAAACAGAATCCGAGATTCAGGAGCAAGTCGAACGAATTAAAAAATTTGTTCAAGTTCTTCAAGCTCATAGCACTCCTGCTTCCACGACAGGAAACACAGGTGGGGAGACGACCGTCTCGAAACCTGTATTTCAACCATTCATGAAAAATCCTGAAAAACAAGAACGATATGAAAAGTACCTTACACTAGTAGCCGCTGGTTTTCAAGGTACCCTCTCATGATCCCTTAACTAAGATAGTAGAAATGTATTTGGGCAATTGAAACTACAAAAGTATGCATAAACATTTCCAGATAATCTGAAAGATCTTCAATCCACAACAATGACAGAATGGGAAAGAGAAAGAGAAAAACAAGAGTTTGAGAAAGCACGCGACATTTATAAACCCCTGAGTGGAGTGATGTCATCTCGATTCGTGTCTGCAAAATCGCACGACATTTCGCATTTAGGTTGGTTCAATCAATAATACGCAATTCAACGATAAATATGAAGTAATTATCTAACGGTTTCTCTAATAAGCATAATTTTGGTTGATAGTTCTGGAGAAGGAGACTGTGATAGAAAAGGACCCCAAAGAAGACCCGAAAGTGGCCGCAAAACTTAATTTATTTGGAAAGCTCACACATTCCGTTGTAGAGTGGCATCCTGATAAAGTATTGTGCAAGCGATTCAATATGAAAGATCCCTACCCAGAGTAAGAAGGAATTAAACTACTCTTATTTTTTGTGCATATATATGTTTTATTTATTGACATATTATTTTTTGCATTTCATCCTCTCTATTATTGTTACAGTTCCAAGTTTGTTGGACTCCGTGGTGTTTCATTGGCAAAAATGAATTCAGTCAAGACGAATATATCAGCACAAACTCCCATTGTTTCTGACGAGAAAGAAGTCACATCCACACCAGCACAGAAAAAGTCCCTATTCGATAATCTTGACTTTACAAAACCACCACCTAATTGGTTATCAGCAGTTGAAACCCAGTCCGAGAATACTGGTGATACTTCCGAATCAGTAAAAGCAAAGTCTTTGGAATTCCAGTCCAGCATTGAGGAGAAAGAAAACCTTGTACCTGTTAAAGCACCACCAGATTTATTCAAGCAAATATTTGCAGACAGTTCCGAGTCGGAAGGGGATGAAGACGAGGACGACATTGAGCCGGCTCAAACTACAACTAATCCCGTAAATAATGAGGACAAACGAACACCATTAGGACATAAAACGAGGACTCTTGATGATAATGACAAAGACTTGAAAACAATAACAAAGCTGACTGAGACTGGTCAGAGTGGGGACCGGAAAATTTTGTATGAAAAACGTTACAGCAACCGAGGGGAGCAGAACTCGTCTAGTTGTCAGAACCGAGGTGATGAGGTAACAAAGAGCAGAAGCAAAGGCATATTTGATAATTTGGACTTGACTCGACTAAGTCACATGCATAATGATGACAAGAGCGGAGATGAGCAGAGAGAAAAATACAATCAGATAAAAAAAGAAAAAGAGACCAAGGCAGAAGCTGCAGCAGAAGAAGAGGATCAAGATCTCATTTATGGCCCAAAGGCTCCCAATAAGCCAGTCTCTAATTTCAACTCTACTGCCACCACAAACTCAACAAGGCCACATTCGTCGTCCACTACGTTAACTAGTCAACTTTCGTCATTCAAAAAGGTTCCATTCGAACATGTATACAATCCAAGTGGTAGTGCAGGGAAAGGTTTGCAGGACGAGGAAACGGTTTGGGTAGAAAAGGAAGTCGTTGCAAGTCGGAGTCATTCCAAGAGCAAAAAGCACTCTTCAAAGAGTAGTAAGAAAAGCAAGGATAAAAAAGCGAAAAGTAAAGAGAAGCACAAAAAGAAAAACAAGAAACACAAGTCGAAAAAGTCTAAACACAAAAGTTCGAATGGACGCTTGGACAGTTCTTCTTCAGATGAAGAGTCGGATGACTCGTCGTCCTCGATTGAAATGCACAGCTCCTTGAACCAAAAAACCCTTCTCGCTCAGTTGAAACAAATAACTCATCCATCATGAACTTTAATTATGCAAGTGTTGGTTGAAATTGTGTAATTAATTAGTTCAGGTATTTTGTGCCGTACAAGTATGTGTAATATTTTTTATTTATATTGATACTCATGTTACATATTGTGTTACAACTAAAAACTACTTTAATCTAAAATATGGTATTATTAATAAAAGTAATTTTTAGAAAACAACAAACAATACATAAATTAGTGCTCCGACGAATCCGAATCCATATTTTTGAGGAATGCGAGTCTGACATTTTGGCATTCCTAATCCGGCCAGTCCATAAGAGTCTTGTGCACGAATCCGGAATTTTGGGATTCGAATCCCATTGAGTCTGGCTAAGTTTTATAATAATTTGTGCAATTTACATTATTACACAGCAGATAAACACACAATGCAAGTAAAAGTAACGCTACTGTGTACTATAGTTTGTGGCCCACGAATCGTGATAATTTCCAGAATCCTCACGAGACTTGATTTAATGCCACACACCAAATAAAGGCAACACACACTATCCTTGCATCTCATTATTCCGAGGTGATGAACAATCGAGAAATACGTTTGGCTGTCAACATTTATAGCGAATAGTGTCAGTCCGGGTGGAGTTTATAGCAGCAGCGAGATCGGGGTTGAGTTTTGCGAGTTCTCAATGGGATACCGAGCAGAGTGAAAGCTGGACAAAGTGCTTGAAACTCGGACGGACGGAGTACATGTATCATTGTGGAAGTGGACCTGCTTCTTGGTTACCTAGTCCTTATCTGAAACCAGAAACAGTAGACACGTGTGAAATATTGCATAGTAAGAATCGTAGAATCGCATGACCACACTTGTATTTCATTCGTGTCACTAATTCCATTGTTTAATAAATGCGGCCACCCAGCAGACTAGAGTAAACTTTCGGTTTGTTGTATAATTGTGCAAATTTATATAATTCCCCCGGATACCCCAGAGAACGAATTGGGTCAACAAAGAGCTCTTCTGTATATCATTTCATTCGGTTGCCTCAGACTCTGATAGTCAAATCAAGCTTTGATATTGTATTGTTATACAATGTCACTCATACGAACGAGACAAATTCACATCATCGGCAACTCAACCCTGGTATCGCATTAATAATAGCAAGGCTAACAATAGGTCAGAATAAGGATCGCTTACATGAAATGTTGTGGCGACGATGAAAGGTGGAGAGCAAAGCTGATTAAATCAATGTCAGTTCAACTTTTGGGCCAGGTTCCGTATCCCACGTCACGTCGACTATCAGGAATATCTATGCATAACGACTGTCAATGGCTTGCTGGATACATATTTACTGTTGTAAATTCCAAAAGCTGCCTTTGGCCGGGATGAAGATGGATGCGTGCGTTCTCAGTATGCTTCACGGATTACTGAGCATCCAACAATCCAACACACCTCCAAATAATCCATTCCGAGTTTGTGGTAGGCGTTATCGCGCTGCCAACTGCTGCCAGTTGATAGAGTCCCCTCGTGACACTGTACAAACAAGGGACAAGTATAAATTGGTTTGGTTCGACAGATCGGACATCCATGTTTCACTAATTTATAATCGTGGAATTTAATTAAGCAAATTGTAGGACTGATTGGGAGTTAATTATTTACATAGATTTTGTATTTTGTTTGAGCATTGTGGACTCAGAAGGAGATTTCGGTTAGGGAACAAGATTTCTTCATGATTCATCAAAGCGAGCTGAGTGTGTATCATCATTCGTCCAATGCTCACATTCGAAGTTAATTAATTAACGAGAACATAAATTAGTAGAGTTCTGCACCTGTCTAATTCCTCTTGTGAGTTATTCCATCCTTATCATTCGCTGTCAGCTTGGCAGGTCCAATAAATATCCCATTGGCAACGTTTTGTCCCGAATCTGTACAGTAGCACAAATACAATTAATTCAATTCACGTATTTTAAATGCTCAGACAGAATAAAATAGAACTTTTTGTTGTTTATTTTTCAGAATAGAATGTTTAGGGAACAAATACTCTTCATGGTTCGTCAAAGCGAGCTGAGTGTGTATCATCATTCGTTTTTTTAAATAAAAGTTATTAAACTTACGAAAATTACTACACTGACCTGCTCATACGCCGATGAAAGTCCCGTCAGCACGATGGACTGTGAAACAAACACAAGTCATATTTAATAACGGGATACTTAATTTACACATATAGTAAGCGAAATAATATGCAATAATATCAGATTAAAATGTTTAGGGAACAAGTATTCTTCATGGTTCGTCAAAGCGAGCTGAGTGTGTATCATCATTGATAACTTCCTTTATTTAAGAGCATAAAGTTGGAGAAAATTCATACCTGCTGACACAGTGGCAATCACTCGAGTGTGCAGTTTTAGTGACAAACAGATAGTCCACCTCGGAAAATTAAGTCCTGGAAATGATAATAAACACACATCAGTTTAGTCGTAATTCTCCAAGCGAATGAACGATGAAGTCAAATAAAACCAAATGTGGTATTTTTTCAGAATAAAATGTTTAGGGAACAAGTGTTCTTCATGGTGCATCAAAGCGAGCTGAGTGTGTCATCATATTTATCAACAACATTGAATAGTCAACGTTCAAAATTCTACATGCTTACCCTGATTTAGGCGACCTTCATTTCCCTTTCATGATGATGATGGTGGTTTAACTCCTGAACGTAATATCCTTCTGCGTCAAGAAAAACAAATTCTTAGAAGCTAACTAGGTTTTTGAAAGGGTAACATCGTAAAAATAAGTGCAGAAATTTTTCAGAAACTTGGTTTTAGGGAACAAATACTCTTCATGGTTTACTCAAAGCGAGCTGAGTGGATCATCACAATATAAAATGGAGAGATGAGTTGGTTATATTTGAGGAAATCGGGTTGCTTACCAGTGTTTTATGTTGCATAAAAAGTCAGCGTGGGACGGAGAAGAACTGTAACAACATGAAACAAAATATAGAATCCCGTAATGAAGGTTGTTTCTTATGCGAGCAAGTGCAAACAACAAACATTTCAGAAAACAAATTTATAGATATTAGGAACAGGGAACAAAGGTTCGTCATGCTGAGTGGATCATCAGTTCGTCGTTTCTACCTAGTCAAAATATTTGCATGCTCAACATTAGTTTGGAGCAGTAGACATACCGTCTGTCATTTTGTTTTTATTATGCATAGGCTTCCGGACAATGGAAAACAAGGAATCCTCTCCTGCCATGCTTAAAACAAACAGACACGATCTGGTTCTGACAACATCAGGGGTAACGATGCAAAAAGCAAAACATGGTTGCATGGAAGACCCTCATAAAGAGGGCAGAAGCTACATTATTGCAGGTTGGTCGCTCTTTGGCTGGCTTCTTGTACTCCTGACACAAAGGAGAGAAAGCTCGTACGGGAAGAAATAAGTGCTTTCATAATTTATAAAATAGCCCGAAATAGGACTCACCAATAAAGAAATGCTTTAGTCCGTACATCCCATCCAATGACAGCAGTATGTGTATACAAGAAGTCGCCAAAATTTCGCCGTCTATGATCCCTTCTCCACAATAAAATAAGTGGCTGGTCGTTGGATAATCTGCCCTAAATTTAACACAAAGTTCGCTCGAACATGAACCTCTCGACTTTTTCTCTTAAAAACTTGAGTGCTGGTGGTACGAGTCTTCTGATGTGCTTGGTTTTATATCTTTCTCCAGTACAGACGAAAGGTCTCATGGATGGATGGATGGATCACCATTAATATCAAACATGTTCAAACTTGAGACATCAGCAGCAGCAGCAGTTGTTGCGGAGAGACCGGCATCCATCCTTCGCCCTGTCCTTTTCCCTGCAAGGACACAATTTAATAAGCCTCATAAAGACACACACAAGTACTAAATGCAATCCTAATGAGGAGCTAGCTGTTTTCAGATAAAGTGGTTTCATCACGGCATTTTTCAGCCAGGGATAACTTTAAACTACATCATGAACAAAACTCGACTAAGGAATTTGATATATTATTATGTTAGCTGCGTATCCTCTTACGACGACAAGAAACTCTCATCATATCAGAGTTTAATCATGATCCCAAAGCCAAACATACACTCAAAAGATATTACATTCTATATATATACATACTTATATTGCGAGAGTAGGCATTGCCTCAAGTGAAAGTGTTGAGGGCTCAACGTGAAAACTCTGTCGTGACAGAAGAGGAAGGATCAAGGATTTCCCCAGGTAGCACAATAACACAACAACTCACTTACTAAATAATTCTTCGCCACGGAGAAAAACTCTTGGTTCCACATATCGCGCACACTGACTTTTCACCCGGTTTTCCAATTCACATGTCTGCTTCGGGATGACACCACCAATCCAACCAGTATATGTTTCTACACGCTCGGAAGTGGAACAAACTGGATCATGGCATCAGTCTGGCCCAGTCTCTACACCACGAGGTCCCAGCGCCGCCCCAAACAATTTGGTTACCATTGGTCTGAACCTTGGGTCGGGCAGGAAAACTCCTAAACTTCATCCATCCACCCCTGAGCTATCCTTTCATTTGCTTTCAGATTTGTTTTTAGACACTGTTTCCGCTATTTTGCTGATATGAGGACATCGAGTTTGGTCGCGTCCAACAGATATAAATATACTGAAATCGAGAAAATACGACAAGTAAATAGTCATTCGTGACAGATATGCATGGATTAAAATAATATCATCATTTTAGTATTAAATCAGATAAAGTGAGTTCAGCATGACTGTACTAAGCCAGGGATAACTTTAAACAACATCATGAAAATGCATCAACAACGACAAATATCAATAATGCGAAACAAGAAAACTCACCAGTATTCGAGTTTTCATGAATTTCATCAATCGACTTAATGCATTCTGAAAGTAGTAAAAAAGTGGCTCGAGAATAGTTTGTGACAACACTTTGCAATAATTATTCAATAAATTTTCTCTCGAGCATGATCAGATAAAGTAGTTTCAGCACGACTGTGCTAAGCCAGGGATAACTTTATTCATCATATCTCTTTTGCATCTCAATATTTAATTGGACGAAAAAATCTTACCTCGTCTCGGCTGTTCCATCCATTTCAATTGTATCAATCCAAGCTTATGACTTGACTCAACTGACTGCAAATATCTGAAAAACAAAAAAAATCATGTCCTGTCAAAATCAAAGTGCAAAATGTGAACGAATTTTAGCTTAGCTGAAGCCTAAAATATATGCCGCGTCGACCTTGAAGTTTCAAAGACGTTCTGAGCAAACAAGAAAATCGAAGTTACTGCTCCATAATTGGCCTGTTCAGAAAATAATTTGGAAGGATGAAGAGTGGAAAGCATGTCATGCTGCATAATACACAAGTTTGAATAGCACCAAAGACGCTGCCACTCGAGCAACAAAGCAAGAGGAATTTGTTTGAGACACTGAAGAGGCGAGTCGTGGAGAGCTATTATTCAACGGACCGTGCCATCCCTCGTCTTATCATCAGAATGAGGAGGATGAATGACACGGGAGAAAAACGATGGACATACATACACTTCATTCCCATTGGAATTCCACCACGGATTTTCAGGAAAATGGTGCGTTCAGCATTTCACAAGCAGACATCGGAAAAGCTCAACGAGCCGATCATAACTTTCCTTCCCAGGAAAGCGGATAATTTTGGAAAGAAATTGCCTCAATAAGACTGTCTCCCTCTCTCCCCAATTCCCCAAAGGGTAATGCGATCCCATCGCCGAGAATATGTACTCCATGATCTCATTATTCATTACATAGTGAAAGATACACGTGTCCACGTTTTCATCAGGGATCGAATGTTTCCAATTCAGGAAACTGATAACAGGCTCAAAACGATGCATAGTTCTATAAAATTGCATTTAAATAGCACATATCGAAGACTTTAGTATCGTCCCAATCGTCAATTATATTGTGTCAGAGCTCGAGTGTATCTTGTTTCGTTTCATAACTAAAATCACAGAGAAAGTTGGAGCATTCTGAGTTCCATTCAGTTTGCCCATCTCAAAGAATCCTTCCAACCTGACATAAATACGCAAACCACACAACGTCATGTTCACGTCAAGGAATGAAAGCCATGTTTATTTGATGGTGATCGAGATGAAGGCTGACGTCGATACATTTATAAATACTGGCGAGCAAATTAATTATTTTGAAACCCAAAACTTCAGAAATAACGCTCAATTCAGAAGTTAATCTCACAAACATGGCTCAAACATTCCACGATCAAACTCAACAAATAAATCCCCCTGCCTGAGCTAAATTCAAGTAATTACGAGTATCACCACCACCACCAGAATAAGCTAATGCTAATCATTCTTGATCGTATGATAATGCATGTTCACTTGTTATGTACGAGTTCAAGACATGCGATGCTGACGTTTAAGCACTATAATGCACATATTATTACTATTCTTTGGTTAAAACTTTGCTTAATTATGAACAGTCGACCAACTCCTACAAGGAGCAAATTAAACGGCAGTCTACACTTGCTTGGCGTCATTCAGTCCGTATGTTCAGAGAGCCAAGTATGTACAATCTGCTTCCAGACTGCTAATGAGACCTTTTAGTTCAACAACTTTCTCCATTCCTTAATAAATGTTGTGCTCAACCTAAATTTCCTCATGCGGTGCCGTTCTTGTTTAGAATTAATGCTGCTGAAAGACCACGTGAATAAATAAATCTCAACCACATTTACATAAATGCTTGGCCAACTAATCCAACTTGAGGTTAAGTGCTCATTGTCAGAATGTAATCGAAGAATATTTATGATCAGCATCGCAATCATGTTGTTCAATACTCGCAAGGGACGACTGCCAAACAATTCCCAGCCCAGCCCCAATCTCAAGCGAAGAAAATTGTCGTATATTGTACATATTTACTCGGCAAGAAGAATTGTGTTTTACTTGGTGATTCATACACTTATCGTATACATAAAACAGCAAACGTATGCTGCCAAGCAGTTGTCCGGCATTACGCCGGATGTCGATAATTACAAACTTTTGCCGAGTGGAGAGAAAATTCGACAAGAACTTTCACTCGTTATTAATTTTTGATCAGATCGGGTCGCTATTTCCACCAAACTACGCTCAACATGATAATGAAGTTATTATCAACCGTTTGCTAAGAGTATGGATACAATAAAATTATTCACAATAGGTCAAAGAGAACAATGCCGGGAATGTTTGCCAAAGTTGGCTCTTCGTGTATTCATCTTTCCCTTCGAAGGGCGGATGGGACTCTCAACGCAACTCTCTCGCATTGTTCCCAAACTTTCAAGAAGAAATATTTTAATTAAAAAGCACCCATTTCGTGCACTCATTATTTAGAGGAAATTATACGACTTGGGCAAAAAGAGGGAATGGAAGGGACGGCCGGAAACCTCAAAATGTTCTGTGTAATCATAATGCCGCTACGATCAAGCATCACCAACCAGTTGCTTGAATTCTTCCAAATGTTGCAAGCCTTGTCGAGCTGAATATGCTTCATAATAATAAATGTACTATTTTGGATATTATTGACGTCGACCACTTTTCGAACACTAAATTCTTCTAATCGAGAAGGGAATTTCGCTTCATAAATGAGAACTGTAGATAATGATATCAACTTTGAACTTTAAATTGTCCTGTATTAAAAATACCGTTGGGAAAAATAAGTATGAATTTAAAAGGCTATTAAAAGTTTAGATAAGGGAGTGGGCGGTGTCGAGAGGTTATTAAAACTCCGCAAGAAGGATGGCACGATGATGCTTAAAACTTATCCAGTTATTCTCATTATACACTCGAGCGACTGATGAAACGATGTGGTGTGGTCGTCCGCCTATAACTTTCATCAAACTTCCAACAACAACACATACAGCATACGTGCTTGCCCATCCGCCCATCATCACATCGATACAGAAAATATATAACACAAAAGTTGGACAAGGTTCGTGACAAGTTGCACAATCACACTTATTTGACTTTGACTATTAGGCGCAACTTTTCTGCAAATAATGCAGGTTTTATGGTAGTCTAGCAGTCTCCTTAAGTGGGACCCTTTATTGGCGCATCAAAGTTGGAATTCGCATTAAAACTGGAACAACTTCTACTGCTCCCCAGTCATAAAATCTACTCACTTTTACAACCAAACGGAAACCAATGCGAAACACGAGTTCAATTTGAGCGAAACAAACAATAAACTTTATTAACCAAACAATAAAGGTTTTCTGAGAGGTTGACCACCCTCCAGATACCGCCAACAGTTCTAGCTTTCGGGACCACGACGGCTTCCCCCTCGCTCCAATCAGACACTTCAGATATGTCCCCAAAAACCTCACGAAAAGTGATGCAAGCTGATTCCACCACTAACGTCTCAATCAGTGTAAAATACTTTGAAACCAAAATGATTGGGTTGTTGTGTAAGGATAAAAGCTGTAATAGCACTCTAAACCAAGAGATGATCATAACCATTTGGCGAACAATTGATGAACAGATGCTTGAAACTACCGCAATTTCAATTTATACAAAACGCCACCATCATATAATATTGCCAATGAATTAAGCTAACAATTTCATTTATGGCTTTGCAACACTACAACCAAAATTATTTTCAATCGACCAATGTTAAAACCGGGCGAGTAATTCATAGAACATGAGCAACATTCATCTCCTCCTCGCCTGACAATTGCAAAACTGGTGGTAAAATGAGCAAAGTGTTGATCCGGCGAAGGAAAACGGAGAGATAAAACATTTCTGAGCGGAGGAGGAAGCCATAAATTCATTTTTGCTGGATTTCTGTGTCAAGCCACCTTTCAACTGTTTTCCATTTGCATAAGAATCATCACGCGGTGAATTGAGGTAAGTTGTTGGTGGAGAATTGGGCCGACCAAGACCTGAGACTACTCTGCTTTTCCAACACTCCCAGCCTATCGCTATCTCCAACAACATGCCATCATAATAAATTGCATCTCTATCATCCCGGCACAGACCAAGAGTAACAAGAATTCTAAAAGCATTTTGGCCCAGCAAACAATCCAATTCAGTTTTCTCCCACACAATTCACAAGATTTTTTGATCACCTAAGGAATCTCTCTCTGCCTCTTTCTCTCAAGCACGTGTATGTACGAACGAGCACACGAATTGGACTGTCCATGCACGTTTATACAATATGGATGAGGTGTGCAGATTTCCATGAATTCTCAAAATTTTTCATGCCCAACAGAGAATAAACGAACCTCTCGAGGAGAAAAACAACAATAGTTATTATTATGGGATGAGAGGGGCCTTAGCTTCGGTGTCTGGTTGACTAAATTTGATTTCTTGTCTCGCACTGTTGTACAGTACAACAAACAATAAAAAACAAGAGGATACGAGCCGTCAGGTAGCCAGGCAGTCATACGGAGGAAAAACAACTCATGACCTCTCCAGTCAATGCGATTCTTGGGGCGCTTCAAGTTCAAAGAGCAAGAAATTCGAACGTGGAAGAAGGATTTTTAAGCTGACAGCACATTCAAGTCACAAATAGTTCAAGGTTCCGTCATGCTCATTTTTGACAATGGAATGGGAGGAGGCAGAGGAGCTACTCTCATTCCTCATTTGCATAAAATATCATGTCAGCCATATGCTGCGAAAAACACAAGGTTAACCGTGATGTGGATATTATTTTTAAGCGGATACAACATTGTTGACCAGGGTGGACGACTCTGCTGAAATGCTATTATGGCATTACAAAATTCCCACAAAGTTGTACACGGGAAGAAAGGTGGGGACATTTCACGATAAGGGGAGACAATTCGCACAGCAATCAATTCTTGCTGTCTCTGCAGTAAACCTAGATAGTGGTGAGTCCAACAAATGGAGAAAGTCTCCCCAACTCTGATGCCAATCTATTCTCGCATGCCATTTCTCACGCTGAGGTTTTTGCACTTGGGGATTAACTTGATGCTAATACAGGCTGTGTCAGTTGCTGCGACTTCATATATGTATTGTCAAACCCTTAAAAAAGTCATTTGTCAGTCAACAAAGTGCACAGTTTTAGGGACATGCTTAAATTTAAGGTCAACAGAGTGAATTCAAAATAATGTGCAGTAATAAATTAAAATCAAAATGCTGGTATTGTTGCAAATATTTGGAGTACAGTGTGTGTGGTGGGGCGGACATTGGAGAATCCGAGTGTCTCTCTCCAACTTGCAACCCGTTGCTGTTCGCAAACCGGGTATTTATAGGGTGAAATTCTGGCCCGAAATCCACAGTCGACTTTAGAGGTCCACACCGCACTTTTAACCAGAGCTGCTCCGAATGTAGGCAGAATGCAATGCCAGATAATATCAACCTACACAGTTTCTAGCTCACATAGTACAATCTCACATTGCTACGTACACACATAGATAGATACAGACTAACAACTCTTGTCAATATGAGGACACACAATCCAAAATTTTAACCCGCACACTGTGGTAAATAACTTCTTACAGTTCATTATATGCAAGTAAACAAGGTTCGTGAGACCAGTAAATTGCTCGAATAGCTGATTGGGCGTGCACTACTGCTTGTTTGTGACATTACATTTTTAACCACATAACTTACACCAGTTGACACCTTGTGAAAACATTTGTGAAAGCTGAAAAATGCATGGATTTAATTCTAAATTCCACCGTCGGGGTGGAAAATAAACAATTAATCCCAACATTTATCCTCGCACTGTAACACTTGTCATCAACGAAGCAATTGTCGTGTCGTTCTGTGTAGGCGTGCAATATTTACGAGGAGTGGAAACCATTGTGGGAAGAACAACAAACTGACTGACTGGACATTGAGTTGGGCCAGTTTTATGAAAGGGGTAAGTTTTCATAGGAATGATACAGCTTATTGTCACTCATCTAATCTTTGCCCGTCATGGAATATGTACAAGTTTGCTCCCAAACACAATGTAATTTGGGACAACTGGTCTTCATTAGAATATCGATCAGTCTCGTTAACAAAGTTCTTGTCATCTTGTTAGTCTCACTTTCCATTCCATTAGAATGTAATCCCTCAGGATTTTCTCGTACGCTACCCTCATAATTAAACTGACTCAGTCAACGGAATTACCGTGGGCAAAGACCGTTGAACAAGAAAGGCTGGCTCAAAGAAGATTTCGCCAGCAGCAAGACGTGGAATATATACATCTCTCCTCGCCTGGATGAGATGGACATTTTTGAGCGAAAATGATGGCGACGGAGAGAGAACATTTTCATCCTATCCTATTCATCAACCATTTCATGAGGCGGAAGCGAGATCTGCTTTGCTGCCTTCCCTTTCAATGTCTCCCCATTCAGCGGAGAGAGACTTGTTCATAATCCGTCTACCAGTCCTGTGTAAAAATGTAGGTTACACAAACTTCATCTTAATTCCAAATAAGCAGAATCAACTTTCTAATTAGATTTAAGTCCACCTGGAATGTTCGCTCATACTCATGAACGAACGGATCAAGGATGAAAGGCATGTACAAATCCTCCGTTTCATTAGGAAACTTTGAAAAGACGCTCTTCCCTTAATGCGCAACAAGTATAATTCTCCTCATTTTCGCAAAAAATAATATTTTCGCCACCTGCTTGGCATCCATAGTTCATCGCAAAACACGATTTATTATGCTGACCATACAGTGCAGTTTTTTCACGTCTGAATACGAAATTGAGCCAGGCATATGGATACATACGTCTCATATTCCCAAGCGACACAGCCCATAATAAATACATATGCAACTACATACGTAACATACGTTCACCATCACACACATGCATTTCACTCTCCAATCAATAATTCACTCCACCAAATCAATACGAAACCCAATTTAAAGTCCATTTTTAATGCCAATCCATCCAAATCTATACATCTAAACCTCAACAACAATTCATAATAACGTACATCACACACCCGCATCCCATCAACTTTCTTCTTTCATCGGGCCGATTCATGCAAACCATATTTTTCTACCAAGCAAGCGGAGGGCGAAATAATACCAAATAGACTCCTCCATTCGAATACTCACTCACCGATGCGGGTATAATTTTCCAATCATACCCACTCTTCGAAAATACCCATGCTACTTGCTCCACAAACTCGAGATAAACCAACCAATTTGACGACATTTTCCGTGGTTTTTGGTTGGTGGTGGCGGTGGTGGGGGGCACAAAAGCCACAACAACAGGACAGGTGCCTACCAATGTGCGAGAGAACACCAATCTACCACGCAGTGCTGGCTGTACACGTAAAATTCCGGACGGAGGAGCAAGCACAGCCAGGTTTGAAGTGAGCCACTTGAATGGAGAAAGTTAATGGAGGAGCTTCCAAAAATGAAATTTAAGCCACCAAGCGAGAGGTCTCTCTTTCTGTCTCATGTCAAATTATGGTGGTGGAACTCAATAATGGAGAGTATGCGATTTGGACTTTTGTATCCGCACTCTTGTTGTTGCACAGAAAGAAAACCTCAAAGTTATGAAGGACTTTGAATACTGTTACCCAATTTTGCATGCATAGTGGTACATCTAAACAGCTTTAGCATGCTTTCATCCAATTTTTCTCTCTCCACCGTTTTCGCCAACCTGTTTTACGCAACAGTTGTTGGCCAAAGGGATAGAAATAAAAAGTAATGAAATATCTCTTCTCGTACATATCTTTTATTAAAGTCGTAAGGATATGATAAATCCACTTTGGTTCACAAGTCGGGACCCTCCGTCCCCTCATAATATCCTTTGGAAGGCACGAACAATATTTATCAGGAAGGTATGGAAGGAACCACTTGTATTTTTCCACCACACTTAACAATACCTCTCCTCTCCAGTTGCAAGTAGCCAATTTGTTCTCATTAAATGAAATTACATTCTTGCCTCTATAATCGGTCTTTAACGAACACGACGTTATTTCTCCCACGCAAACAGCATACCAGAATATAATCATTTCAGACTGAAATATCTCCTAAAACTCGCAAAAAATAAAAAAGTCAAACGTCAAAGAGAAATGCTGCTTGGAACAGCATAAAAATAGCCTGGGAAATATTTCTATCCAATCTTTCACCCAATCGTTTGTAGGTATTCCGGATCGCATGTCCTCCTATTTACCCACAAAGAGACCACATTTCCAACCAAATTGATATCACGGGAAATGGCCACCCATCTCACAACTCTGTTGTTTCACTCAAACTGTCGTAGGTAATCGATTATGTTGGGCTGCATTAATTACACTTACGTACGTCAAACATCATTAATTATTGCGCGGGAGAGGACACATAGAACGTTCTCACAAATGATACGCAAATAATTTAGCAGCATAATTAAGCAGTTCATAACAAGATGTCCTTGTTATTTATACACAGGCCAAAACTGAATGAAGCAGCTAGAGGAGTGCAATAATGAGGAATTATCTGCGATGATTGAGGACTAAAAACTAAGTACTTCTCGAGTCAATAATTTGTGTGAAGACGGGGGAGGCAGGCAGGTAGCTGTGTTATTGATTAGGACCCACTCGCTCATAAAGTGTAATACAACCACTAATCAGTCATGTAAAAATGTCCATTCGCAGTTAAAGAGCGGGGGAGGCAGGAATGCATAAAACCTTGGACAATGGTTGCATTGTCGCGGCACGCCACGAAATGGAGAGATAACTATGATGAGCGGTGCGTGCTGTGAAGATACCGTGAGTCTAAATAACAGGTGTAATCAATATCTTTTGACGAGTGAGGAAGCGAGAGGGAGAAAAATTACGAGATATAGTTCAGTCAGTATCAAATACAAAGTCCACTTTCACCTGTCATCCAGAACACCCTGTTTTCTGCATGCATGGTAGCACTCAACCCATATCGTTCCAAGCTGTAAACCTGGCAAGAAGATAATTCAGAGTTTATGGTTTGAAGGGCTTTATGCACTTTGACTTATTATTACACAAGCCAAGTCGTATAACTGGCTGGACATGGATATGAGTGATAAACATTCGACTGCTATGCAGAATATTAATAGTATACATCCTCTACACGCATATACATACATACCCCGGTACGTTTATTAACTTTTAACATTGTGGCATGCAAACACATTACTCAGTCATTAAATTCCTCTTTATTACTGGAAAGTAAGAAAGTAGGCAGGATCACTAAGTCCAGTCCAGTAGAGAAATTCAATACTTTACGACATTTCTAGCCCTATTCACATGCAGCACATATTTACAACGTGTGTGCAGAGACCTTCATCCAACCTACAAAAAAGATGTGACAACAAGTCACTAAAAGTGTGTCGCAGGGAACAAATGATGCCAAAAAAATGATGGATTCGATTTAATAAAGCGTGTGTGTCATCCATTGTGTGGAGTGGTCGATGTAATTACCATGTAATTTTTAAGCTAAATTATCCAACAGTTAATAAAGTCCCATAAATCTTCCCTCAAATTGCTTTTTCGACCTTTCCCCACTTCAATAACGATGCGATGAATTTTATTTTTATCCGTTCGCTGCCAAGAAAGAGAGTCAACTTTGATTTTAATTCCTTTTGGCAGGTTCCTGAGCGGGACAACAAGTCATCCCAGCAAGACCGAGTGCTATGCTCGTACTTATTATCATACAAAGTATGAACAAGTGACGTTCTCAATCGTTCATTATATTTACGAGAGTAAAAAACAGTCTAACCTACCAACTTTGGAACATTACAAGAAAAACGTCCAACAAAATTCCAAGAATTCGGTCAAGGGGAGTTACCCTGTCCCACTGCTACATACGCCAAGTGGTACTCAACACTGAGAGTGCAGCGTTACTGCCAAATTATCTCTCCTTCGCCAACAACATCGCCTAAACCTCCACTCCAAGAGACAAAAATGGACAAAAATTCGAGTACAAAATCCAAAACTCGGGCTGAGTGAGGAGTTCTTGTTCACATTTATGGTAGTTATTCCATCTCAACCAAGTTAGTTGACTTGAGGGAGTTGTGCTCTAACTGTTCATAAAGCACTGTAAAAGAAGCACTCGAAATTTGGCTCATGGACAACACAGGCTAAAATAATTCACAATCCAATCACGCAAAGAGTGGTTGACTGGACGTGGCGAAAGTGTATGTTCAGTTGTACGTAGGTCGTCCACTACGCGCTTCCCCACAAACCATACGAGCATCTAACAAATTGAGGGAGTTATTTGGCTGGTTTAACTTGAAACTCGGCCAAAAGTGTCAATCTGCCTGCAGCAACAGAAGCACAATCTCCTCCATTTTCCATTCCAAGTTGGTTGAGAAGTAGACCGCCACCATTTCCGTGAATGAGGCAGCAGCGAGATAGTGCAAGTAAGGAAGAAAGGACAAACAATGCCTCGCCACGCCACGCCAGATTTTATCAGTGATAAAGCGATCCATACTTTTTAGTTTGCTGACTTTTCACTTTCACTCCACGTCGACTACACACACTTCAAACTACGGCATGGTTTCCCCACCCTCCATTCACAAAATCAATGCAAGCCTGTACACAACCGGGTTCCACTGCTGCTAATGTGCATGTCTCGTCCAAAGTCAGAGAGAGCTCCCGTGATAAATTGAGAAGAAAGAGATAGAGAAGGAGCAATTAAATATTACTCGGAGCTACCCGTGCTACTGCAGAGATTGAGATTGCAGTCTACAATAATCTAGTCAATTTAGCTCACGTCGACTTCCCATTGCTACAATTAAGTTTAGTGCACTTGGTGCTAATAAAGTTGGCAGCCCAACCAACGACTAATCTTACCAGCTACCTACCTAAACATTTAGTACGTATCCGTATACGCATACTTCCACTGCAGCTCTGGGAATTTGTTGGACTTCCCAATCAATCTTGAGCTTTTACTTTCCAAGAAAAAAAACAATCCGAGTTTATTATCATAACGAAACGGAGGGAACAAAGAAAAGTCAACCAGAGTGTCATTCGATATGCTCTGTCATTAATTCTCAAATTCTCCTCACCACCAGTCACCTCACAACATCATCGAAACGCCATTTACAAGATTCTCTCGAGTTAATTTTGGACTAAAAGAAGAAAGAAGACGACGATGACTGTGACTATGCACGTTGAAACCAACAAGGAAAAAAAGTAGACCCGTCATAAAAAACAACCGAGTGCAGTGCAGCAAACCTAACTTTTCCCCCTTTAGCTCCCAACTTGTACGTACTAAATATATATCGTCGTTAGTTAACCAAAGTGCTCGTTCCAAAAAGTTCCAAACACATTTGACTCCTCCAAAGTCTGTAAAAGTTTAAAGGAAAAGAACAGCAGTGAACGAACGACACAAGGAAACTCCTGCTACTTATTTCGACATAGATTATTATACGGATCGCTGTCTTGGCTGGTCGTCAGTCACTCACACAGATCACTTCCTTACGGATCAACAAGTTTTCTGGTTGCCATCTTATCTCCGCCTCCTCAGCCAAGATATTATCCGTAGGAGATAAGCCAACATGTCATGGGAGAGGGTGGCCTGAATTAAATAATACTCCGTCAATACCACGCCACGATAGATGGAGACGATCAGATAGAGAGTGAGAGTAAGGCCACGTAAGTAAACATAACTCTCACGGAGGAAGGATTTGTGGGTGTATAATTTTTGTCTCCAAATTTCTGCATCTTGCTGACAGACTCAGTCAACAATTCAAAGTTAATAGTCTGCATCGCCCTAATTTCCCCTTGGAGAGAAAAGTGTGACCCCATTGTGCAGCATGCAGTTGTTATTCTCCCACTGAACTCAACCAATTTGATGTCATCTCATCGGGAAAATTGTGAAACAGGAGGCGAGGAGTGAACTTGATCCATATACGTAAGAGAACAGCCACTGGTGATGATAAGCCCAAGTCGGACAAGGGGAAATGTAGATAATCATTAGATAGATCCAACCATTAGCGAGAAAGAGCAGGAGGCAGAAGACGAGGGTAAAAGTTTTGTCGACTGACTCGGGACCGGTGCTAGATATACGGACCACGTCTTTCTGGTGGAAGTGGTGATGCAGCAGTTGGCAGTGTTTCCACTTTTGAGTTGTACATTCGAGACATTTATCACTCAAACGTGATAACATTGCAAACTACGGAATACATAACGCAACATAACATACGTACGTACGTATGTAGCTAGATAGATAGCCAACTACTGACTCGAGGAGGATCCAGATTACTCTCACAAAACATAAGACGTCGTAGTAATAATAAAATAGTAAAAAAAAAAGTCGCCTACTTTCACCAAGGATTAGGTGACATAAACACAGAACGCACACAGCTCAGTATTCATAAGCTCTCCATTAATAATATGACTCTTGAGTTGGACTCGCACTATCAAAGCTTGATGGCCAGCAAGGGGAGATCCTCGTCCATGTGTGCACCCGGGTTTTCCGCGATGGAGACGCAAGCCATAGTGGCTGCAGCTGCAGCAGCGGGCAGGCGACAACAACTGCCCCCTCAGAACCTCAATGGTCGCAACTACTCTCAAGAAGACTCTCGTCAGTATGTGACTCGAGGTAGTGGAGGCAGCATGCACATTGCCAACGCCACGTCCACTCCAACAAGAACTAGAAAGCAGCATGGGGCGCATCGGAGTCAAAGTGCTCGAGTTCCAGGATCACAACGCCCCAAAGTAAAACGAAGGGAACAGGAATTGCAAGAATACCAACAGCATCTCGACCTCGCCTCCTCCGAAGGTGCTCTCAGAGACTGTCAAGAATCCTACAACCCTTTTCTCAACAAAGTCCCCAGCACGGGACGACTCGTGACTTCTACTTCGCTCGAAATGAGCCAAAACTCTCTCCATCAACAACACCCCCACCACCAAGGCACACCCCCGCCAATCCACCACCACCACCAACAGCAACAACAGCAGCAGCAAATCATCAACGCTGCCTTCCTCCTCGATGCCCCACGAGAATCGCCTCACCTCCGAAGGCGTCACAGCGGGGGCGGTTACGAGCGGAGAGGTTCCGCCGACCATAAAGGTCTGACCGAACAAGGGGACAAGTATGGCTATGGTGGAGGACCAGTCATCATTCCCACCATTGCCACCCCCGAAGGGTCCCCACTCCTCCCCATGCGACGAGGGGGGAACAATGGGGGGAGCAACATGAATTCAAACAGCAAGCCTGCAGGTCTCCCCAAGTCCCCCACCGCATCCCGCTCGGGTTCTCAGCGGAGAGTGAACTCGATGAAGAGTCCGCGGAGAACTCAGCAGGAGAGATACCTGGATGTTCCGGACAACAATCCGCAGACTTCGCCTGAGGACGAGGATGAAGAGTCGTACCGCCTGAGATCCTTCAGCCTAACTCCCAAAGGTGAGACGAAAAAGCTTTTTCTTCTCCCATCACTTCATGTTCAGGCACTTTTACTATTTTTTATCAAATTGCTTCTGCTGCATCCAACCGAGTTAGCTCACCTCACACCTTGCTTCCATCCACGATCGACCACCACTGCCCAATAATAGTACCTTCATGTCTATCGGGTTACTTACTTTCTCACAACTTTTTCCCCTCACTCTCCTTCACGAGAAACGAACAATTTCATTTGCCAAATAGGATTTCCTTCTTAACTTTTATAAACCCAATTCGTATTTTACCCACATCATCCATCCACACTTTTCCTACGTCTCAATTGCAAACCAGCCAGGTTACTGAAAATTTACAGCCCAACCACCAAAACGATGCATAAATATGCTACAAGCTTTACAACATTGCGGCAAATTGTCATCCGACAACATAATTTAAATTTTTATCCTCAGCCTATTTCGTAAGTAGTTGTTGGAATGTTGTAGCTATTTCATCCACTCTGCGGCCTTGTAAAGGCATACATAGTGCTGAGAGCATATTTGCATATGCAGGAGTGAGCGGAGTAGTGGTGCCCAATGTGGCTTTTGACCTGGAGAGAGAGAGAGAAGTAAAAGAAGAGAAAGTAAAGAAAAGGGAACGAAAGTGCGCTTCACCTTTGCTGACGACTGCTTTCCACAGCATTGCTCACTCAGTCAGTCTCTCCCTACCTGGGTCGTATTGCCCTTTGTATAATAAAACCCGTGCAGCCCAGCCCACTAATAAGTTCAATCATGCAGGAAAGAGAAAGTACAGCGTAGCTACTACGACTACTACGGCTGCTCTATTCAATATGGGATCGCGTGCATGCGAAATTCGATTTATGCTCTTTCGTTTTTATTGTTCTGCTGCTGCTCACGTTGCAAAGGAAATGCCAGGTTCTCCTCCGCACACGGGCCACGCCAGGTAGACGACCAAAATTCCTAAAGCAAGACGTCCGCATACTCGGCTGCACATTTTAATTCACTCAACGATTTGGGCCAATAACATCAAGAGACAGAGTCTCGATTCGCTGAATTTTACAAGCTCAGTTTCCGCCACTACGTCGTTATTGCGCAGTCAGTAAAATATTATCCCAAACAAAGAGTCAATTTGCATTTCAAACAAGTGCACTTTCGTTAAAAAGACATGACAATTTCGAGTGAAAGGCAGGCGAAGTTTCTCGGATTATTCATTTTGACGTCTTTTTCAGCGTGAATTAGTCAGCAGTCTCATCTTGACGATGATTACATAAAATCACCGTCGGATTACTGCCCATCACTTGTACATTCCCTCGGACTGAATGCCCGTTAAAACGTGTGGTAACTAAATTTATGGTGATGAAGAATTGACGAAATGACTCAAGGGTTACTCCTTATTTGATAAATGAAGGTACCGCACGTGCAAGCTAACCTAACCAACACAGCTATAGGTCTGCAGCATGGGAAAAGTCAGGGTCACGCCTGTGACGGGTCCATTTCTCAACTGAAATGTGTTACCATTCACAAAATGTATTGTTTGAGTGCAGCACTCATTTGGATAAGGAGATTAAAATAGGGGAATGAATGGAGGAAAGGGTGCATTTCCACACATATAAATAAAAGAGGAAATTACGCCTAAAAGGAGCAATAAATCAGCATGGAAAATTCACCAGTGTCACGAGCGCAGAAGACCGAGAACAAAGTACAATCTAATTCAACCATTTGCCACAAAGAGCAGGTAGCAGAGGTATGCAAGTAGGTGACACTGAAGGAATTGGCAATTTTCCTCAAGCAGTCTCCCTCTTCTCCCGTGAAGAATTGATTATGTTTTCTACGGCTGGTGAAAAGGAGGAGAAAATACAAAACAAGCCGCAGGTTGCACCTCTTACAAGCCCACCTTCGCATTCCTATTCATTCATTCCATCAACCGTCCCAATAACACTGATACATCGCCACCACTCTTGCAAATCCACTTTGCCAATTCATCATTCCGCAAAGGATCACAAAACTTTCAACTGCACCACACGAATCGTTAGCTTTCAACAGAGCGTGGTATTCCGTGCCACGTATAACATGCCGTATTCAAATCATCCACGAGGTGAGGTCTAGTCGAAATCTCGTCTCATGATGAATTGTGGGTGATAATAATGATATGAAACCTTAAAGAGCAAAAGTCACTCATCCCGTCTCAAAATTGCGTGAATTCGAGGCGGAAAAAAAGCATTTACTAAAAATCAAAGTAGATCGTAGCCACGAACCAACCAGTGGCAGCATGCAGTACGTAATACGTATGTACAAAGAATGATGATGAGAAGAAGGCCAATGTATTGTAAATGTCACTGGTGCAAAGAGAGAGAGAGAGAGGCGAGAACCAATACTCGATTACGAGTTGGAAAATAGCCAACACTTATCAGATTGAACCGAGAAATGCTCTCCAATAATCCAGAGTTTTTCTGCGCTTATTTTGGGATCAAGAAAATGAAAATCATACAACTCTGCTCTCACTCTCGTTCGTAGTAGCCGTGTGTAGGACGTTGTGCAACAAACCACCACGAGAGGAGGAGGAGGATGATATGCGAGGATACGATATTTTTAATGCCTGGCTCGACACAATATTGCAACTAGAGAAAAAAAAATATTGGTGGTGGCAACGAAGCCAGCAGCAACAGCCGGTTGTAGTTAAACATTCAAAACCGACTCTCCAATCCGCCTCAAGCATGCCAAGCGGAGAGATTTTCTAAAAACTTACAGAGATGAAGTGAAGCTTATTGAGCCATATATTGGAGGAAAACATGAGAAAGGCAGGCCCTTTCTCCAATACAAGTGGATATGGTTACATTGGAGTGAGTGCGGCATGCATGGGACGATACTTGCCGTTTTTCCATCCACGTCTCGTGACAGAATCCAATCCAATTTTTGCATCCTGCAAACCCACATGAAACATTAGTTATGACTGTAATCGACGCCTTAAATTATACAGAGCTCCCACTTCATGCCAATCCGGCTAACAAGACCAACCACTCTTTCCGTCGTGGATATACTGTTAATGAAGTATAAATACTGGTGGACTTTTCTATACACTTGGTGATTGGCCTACTTTGACTTTCATAACCGATGCAGTTACATAATCCCACAAAGTACATGTACCCATCTCTTCATCTTGAGCAATCTGTCTGCAGAATTGTGTGAACATTCCAAGGAAAATTGCTCAATAGACAACAGGCTGCTCGTACTTAGGATTAGTTCTCATTATTGACACTTTTGACACGTATCCCGCAGCTGTCAATTACGTTTTTGAATCCACGATATCCATTATAATAAAAACAAAGGCTCGTGTATCTCGTCTGACACATGCCCCTCCAAATAACATGAAGCCCATGTTCACTTCACATTCCCCCATCAATCTGTGGACAGGGGAATCCCAACCAACAATTTCACCCATTGTGAGCGGAAAAAGTTGACAGAAGCTGAGTGAGCGACCTTGTCTGTGTGCCTTGCTTTCGTTGAACACTCAGCTTTCACCCTCCACGACTTCACATGCAGCTCAAATCATGGTTTCTTTCGTTTTATGCGGGTGCCAATTTCCGGCCTGCTTCCTTTCTCCAAGTCCCAAGTTCGATTCCACAATCAGTTCCGATTTTCTCAAGAATTGTGAAAACATAAAATCAAACAGCCATCGAGGCACAGACGTTTGGCTAAAACAAAGCTTATACATCTATATTCTGTATATGCGCCATTTTAGTTGACAAGCATTGTTGCGACTCGTGACATAGAGAGCGCGTCCAGAAAGCACCCTACATGGCCATTCCTCATTCGAAATTAGTAGTAGGACCAAAGTTCATAACGTAAATTTCATTTCCTCTCACCATCACCAGCCGTTTGGTATGCAAGGCCAAAAAGTTGATAATAATACATAATATGCAACTTGTCTCTCGCATGCGAGTAGGAAGGAGCAGTAAAAGATGGGAATAAGACCGAGATGATATAATTAAATTAGTGAGCCTGAGTCAGAGCAATAATAGTGAAGGTCTCATCTTGTGAGACATCCGTCCCAACTTTGGGTGATTAGTGAAAGTCTTAGAAAGAAAAGTGCTAGGGACAGATAGACTTTTCGCCTACAGTCCTGAGACTGCTGTTGCCCGACGACGTCCTCCTTAAGATTAGCACTAAATAGTGTACGAGAGGAAGGAGAGGGGAAGCTAGCACACATGTTCATGCAATGATTTTCTTCTCGTGAAAGCTAATCCGCACTACGAAAGCTGAAGGGAACATAATTGAAACTCAAATTTGTCAAGGAGAACTGAGCACAAGCGACGACTTGGAAAGCACGGTCATTGCTCAACCCTCGGAGTAAACTAGTCCAAGTACTACATACTTGGTTCGTTGGGGTGTTTTTTTAAAAGAAGACAGCAGAATTTGAATAGAGATTCGATGAGATTTCTTGGTGGCAGTCCACAGTGTTCAAAGAGGCCAATTTATTGGAAGTAATTCCCCGAGCACTTTTCTCTTAATATTTTTGCATTTTCCGAGCTCTGGGGGGTCAAAGACGTGCCCATAAAAAATTTGACGAGCCAATTTCGCCGAATGTCGACCCTAAAATGTCTAAATTTCAAAATCGGCGAAATTGGCTGTCGACATTGCCAAAAGTGCTAGAATATTTATTTTGAATGCTGGGGGAGTATTAGTTTTAAATTTGAGCTTTATAGGATCATGTCGAAAATTCGACAAGTCGACGCCATTCCCTTACGACATGGGTCAATTTCACTTGCGACGCACTTTTTAGCCCTAGCTGAAGCTAGATATCGATTTTTACTACTCTACGTCATGTTGAGTTTCGCCTGTTTTGGACAATTTCGACATGATTTTTTTCAATGTTCCCGGCCATGTTTCATGGAAATGTGCAAATTTCAGAACTCCATTTTTTCAGAATATGTACATACCAATGGGGGCCATCATTTACAACCATTTTCAGAGTTTGAAGTTTGCACTCTTCGGAGAACCACGCCCCTAAAGTAGGGGTGTTTTGCCTTTCGCCAAACTTTGACCTGCAATAACTTTTTTTGTTTATGGACCGATTTTGATGAAATTTTTTTAGAAGGTGTAGAATCGCTTAGCACACAAGTTTGGACTGGGCGATTGACCCTAAACCCACTAGGAAAAAACCACACCCAAAGTGGGTGTGGCTCGTCAAATTTTTTATGGGCACGTCTTTGACCCCCCAGAGCTCGGAAAATGCAAAAATATTAAGAGAAAAGTGCTCGGGGAATTACTTCCAATAAATTGGCCTCTTTGAACACTGTGCAGTCTAGAAAAATGACTCGTCGTAACATTTGGTTTTACGGATTTGAGGAAATTACGCAGTTGTGAAATACTGCAGGGTTCAGTTCCTTCAGTGGATGGGATGTGCTACATCCATATCTGCCAAACGGACTCGGACAACTTTTACTACGTACACACAGAGATCTCATCTGAATAATAATAACAGGAGACGAGAATCTCACCATGAACAAGGATGAGGACAGAATAAGTGGAATGACCTTTTTCTGCATGCAAACAAATCTTGCCTGTTGTCAACATAATGTCTCATCTGTTCTGTTCCTAATCTCGTAAGTGGGAAAAGCTCAGCAGCTTGACCTGAAACGCTCCAAGTACGTTGGCGACAACGCAAAGATTTCATCGTCTAAGGACGAGCAGGAAGTACTCCCATCCAAGTCTTGCATTAATAGTTAAATATCAGAAAAATTAATAAGCCGACGAGTTGTGCATTGTTCCCTTCCTTGGAATTAGTCAGTTTTAATATTCTCTCGTTCAGTATCATTGCGCCGTTCTTTCCGGGTGGAGAGGCTGGCTGTTGGAGCCGAGTGACTTTTTCGTATAAATAGTTTCAAAATTTATGCGAAAGTTGATCTAATGAAGGCTTATTGGCTACGTGAGCGGAAGACACAAAACATAACCTGACCTGGTAGATTCTCCGAATTTTCAATCGCCACCACACAAGTCTGACATGTTTTTGTAAGTCTGCCGCGCAAGGTAATTGATTAGGTACGGTGGCAATCTTCTAAAAATCAACATCGATAACCAGACACCAGTCATAACATACACAACTCTTTACATCATGAGAAGAATATTTTTTTGGAAACATCAGCACCTCTGCAGACGACTGCATACTAAATTCTAATCCTAAGAGGACTACATACTCCTCTTTCCAGATTGAAAGCCATAAAAAATGCCGCTAAATAGTCAGAGGGACGCCAATCAGCTCTGTTTCATGACATCACGAACCTTTGACTTTAGACTTTGCTCGGTGCCGAAAAAACTAAAGAGCTGATGATGTAAATGTAACGGATAGGAATGATTTACGATTATAGTTTTTACTCTGCTGCGAAATACGGCGAGATGCAGTGAGATCAGCAGTGACGAAAATGGCATGGGGCACAAGAGCCGCTATAGTGCACACGTGCGTATTCTCACTATAAACACATCTGCCTCAATTAGAATTTCCAGTTGACAACGAACGATGACGCAAACGGTATGCAAGTGTAGTGGGTAGAATAAAGACGTCCTTCTTATTAGTTACGCCATGCATGCACAACAACTTCCGCAACGTTTTTTCCCATCGACTCTCGCTCTATGACATCATCAAACTTTACGACTGCATCCACAGAGGAGCCAACTTTCTGAATGTGCGTAAGTTCAGAAAAAATAAGTAGGAAACGAAGAGCGACAGTTAACAGAGGGCTCATTTATCTCTGGGTCGGGTGGCTGGCAGCTCCAGAGAATAAAAAAAGAACGGATATGCAGAAAGATCCATCACGTCTGCACATTTTGCAAGAGGAGGATTGCATTTTTTTTTTAGCTCGCCCATCAATTTTAGAAAGATATTCATTTTTAATCAGATCTACATTACATATTTCACCCTTGTAAATTCTAAGCTATGAACTGTGTACACAGTTGGGTTGTATTGCCACGTAACACGCGAGTCAAGCCGTTTCGACATGGAACCAGTAATAGAAGATGTCCTTCGTTCTAACTTTTCCTGCTCCAGCCAATTCCAGAGATATTTTCGGATTAACCCAACTACTTCATATCCCAACGTATAGTACAATATGTCAGGCAGCAGCCTGTGTGTACATGTTCTCCAGAATTACCTCCCATGCATCTCGCCCGTCGCCCCATTCCCGGCCACACAAGAGCTTTATCTATTCCACATATGTATTGTGTAGTACTGCATGTCATCCTCATGCTAAAACTGACAATTTATAGTTCCCCCCACGAATGAATAAAACGAAACTACATTCTTAACCGCAACAGCAACCCGTCACAACATCGAGAAATTCAAATTTGAAGAATGTTTGGCTTGGAGTAGTGAAATTGACTGAGGAGTAGCAGATGCACCAGAGTATGTATGCATAAAATCAGCCGCAATCTCCGAAACCGGCCACAATTTCATTTTGCATAACCTACTACAAACTTGTACCACGGAGGTAATAAGATGATCATAAGATCAGATGAGGGAATCAAAATATCTCACAAGACAAGGAAACCAACCAACCATTCATCTACCCACCAACCAACTAGCACACAGCTCAAAACTTTCACCCGTAGCACTGCCCGTTCTAATTCTCACAGACTTGAAAACTTGCATAAAAATAAAACAATGCTCGAAAACCTACGTCTGTGGTGCGACTGAGAAGCACGAGAAGGAGAGCTAAGGAGATACAGAAGAGTCTTTTTGAAAAGTAAATCAGTGAGACAGACGTTGAAGGGATCGGAGCATAGTCGTCATCTCCATCACACAAACAAACAACACTCCCATTCGCTCTATTTGCTCTACAGAATTGGTTTAAATCAACCATGAAATGGGATTATTTTCCTACTATTTATTTCCCCGAGATATTTATTTTCGGCAACAGCTAGCGACAGAGAATACGGGTGTGCGCATTATAGACGACCCAATACTTCAAATACAGCTCTGGGCAAAAAGAAATTGCTTCCTTTGATGAAGAGGAAGGTCAATGACTATCTTATTTGACGAGATACAACAATTGCATAACAATAATAAATAAATACAACGTCACAATTCTCGGTTGAAATTTTACCAAGGTGTCTCATTTCCAAAAAGCGAGTAGAAAGTGCAGTGCAACAAGGGACACGGTTTTGTAACGACTGCCTTGACACGTGAAGGATGCTAACCGACTAATAACTCTATTTTCGTTGAAATGACCGTACAACGTCACTCTCGGCAGGTTGATGAACACATATTTCAAAATTAGTTTTCCACATTTTCATTTGTGCGCAACTTTAGCTTGGATTGACAATTGAGTTCAGCCAAAGGAGGAACTCGAGTCCTTCTCAACCAAAAGTTTGTATGAATTTCACCACTGCCAACTACACGATTTTCACATTATGGGCAACTTGCTCCTTGTCGACAACAGTCAATCAATCTGTCCGGCTCCGAGAATGACACTCCTCTCGCCGATGGTGTGAAACTCATCATTTCCCACACACACACAAAAACTTGTTTGAATTGAACTTTCAGAATTCAACATATGCGAAATGAAATGACCTCTGCTATTCTGTTCTGAGAGCGAGATTTAGTGAGCAGCTCTCCACGTATGCATGGAGTGACTTGATGTGACCACGTCCATCACGTTGTTGTAGCTTTTTCTTGGGCATCCGCCACCAACAAAGAGTTGGAACTTGGAAGGTCAAGTGGTGGGAAACATGGCGCGGTACTTGAGAGCATGTAGGAAGGAAAGTTGAATCAGTTCAAGAGAAAACCATTAAAAGTTATGCCGCGAAAATAGTGCTTCGATCTCATAAAAATTGGCCACATTAATGGAGGAGACTGTGTAGAGATAGGGCAGCTTGTATGTGGGTGGACCATAACAGCATCTCAACAGAGACACTCGAGGAATTGAAATCAGGAAGGAGCCATTGTCGAGGCGAGATCTTGAGGGCATACAGCGTGTTTAAAAGGGATAAGAACTTTTAGTTTTCCGGTACACTGCACTTACCGGCTCGTCCTTTGCTAGTCAACATACGTCCGTATAGCATTGAGATTTAAGATGTACGCCTGCATGTAGCACGTGTATGTATATGGCACTCTATAAGACGGGGTTGGCGGAAATGTGGGTAAAAGTAGAGCATCTTGTCTTTGTCATAAATACTTAATGACTTAAACTTTCCTAGCTCTTTTCGTAAAAACGTTTCCAAGTTGAGATCAGCCAAGCCAAAATTCACTCTGCCGTCAGTCGGAAGAATACACTCGGGTACTCCTGCAAAACAGAACAATTCTTCCCTAAACCCATTCAACGAACACGGGGATCACAATTCCAAACCTTTCCCCAATTTTCTCCACTTGTTCCGCTACGCTTACTCGCTCAGCCAAGCCAAATCCAACACAGCATACACGATTACACTCACAGACTCCTAATCCGACCAGCTCTTATCCAAACATCAACTTGTGCAAAATTCAGGGAGAGTGAGCAGCGGAAGCAAGTCTTGCTAATTGATGGGTTTCCTGTTACAATAATTATACCTACCTAGATATTTGCCTTTTTGGGCATCATACACATTACTGGCATTTGATCTAGCTCTTGCAACATGTGTAATGGCTTTGTATGAACATGCCCAAGATAATCATTGGCATTAGTATTGGCAGTTTGGTACATACTCAACTGTTTATTATTCCGCAGGGATCGTGAACCGAGGAGACTCATTTAGACGAAGACGTTCTCGCAGCAACAGCTTGATCCCCACTCCCACCACTCCAGACCCACAACAGGGAGGAAACAATGGGGCCTTCACATCCGAAGATGGACTCCTCATGCCGGCCAACCTTAGCAGCAGAGCCAACAGTCGCAACAACAGCAGACGCTCCTCTCGTGCGTCTCCCAATCAAACGCCAAACCAGAGTCCGCGACCAAGCATTGTCCCACAGCCACCGTCCCCCACCGGCCCCACCACCCACTACAGAGTGGCCATGATTGGAGGGAGAGGAGTGGGCAAGTCAGCCCTAATCTCACAATTTCTCACCTCCGACTCAATCAACGCCTACGACGGCCAAGACGGTAGGTTGATTTTCTTTCATCAATCCATTCATTCTCTGTGTATGTACTATACAAATCCAGCGAATCGTGCAGTCAGAGCATGTCAGCAGACTTCCTGACGTAAGGGTGAGATTAGAGTCGCATTCTGTCAGCACGGGAGAAATCAACGATCAATTATATTTTCATTTGAGAGAGATAAGTGCTATTTACCCTGTCAATTGTGTTTGCATGTAACATGACAAATTCATAGCAGGAAGGCAGGCTGGGAAATAGAGTCAACTGTGGAGAATGACCCCCAATGGTGGGATAAAAAAGACGTGGAATGCAGATTTTCAAACAAGTGATGTTAACAACAATGTGAATTGCGAGGTGTGTGTAATGTAAGCTGTCTGGCTGCTTCACGTCCTTTCTCCAGTCCAACACACTCACACACGTCAGCCTGGCTTACATGCATTGTCATACTTTCACCTTTTCCTGACAGCCTCATAAAACATGAAAGGGTGAAAGTGCCATCACAAAGTGGAGAGGAGACACTCATGCTCGCTCACTCACTGTACAGTTACCAACCACCACGAGGGCGAGAAATAAGAAGCTGCAACGTTAATATTTTAAACCAACCCAAGTACAAAATTCATCTCCTACAGCGCAACCCCGTTATCTTAGGCTTCCGGATGTCAATTTTGAATCTACGAGACCGCGTGCATAATCACACCTAGTAAATATGTGCCACCGATTAGGCGCTATGCTCGCCTGCCCTCACTAATAGGCTATGAATCCTAGAAAACGCCAATAAAATTCACGCATTTTTCGTGCTTTGTGACCATCATACTAAACTTTTTGGTTACATGCACTCGTCAAATACGTACAAATGGTGTTTTTAACATGAAACGCCTTGTATAATCACCACTCGAAAATTTTAAACTTTTTAAATTTTCAAGACGTATAAAGTTTTTCAAAAAATGCACACCCTTCCAAAAAAAATCATCCTGCAATAGACAGCCTCTGGCCCTCTTTTTCAGAGAGAGGAAAAAAACTTAAGACTGCTGCTTGGACAATAAACTAGACTTGAGAGTTTAGCTATGTATGTATGAAAAAAGTTGGGAAAAGAAGACCTTTCACTAAACGTCCGTGTAAGTGAAAACTTTTAAACTAAATCAAACAACAGTTTCAACAACTTTCTTATTTATTACAAAGATTTTCCAGTTGGTGTACTCTCCATTTTCCGCACACCAGCGCTCTCCCTTCTAAAAGAGCATATTCTAACCTGATCTGACCTACTCGAACCTTTCTCTTGTTTAGTGGAAATTGCTTAGTGACAGCAAGATGTGGCCTCTAATAATATGGCCCCATGCACACACGATACTGAGCGATATTGAAAACCACGATAACAGATTAGAGTTAACGAGGGCTGGGAATTCGAGTTGATGGAAATGGAGTCCAGAGAAAGGATGTGATTACGTTCCTTCAGCATTTGGAAAGTTTGAAATAAAGATGTGATGCAAATCGCACAAACATGCCACATTTCCTCCTCTCCAAACTTGAGAGAAAGAATCATTCGCAGATTTTAAATCCATATTCCACCCAGTTTTTCTGCAAGTGTTTACAAGACCACCAGCCCACCCGATTCTTCTCATCGCTCATTCTATATACCACCTGCCCCTATAAAGACAATGCACCTCCATTGAATTCATCTCCACGTCGCTCCTATCTTCACACCAGCAACTATGTAACCTGTTAACTAATCCACTCGGATAAAACTTTTTACTCTCACAATCCTCTCTTGCCAAAAAAGCCTATTCAATTGCACGCGAAATTTCTGGGGAATATGTATTCTTCGAAAAGCTCTTTATCTCTCATCATTTGCAGCACACTCGCCCACGAACCAGTCGGAGCAGCAAAGCAAGGTTTCGAGACCTTGGAAAATTGAGTGCGACTCCTCATCAAATTTGCATGTCGATGGACTTTTTATACTGATTACTCCCGCTGATACTGATACACCATTTCGCACTTGAACGGAGATAAATCGTCACTTGAATTGGGCGATATTCAAATTTAAGGAGTTCATTCCTTAACAAAGGGCCAATTTGCAAGTCTAAAACTCCTTCTACTGCCAGCCTTCTCCGAAATCAGGAAAGAAAAATTGGTTCGGGTGACACCTGTGCAGGATCACATCATCAACTGCAGTCGACATAACGATCGTGTTGTCTTCCTGGGGTGTCCATAAAAATAAATTTAGCAGGAAGAAAACACATATCGATCAAGGAAAACGTACTCGTGTTGCTGGAAGCGCAGAGTGGGGACAATACAGCCAATTCAAATTCATCTCTTAGGCCATCCATAAACTTAAAGATTATGTCACCCACTCGGTTTTAAAAAGCTGGTAAATAGTGAGAACATGCATGAGATACATACATACTCTAAAATTATTGTTGCAGGTCACCTCATTTGCATAAATCTCACTATACCCATTTTCGGCGATACGGGTTTCCCATGTTCAGTAAACGCTGTCTCTTGCTAAGGCGTCCAAACATGTAGCAAATGAGGTGACACGCTGGAATAATTCTAGAGAAGATGAACGCATATAGTCGGCACGGCTGAAATATACCAAACTGCATCAAGGAAACAATTTATATCGAAAGTGGATGTACAAGAAAAAGTCGTTATCATATTTTTATGAGCATCTGCACTTTTCACGAAACAGAACAGTAGCATCCGTACTTAAAAAACTAGTCGAGATTTTGCAGCTTTGGAGAAGTAGGATTTCTGTCGGAGATTTCAGAGAACGATGCTGTACTGGCTGAGGCGGCTTCTCGATCGAGGTGGTCGAGAAGCCGCCTCAGCCAGTGGACACTTTTATTGCAAGAGACGTTCCAAGCAGCGAAAGATTGATCGAGTGCGCGGCTTACTATACATCCCTCTGAATTTTATGCGAAAATCCTGACGAGTCATAAACCCAGCAGAAGTCTACATGCAGACCGATGTATACAAAGTGCTTCATTATCTCCCTCGACCACACACATTTTCACATACAACAAACGTACCAAAGCCTTAGCGGCCGAGATTATAGATAACTCGTCGTCCTTTTTAGACCAAAATGTCTCCTCAAGACCAGTCCATCCGGTACTTATTCAAAATATGAGGATTTTGAGTACTAAAAAATCCTTGCCTAATATTGCCTATATTCATATGAGCATCCCTACCCATCGTATTAATACGAATGATTTTAATTTTCTCCATTTCCATACGCGTCACTTTCTCTCCCTATACAGCTTTGTCCTACGAAATTTGGGTTGGATGTGACAGGCTAACAAGCAAATCAAAACACATTCTCAATTGGAACACTCAACTTGACATGCTTCACAACGGAAACAAATGTGTGGCGTATACGTATATTTACAATGGCAACCTCATCCTATTTGTAGTCAACTTTCGTGTCGGATGGAAAGTCAGAGACTTTCGTATTGATTTAAGCAAGCATATTTATTAGTTTTACCCGTCTAATTTTCCTCCACATCTCAATTATTTGAACATGACCCATCCTTACATGAAAATAAACCTTCATGGTGAAAGTGACACCGCGACTTGAGGTGCATGTGAAGCTGTTTTCGTGCCTACAAAATGTTTACAAACGACTATCAAAGAAACTGACTGAGAAGTCTTGAAATATGGAGCATCATAATTCGCATTTCCAACTTATTTTGAGCTGAAGGAAACAACACCAGTCTGTTTGATTTCAAAAGACCAAAGTTGCTGGTGGTTTGTAATACAAACAAACTTTGTATCACTTTACTATTTTTTTTTGCCGATTGAACGTTTTCTAACCAAACACCCAAGACGAAATATTCTCAACGCTTGCAAAAACTATTGCTGAGCTGACTGATTGCATCTCACAGCTTCTAAAATTTCATAATACTGTCATAACGCGCAAACGTCATGCATTACGATACTTTTTTTAAAATATCACACCTTTCTAAAAATAATACAACGCGGTGGTGTGAACCTGCTAAACGTAGAGGCGGCCCATGTGCAATTATGTAACAATATTTTGAAACATGTATACATAGCACAAGGCCAACTCATCCAAATGTCAAAGCCAAGTCTTGAGAAATTGTAAATCATCTCTGTTTGTGTGTGTATGTACATTTTCAGACCGAATGACTTTCATTATCAAGGTACAACATTTGTATTTGTGTATTTTGTGAACATGTTGCAGATGTGGAGGGAGAGAAGACCGTGTCCGTGATGCTGAACGGGGAAGAATCGGAAATTACTTTCTTCAAGATGAATAACACGAAAGTAAGTCCTGGCAGATATGCAATTACGTTACGCCAACAGCAGTCTGTAGAGATTTCTTAATAACAAAAATTCAAATGTGTGTAGTCTCATCTAAGCATTTTTTTGATGAGATTTCCAGCCAACCAACCAACCAAGCTTTAAATTATCATCATGATATACTTTGACAGAAATATAAACATCAACATTAGTTTGAATATTATTTCGTCCATCAACACTGTGACATACGATCTCAAAGCTATTTAGCAAGGAAAGCAAAGTGGGCAGTGACAGTTGAACAAGTTGTTGATTTGGTTGGCTGGTGGCTACATGTGCAAGAAAGAGATAAACCATTCTGGATGGCCACACTGCCACCATATCCACGAGAACAATCTTGCTCGCCACCCACCTTCCCACCCACTTGACAGCGAACCTGAACGAGGTGCAAGTGTGGTTAATGACGAGAAGCATAAATATGAGAATTGATGAGATTGTTGCCAATATCGGTCTCAGGATTTCTTGCCATTTAATTTCAGACGGAACTGAACCGACTCACACCACCAGATGGTTTTCTTCTCGTCTACTCCGTCGTGGATCGAGCCAGCTTTCAGAGGATGGAAACCGAACTTCGAAGACTCCAAGAAATGGATCTCCTCAGAACCAAGGCTGTTGTTATTGTGGCCAATAAAATTGACTTAGCCAGAAGCAGAGTAATAGGAACTCAAGGTGACATTTATATCTGTTTATCGCATCCTACACATGACACGAGAGCTTTCCCCCCACCATCATTGCTTACTTGTACACTGCAAGTTGTGCTCCCTACTGTTCACACACGGAAGAAACTAACCAACTTTTATCACGACCAGTCCAATAACCAAGAAACCCATCCTCTTTGATATACAAAAATAATAATTGCACACGACAAATCTCATTGCCTTCAAGCATTTCCACATCCAATCCAATTTATGAACGCAAATTAAGGTGATCCAATTATTTATTTGAGATGGTTTTTTTGCAGATGGTCGATGCATTGCCGTCGCTAACCGTGTCAAATTTATGGAGATTTCCGTCGGAATTAATCACAACGTTGATGAGCTCCTCGTTGGAATTCTACATCAAATTCGATTAAAAATAGAACTTTGTGGTAAGCAATAAATTTTGACCTTACGAGTCCTGCAAACATGTGATTGTTTTCCAGTCACACGACGACATATTCCAAATGAGACAAGGGAGAGATGACGTGTCGACAGTGTTTTTCCCTATTTTTCAAGGGCAGGGAGATAAGTGCCCGAGTGGAATGCATGTGAAAGTTGAGCTCCTTCTCAACAAATATACATAATGGAAAAATTGCCGACGAAAGTTGGACAAAAATAAATAGTCAGGAATAGTGAGGAATGGAAATGAGATGTCCTTGTTCGTCCTCCCACATTATTGTTGAAATCAGACAGCAGTAGTTCGTCCCCCCACTTTCGTCAAACCTGTCCAACCACCATCAGCGACTAGGAGTACTTGTATAGTCAAATTATAGAGAATTGGAGAGTTATGTAGGAAGATGAAGAAGCGTGGTTGTTCTCATTCAAAGTTTTCATCAGAACCCTCCTGATTCAAAGTAAATAAGAAAAAGCTGGTAATCTTCAAGCAAACTGGTTCAATTGAAATGGAAAAAAGCAAATCCCACACCACCAACAGACAAACAACCGGGATTCAAATCTGTATACGAGAAGGGATAAAGTACATGTGAAGGGACTGATAAAAGAAGCAAAGAAAGCGGAGCAATTTCATTCAGATTCCCATTAAATATCCCGAAAGACTTTAGAATACGAGAAGGACCAAAAGCTTTAAAGATTGTGATCCAATAGAAAAGGAGAAGATGTATGATTGGGGAATCAGACTTGTTGAACAATAAACAAAGCATTATTATTTTTTTACTGCTAGAATCCAATCACAAGGAGACCCTATTGTGGAGAAAGTTTTGAGCAAATATGATCAAAAGAGCACTACTGCCTATTCAAACTGTCAGATTATTATTTGTCTTGCAGCCTCTTTCCTCGCTGTCCGTAATAGCTAGCGTATCCTCCTCTATCTACTTATGCTTTCTAGTCCAAAAATAATACTGCCGATTGTACCCGGCTGTGATACACGTAAGAGTAATCCGAATCATTTTTATACTCGGTTGTTCTTTTCACAGGAACTCAAGATCATTGGTGCAAACATCGAGGGATTCTAAAAGCCAGTGCTAAGGCGAGGCAAATGCTGACTTGGTTGTTGGGAAAAGAAGACGCAAAGTTTAAGAACTGTGAAAACCTTCACATCCTCTAATTATTGGAGACACCTAGGCTAAACTTGTCATCACAATTTGGTGGAGAACATCAAGAAGAAGCAGATCCAGGAATAATCCAGTCGAGTCCAATAACGTCAAAACCTCGGGAATGATTAATTTTTAATTTTTCATAAAATATTGCGAAGACAAATTGACCACGAAATTATGCTACGAAAAAGCCTACAATTACCTTCCTCCCAAATTAACCTCCCTCCCTCATTCCGCTATTCAATAGTAATATTTTCGCCATTTATATAACCAGAATAATATATCTAGCAAAAAATCATATTTCTGAAAATACTATTAAATTATATAGAGAAGCGGTTTGGCATTGCATTTTACCAAACACGACAATCACTCTACCCATTTATTCAAGATAATTATGGTGAATTGAAAACTATAGAAAATTTATAAGATCTTGGTTACAGATTTCATGCAGGTTCAACTTCTACCCAGTAAACGCTTCTCTTTTTTATTCTAGCTCTAAACTAGCAACTACAGTAATTGTAGAATGTAATCTATTTTACTTTGAATCTGGATCGATATAGAAGAGTTTGTCCACGGGAATGGGCGAGGGAGGAAGTTTATAGTTGTTCACGAGTATGTAAGAGTTTTGGAATACTCATTTTACAAAAAAATGCTTTGGAAATTGGATGGAATGCAATGCAAACTGTCTCTGCTTCCGTCATTTTAGTTTTTATGCAATTTTATATTGAAACCGTTTAATTGTTCCAAAGTTCAAACATTAAAAATGGATCAAACAAGAATTTAATCGAGGTCCACGAGTTAAATCCTACTTTAAACCCCGTGAAATTAAACGACTACGAGATTTATAAATCGATGTGTACATAATGTATTTAATGATTGTCAGTGTGACATGGATAATATTAAATTCCCAACTAACAATGTGTTGCTCGCCCATATAGAAACTATATATATATTTCCCTACTGATAAGTGCACGGATGTGAACAGCGAATTTATGCTATAAATATGATGTGTTGTGTGTACCGATGGTAATGCAAGTTATTCATACAGAGAAGAGGGCTGTGAATGTCAATAATACTTATTATTTTTTAAGTAACTACACAAAAAACGGCAAGGGTAAATCCGATAAATGTTATTCACATACTGTAAACTTATCTATTTTGCCACTCATTGGTAACTTTTGACTCTAAAGTGTTGTGTCTGGCGAAATGACTGCATAATCGAAATATAATATTATTCCTGAACGACTGGTTGGGCGGAATGACGCAAGAATTTTGTAATCTTTGAGAATAATTACGTTAACTCTAATTTTATACTTTCCTTCTACAAAGCACCCATCTTTACAACTGTTACTCATATTTTATAACCGTAGTGCAGCAGTGATTTACTTATTCTACTAAAGTACCACCTGGACTTGAAATTATGTCTAATTGTGTAGAAACTGTGTAAATACAATTTTCAACTAGAGTACAATTATTCAAGTGTAATAGAAGGAAATCAAACCACATCCAAGTGGGTAAATTAAGTGCAATGAAATTGATTCAATTAACGATGGTGCGTAATCTAATCCTTAAATCCCTTAAAATTGATATTCACTAACTGATATTATATTTCTATGTATGATCATATTATGTAAGTAAATAATTATACTGGTTAAGAAATATGTGTTATGGCAGTGAATTATGAATGAAATTGGTAATATGAAAAACTCTAAATAAATATGTTTTTTGAAAATTTGATAAAGATTTCTTTCCCGGAGCATTTAGTTGAAATTGATAGAAGTACGGAAGCAGTATTATGTTGAATTAATATATGCACATACCGAGTAACCAACCAGTTCATCAATTTGGGGAGATTCTTCTTCCAAAGTTTTAAACTGCTGCATTGTGTGTGATGATAGTGCACGTCATTTCGTTCTTAGGGAGAATATTATATTGAAGACAACTACAATAATTGACTACGGTGTTTTGTATGAAAATAAAAAAAATCTAGTTTTGACGACTGTTGTTTGATTGTTTGCGTAGGCTATTCTTCCATCTCTTTCCCTTTTGGCTTCAATTTTCTTTGCAAAGTCTTGGCCTTCTGAGCCATTTCTTCTTCATCTCGCTGCTTACGAAATTCTACAGCAAAATCCACTTCTTTGGAAAGCTCAATAATCTTTTTCTATAAAAAAATGATAGCATAATATGAATATATATAATAGTTTAATAGATTCGGTTTACACTTCAACCAAGAAATATTTTTTCAACACTTACAGCAAGTTGTAGCTGCTTTTCAGCCCTCTTTATTTTGCGTGAGCCAGGTGGGGTGGGTCTGCCATCGATGAAGGAATAATCTGGACCGTCTGTCAAGGGTCCAGAAGCAGTGGGATTTACGGAGAGTCCTTGCCTACGTGCAGTACGATTACAATTAACAAAGGAACAATTCTGCTTTCATGAAGAAGATAGATAACAGAACAAGTTGATTAATTAAAATAAAGCAAACGTACTCTTTCCTCCATGCTCCTACAGCAGAAAGGCAAGGCGAGACGTGATAATTCTTAACTAGATTCCCTCGTGCCCCTACAATATAATGTTAAATTGTAGAAATTGGTACTCAATCAAATCCCGCTTTGTTTTTTGTGCTTACTAAAGTAATTTAACTGGGCCCCAACCCGTCTGCCAAAGCAGGTCGCCACGACTAGAATTTTGGATGACATTATGCCCTTGCCTTGCCTGAAGAAGACCAACCAGCGACTGGTGAGGTCGACAATTAAATTTAGCAATCCGAAAATAATGCGAGGAAGGACCACGCTGAATTGACTCTGCACGTGTGAGATTGTTGAAGGAGCCGGAGTTCGGACTGGCCGCGAGTGGTGCAGAGGGCAGATAATGCGAAAGACTGGCACTCATGGTCTCATCTCAAATGGCACAATGCAATGCTGACTCTTGGACTATGAAAATTGAGACGAAGCTTTTTAACCTATTTTTGTTGCGTACATAAATTAAATACGATATTGGCCAGAGAAAGGAACAATTAAGTACTTTAATTAAGTAGAAATACTGAAATGTGTGCCTCTTATCATTATCTTATAATTTAATGCCCACTGAGGTAAATTACAAATGGGAAATCTGATACGCTCTGAAACTCAATTTTAATGAGAAACCAACCAGTACCAAAGTAGTTAATATCGATCCGGGTTATTTTAACACGAATATCTAGTTTAGACTATTGATGCTGATGTGCATGAGACACAGGAACTTGATCAGCTCCATCGGTGGGTGGTGTGGGGATGGACGATCCTTGTTCTTCTCCATCGTCGCCGAATGAGGATGACGGAAGAGGTTGGACTCCTAAATTGAAACATCTTTCAATGATGGGAAATGGATAGGAAACTTGAGTTATCAGCAGAATATAGTCTTTTTAGCATATTCTGTGCTATGCATACTTTGGAAAGCGCAGGTGAGGTCCATCACCAAGCCCTCGTCCTCAATAGGCATCGGAGGATCTTCAAGAATAGCAAAATCAGCACTTTCATAAATCCCGGAACTGAATTGGTCATCTCTTCGATCGTAATTCGTGTCGTCTTCATGGAACAAGAGGGATGTCTGATTCACTTCCGTGGGAACCAGGGCAAAGACGGACTCTTCGTCATCACTCGTGTCGCTGAGTCCAGTGAGGCTGGTATTCACATTACTCATTCTACTTATCTGGGTGTGTCTATTTCCAGGTCGGGAATGATGACGTTGAGTGATATTCTCAAAGAGAGAATGAGGAAATAGAGCAGCCTCCATATCATCTAGAAAAGAATGTCACGAAGCAATAACTTAGGACTTCTTTATTACAATGCAATATATACAATTTTGTAGAAGAAGCAAGCATAATGATTAATGTACCCAGTGGTACGGGTGGCACTGGAGGTCTTTCCATGAGAAACATGGCGGACACTGCTTCCTGACTGAAGGCTTCGCCCATAAAATCTTCGCTGTCGTCGTCCACATGTTGTGCTTCAGAGGAGAACGAGTTTGTTCCTCTTATAAGTTCCGGAACTGGCTCTTCATCTTCGTCATCAGAAGATGTGTGGTCGAACGGGAAGGGTTGATCCGTACTCAAACGGACGTTCAGCGAGGACTGACTCCTCATCTCAGCACCACCAGCAGCAGAATTAGTATCAAACGGAAATTGTTGAGACAAAAGTTGAGGATACCGTGAGTGACGCGTTATCGACGTAAGTGAGTCCCAAAGGCGATATTCGTACGCCGTCCGCTGGCCATGCAACGTTAGATTTAAATGTCGTGTTATGGGGTTGCGATTGTCGTCAATATTATTTTCTTGTTCAGCATCAACATCGCTTTCAATTTCTTCATGCATTGTGCTGGTTTCATTCCAGAAACGATTGAAAATGTCCATTGCACCAGGAAATCCGTCAGACTCTGGACTTCTCCGTCTATGAATCGCATTCTGCACAAACTTTGCTGCCTGAAATAAGTAATGCACGCACATTGGTTGTAGTCCTGTTTAAATGCAACTCTGGTCATGAAAGTGAGGACATGCTTTCACGGTAAATATATTTCTGTGTATACAAGTGCTTTCTCGTGACAGCGTGAAAATCCTGTAGCGAGTGGGTTCGCTGGCATGGCTTCATCAACTGTTTCAAATTTTGCTGTAGGTTGGAAACTTCGATTACCGATTTGGATAGAAAGCGGTTTGTCTGGAAATATATTTTGCAGAAGAGCACTCTGAGCAACTGGAGGTGCTTCTACATCAAAGTTCCAGAAATGGATGCACATGATAAGTAAATTATGCTCATGACCGATTTCTGTAGTACATACAGACAATTTTTGCCTTACTTTCGACAAATGTTGATGAGAATCGATGCGGCAGATTAATGCGTCGACCACCACGTCCCTGGGCATATTCTTGTCGTTGGGTCCTCCACGTTGCTTGGGGTGGGTTGTTCAAAGGTGGACGGTCGATGGGAAGGAATTGAACACAATTCCATAAAGATTGGCGAATTTGTGGATGTGGAAGACTGTTCCCTCGACCAGGAGGAACGCACCACTGGGCACCGTGTTCATTCTCGTCTGAAGTGGAGGAGGAGGATGCAGAAGAGGACAGGTCACTCAAATTTGGAGCGAATCGACTTATTGCAGCCCTATCACACACCAATCGTAAGTAAATCACTTCAAAAATTAAGGTATTTTAGTTTTGACTCGGTTTTATTATTGAACATCTCGGAATTTAATCGGAGTTTACTACGAAAACCGTGAATCCCGTAATGACCCACATATGTGTGTACACATGGCGTGACTACCTTGCTCCTGACCGTGTTCGTGCAGCGGAAGGCTCGCCATCGTTGTCACTTTCCAACTCGTCGTCGTTAGCCACGATGTCTGAGAATGTAAAACTTGAAGCCTCGGCGTCATGAATAGTTGAAATTGATGACATCGTGGTATCCAGTGATCCCGTGACTGCGGATGACCAACTGCTAGCAGCGTTCGGCTGGGGTTGCAGTGTGGCTTGATTTTGGAGATCAGCTTCCAAACCGCTTTCGAATAAATTTTCCTCTTCTGCAGCACTGCTCATCAACGCCTCATCAATCAGCATTCGCGCGAGGCGAAATGGAGCGTTTTCATCGACATTTTGTTGCTCAGGAGGACAACCATTATTTGTAGCGTCCATTTCGTCAACGTTTTATTAAATGTAAAAAATAGTATTTCGTTCGTTTCTCGCCAGTGTCGTACGTGATCTTCCTTCAATCACGTAAAGGAATATGTTTACACAGGTTACACAAGAAGTCAAAACTGTGTTTTGAACATTTTATTAACTTTTGAATAGGACAGCAATCATTTATTTCCGTAACGATTTGATTTGACTACATATCACGATTGCTTGACTTTAAGTATCTAGGTAACGTTAGTCTCCCTTAACGGTTGCGACAAATGGTCGAGTTACAAATTAAAAATTCATTTTAAAATCGTTGGTTCAAAAAGGGCGTTTGAGTCTCCAACTACTTTGACCCTTAATAACTTTTGAATCGGCAGACATAGAGACTTAATTCTTGAGGATGAAATCATCGTAATTTTTTGATTGATTTTTTAAGCTAAAAATCTCGAGAGTACTATTTCGAAAATTAAACTTGAAATCTCCAGTGAGCCCGAGTCAGACTCTGTGGTTGTCGGTCAAACCAACCATTTTCCATGAAATTGTAATGTACCAAATGCATTTAAACTTGTGGAGTGACATATTTTTGAAAAATCTGTATGGATCAAGCCCTACGGTCTCACCCGTTCTGAAAATTTCAGCTAAATCGGTTCAGCCATTTTGGCTATCGTGTTCCGGAAGGACATGATGGTTCCATAAGAACTGACTTAGGCTAAAAAGGCAACAATTTTGCAGAGCCTTGTAAGATGGCATTATTCTGAGAGCAGGACTCGTAATGAACGATGTGCATATAATTTTGTGATTTATTTTTGGTATATAAACCATTACAAAACACGAACTTAATAAACTCGGAAAATTTTTCCTATTTTAATTTATATTGCTACGATTAGTTTTACGACAGTTATCGCAAGACGGACAGACGGACATAACGGGTACATAAGCCCTGATTCAGGCTAAAAACCTATATTTAGTTAAAATTTTCACCAATGCATAATACGCATTGTTTATTTGACAAAAAACAGGCGTAAAGTGCATTAGTAAAATGTATTTGGTACAATAAAATTCTATGCAAAATGGTCGGTTTGACCGATAACAGCGAGCTTGACTCGGGCTGCACACTGGAGATTTCAAGTTCAATCTTCGAAATAGTACCTGCTGCTGTGAATTTGGCCACCCCTGGTCCATTTTCCCAGCGGCCCTTGCGGGCCGCTGGGAAAATGGACCACGGGTGGCCAAATTCATATTGTTTTATTTCTATAAATTACGATGCGATGTCAATATATGCGCTCGAATAAAAACACGGTGCAGACATTTTGTTCCTCTGTTTTTTAAACAATTTCGTGTTTTTATTAATCCATGTAGTGCTTAGAAACCATTAATACGCCGGTAAAATCAAATGTGGGAATATGAACATTGTTTTTGGTTTGTATGATAGCTTGTTTCTCATAATTGCATTTCTTTATGATCTTAAAGTTCCTTTTCAAAATTTTCGGGATTTCGGTATACCAATATTTCAGTGTGCACATTACAAAATAGTCTTTCCTCACAAATGCACCCTGGTCACTAAGTTCGAATCCTCTATCGGGCCAACCGATTTGATTAGTGCCGGCAGGTTTTGGTGTAGGTGAAATTCCGAATACTGCGAAAAAGACCTTTTGAGCGTTAGTGATACCGTCAGGTTTCCCGTCGTTATCACCTAGAAATAAATAAGATTGAACAATTTTTGTGTGTGCAGGAAACATTTTATTCATATTTAACTAAAATCCTATTGTCTAGTAGTTAAGTCTAAAGGTCCGTCCAAATCGAAGAGATTGTGACACTCGATTTTCATTTCATTCAACACTTTCAAAAACTCGCCAAACTGACTTCTGTTCATTGAAATGAACTCAAAAAGCGAATTTCCGCCAATGGTGATGGTAATTTCTTCACCGATTGTCGTACATTGCAAGTAAGACTTTCCTCCGAACCCCTTATTAAACACGATACAACCATTTAGCAAATGATCTGGAAAAAGGTGGTCCATAAGATCTGCATTTACAAATATTAACTAATTATTCTAAGCCTTTACAAAGTTTTTAATATTTGAGCGGAGCAGTTTGTGTAGGAAGTTGGGTTTCATAAATTTTCGGTATTTCGTTCAAAAAATTAAGTAATTCATGTAAATAGTGCCCTCGGAATCTCACATGATTATTATAGTATTCTGTACATCTGTAACCGCAAAGCTTAATGTCTAAAACGATCTCATTGCCTAAGGTGTACCACTCAATCGAGTGATCATCAATTCTAGCGCTCAACCTTGGCTTGAAAAATGGCTTTGGCATAATTTTGCTCATACCACAAACTGCGGTAAGGTCTGTTCCATGAGCCCCTTCGTTGTCGGATGATGATGCCGACGATGAAGATGTTCCAGACGATGAAAATTCAACACCTACATATGAATATACGATCCTTAGCCAAGCAATGATTCGGAAAAATTCTTCCTATGAAAAACATGAGTACCTGATGCTAACGGAGCTTGTGAAGATTTTTCGATTTTCCTTCTTTTACAGATGAACTTTTTGAGTTTCTGAGCAGTCGACGGTTTACTCGAAGAACCGGCTTTCCCATCCAGATCGGGCTTACCACGCTTGGGTCGCTCATTTGCAGAAACAGGCGCATCTTCAGGCACTTGTTCAGATGTAATTTTTTCGTCATCTGAGGCTAAGTCCTTCAGACTGTTTTCCATCTTATAGACTTGTGAATAGGTTCGAACTCAGCGAACAAATGCGGATAATACTCGCAAATTTTCTCCTTAAATACTATTGCCTCTATTTATATTTTTATTCGGATATTTTTTTTTATGTATTTTATGTTTATTTATTGCTGCTTATTTCATTTTCAAAACCGGTTCGGAAATGCTAATTTAAAAAAAAAAATATAAGCCTCATATTTCAGAGGTTTCCGAGAAACTTTTTCGGGAACTAATTTCAAATTTTTACGAGAGATAATTCCTCAGGATAAAATACACCTAAAATTATTTCCCCTGTATTATCACTTAACTTATATGTCACAGGTATGCTGTTTACGATTTCTCGAATTTTGAACAAGTCAGTGGTGAACGTCGAAGCGTAACCTTTCTCGAATGTTGCTTTTTGAATCTTAATTCTAACATACTGTCCGATTCGAAATTTAGGAGTAGACGGCTTTGACTTCTGCAAATCCTCGTAACTCTTCATCCAAACATTAAATTGATTGGAAGGCTTTACATCTTTTGGTCGACAGTTTATGGACCTATGCACTGAAGAATTATAGGATTGTACAAAGTCTTGTAAATTGTCTATGTATTTCGTATCATTTGTAAATGTGAAAAACTTATTCAGACGAAGCATTAGTGTTCTATTAAATCTTTCTATCATGGCAGCTTTGAGTTCGGAATGATTATGAAACAAGTTTATTTTATTCATATCTAATATTTTGAGAAAGGCTGCACCTCTGAACTCAAGACCTCGGTCCGTTTGAAGATATTTACATTTACGACCACTGGTGTCTAAAATATCTTGAAATGCTTTTGCTACGACGGAGCAGGTTTTATTTGACAACGGTCTAACAAATGCATAACGGCTTAATACGTCGATTACGGTTAGTAAGAATTTTATACCCTTATATTTTCTGCTAAATTTCGTAACAGTAATCAAATCACCTTGCCATAAATAGTCAATTGACGGTACAACAATCTTGCGTCTTGGAAATTTGTGACGAACGTACTTATTCCTTGTATATGTTTGGTGGCCTTGCAAAAACTCTTTCGCCTTCTGCAATGAAATATGAGCAACTTTAGAGAGTCGTTCCGGACCACCGAAACTTCCGGGGTTCGCAGGATCGAAATAAATTTCATTTAACTTTTCGAAAGACATTGTTAGTGAACTTTTAGCCTACTAAATATTTTCGTGCAATGTTTACTGGTTTGAGTACACACACCGTTTAAGTCAATCCCACGTTTCATGCACTCTTTCTGACAAACTTGCTCACAATTAGAAAATGAAGGGAATTTAAAGTTTATCGCCACAAATTGCTTTACAAGGTTATCATTACTGGTGAGTTGTGTTTCTGAAAATTCATTTACGATATCTTCTTAGCTGTATGCCATAGATCTTTTAATTAAGAAATTTAAGCAATAATCACCACATGCATCGCTAAAATTCGACTGATATTGGATTTGAGAATACTTTATACTTTTACCATGCTCACGACAGAACGACAACATACGTTTGGGGTACATATTTATTGGCAATGCAAAGCTATCGAAATATTCAACAAGGTCGGTACCTTTACTTTTCCTGAAGCAAACCCAGTGCATTCCAGGTTCGGTGGATGTTTGATTATTACAGATAACTGAGAAAGAGTCTTCTTTGATTAATTTTAACTGATCTATTGCACACACAGCCGTAAAACCCTCGATGGAACAAAGCAGGGCATATCTTAGTTGATATGAATCCATTACTGGACGCTGATTTGTCGAAACTTATCTATTTCGAGAACACGACTTAAAATTTGATAATTTTTGAAATTCGAATGTCTAGTCAACTTCTTCATTTGCTCTAGGTTACTCACAATTCTAACATCTTCTCGATTTCGTACTTGTTCTGCGGATTTCCCGAAAATGCTATTTACAATAAATTTGAACAGATTTTGTTCAAAAATGGTTCGTGCTTGTTGACGCAAAGAACCGTTAAATAAGACATAATTTTTCAACTATGCAGATTGACTGAACTTAATTACACTGTGTACTTTTTCTAAAGTCATTCCTTTCTTTAAATAATATTTTAAATTCCTATAATGAACAGCGTACCTTTTACGAGGGCCCAAATGCGGTACGAGCTTAGGTTGCTTCTCAGAATAAGTCATATTATAATGCGAAATAAGGTCTGTCTGATACGAAGAAAGTAGCTTACTGTTTACACAAATTTTCTCGGGGGCAAGCGGGTACTCTGAATGTTTGGGGTGCAATGCCGACCCGTACCCTAGGTCCACCACTAAAATTCGCCCGATATTATCTTCATCGCCCCATTTTAAAATTTCTTCCGTTGTCAAATTCTGAACGAACTCTGCGTCTTCCCATTCAAAATCTCCTGTGGGCAAATGCTGAAGAAGAGCTTCCCCGTACAAATTGTTCTTGTCAATGTAAAAAAGATAATTGTCTCCATCTTTTATTTTTCCGCTTTTTCGTATATACTTATTCCTCGCCGAAGCATATCGCGTCGAAATCATTGAAACACCACCGCGGAGTCCTAATTCTATAGTATTATACATGGCAGAATCGATAAACAAATCTAAAACCTGTTTCGTATTTAATAATGCAGCATCCCATGAATACCCTGCTAGCGAATAATAGTGAACAGGATCTAGTTTATAATGTGTCAAGGCAACCTCACGAAATTTCTCGAAAACACAAGCCAACAACAAAGTATCGGTCATTAAATAGAGATCATGATAATCCCCTAAATCCGAGCAATATGATTTGAAAATATGTTTACCGTACTTGTAATCAACATCTGAAACGCCCGAACTTGCCAATGAATTGTAAAAGTCGGATTTTTTGGGAAACTTTTTTTGATCAAACTTTTTCCACTTATCCATATATTCATACATATAAATTCCTTTTCTGGACATCTCTTTAGCCGCACCCTGTCCGAAAATCTGTATTAATGGTTTGAAGTCTTGCTCAAAATTATTTCCCAACAACAAGTCATTCGTCAGAGTATCCAGCGAGGCTGTGAGGAAGAGAAACGAATCCAGAAAAACGTAATTCTCACAGAGCAACGCCATATACTTTTCAGAATTAGACGGAATCACTTTCACTTCTTTCGCAGACAGTTTTCTAACGTAACTAAGCAGTAAGTGCGAATCATAGCTCCTAAAATTGTGCATTAAAACCGGTATTCTATCTTTTTGACGGTATTTGGCATTACATTGACGATGCGCTGCCCCCCTAAAGCGTCCAGTTTCATGTGAATGGTCCCTTACTTTATCCTCCTGGAGAACATTTTCACAAATGTGACAAATATTACTCTCTTCATACAATGTTTGCTCTTCTAATGTAAGATTTCTCATGGGCACCTTGTTTAAATTCAAACTATTTAGTTGATCGCAAATTTCATCAAGCTCTTTTACGAATATTTCCATGCAATCCTTTCCACGATATAACGATTTATAAATCACTTCATCGTTTGAGACAACTACAAAACAATAACCGCTCGGAACATGTTTAGCGTACTGCCGTATTTTTCGTCTTCTTCGCTTTACTTTCATACAGAGCCTCAAAATCCGAATAAATGACAAACCTAGATTTTAACTTATTTTCAAACTTTTTAAATCGACAAACAGGCTCCTCGCGTAAATCATAGGGATCTGGCATGCAAACGCGTTGCTTCTTGAAACAAAAACAAAGTTCTTCGTGTTTATTTAAGCGAGCTTGACTTGGAAATAGAGCAAGGCAATTATAACACAGTAATCGCTTATGATGATTTTTAGAACCGTAAAGTTTTTCAATTCCATTTATGTACATAAAATGTCCTGGATTATTTGCACAGGTTTGAACGTAAAGTAGGTTAACAATTTTCCGTTTTTTATCTCGGATGTGCATACTTTGGTATTTAATATTTAGCTTCCCTCGATCATCGAACCCGAATACATTTACAGCGAACATCTTCTCAGCGTTTCGACTTTCAAATGTTTTGATATTCTGCTGTGTTGTAGGAAACTCAATGCATTTCCAATCATAATTATTTACAAATTTTTCGTACTGTCTGATCCTTGCTCTATGAAGTGACTTTATATCGTTAATATGCATGCCAATCAGAAAAGCCGATTGAAAGGATTTGTTTCCCTGCATTTGCGGATTGATAATTGCTTTCTTTCCAGCCAACTCTTCAGGGACCGATACAAAGCAACCACCTCGCAAAATCTCGAACTCGGCAACCCGAATATCGCTTCCTAGAATTTCGCATAAGTTCCATCCCGAACCATATTTCTCGAATATTTCAATTTGGTGTTGAAAATTCGTATCAATCTCGTTTAAAACGTCAGTCAGATAAAATTTGTTCAATACAACTTTCATATTCGAATTTATAAATTGTGTACAATATTCCTCTTCTTCTTTGTCGCAAAACGGGGTGTCTCTAATAAATTTACATTTCAGGGTTATTTGAATTTTTACGGATTTGTAGTCATTTAAGCATTGTTTAATAATGCCATAAATACAACGCTTGTTTTCTGAAAAATATTCCATTAATGTACGATACGGAGCATTTTTCTTCTTATTTCTATGTCGATATGTTCTGACATATCCCTTAAATGCAGCTATCTCTTTAAAAGGGTATGCGTCGTTTTGTCGCTTTCTCGATCCCGTCTGTCGACTGCTTGCTGCCGTCGTAGAAGATTTTATGTGCGTCAAAATATGATTATTTACAGCAAAAATATCGCTGTCCTCATACATGCAATGCGGACATCTATGTGAATTTATATGAGTATCGTACGCTTTGTGTTGAGTGAATTCTAAATTACATAACTTGCATACATATAATCTAAAAGGCCTTCTGTGATTCGCAACGTGTTTTTCGAACCGCCTTGCTGAGGCGAATTGAAGTCCACATGGGATGCATCTCGTACAAGATTTCCATGAATTCATCTATAAAAATTATGACACGAAATGAGGATAAGAAAGATTAAATATTGAATAAATCATAAATTCGCAAGGACGCACATTGATATGAGAGAAGTGAAAACGCATATATTCCTCCGCTTATAAAAGAATCCGCTCGTTCTCCAGTCTGCTACAGTATTTAATTATTAAATTGTCATTATACATAAATGTGGTGGTCGTACTCACATAGATTGTTTCATTCCTTCGAGCATCACCAGCCGCGAGTAGTAGTAGCAGCAGCAGCAGCAGCAGCAGCAGCAGCAGCGACAATACGACAAAATTCCGAGATTTGCGTCTAAATAATAAGAAAGTTTATTATAATTATTATATCATCATCATCTCAATTAAATTAAGTAATTATGTCATCAGCTGACATAATTTACGTATGTGTATCATACTTTTGTGAGTTGATAGCTTAAATTATTTGTGACAATTTGGCGTGTTGATATCGGGTGTCTAATCAAATACCAAATGGAATTTAAAAATAATTCGGTTCTCATATTTATACTACTGAAGTGACATCATGACGAGTAAAATGTCAAAGATCAAGTACACAGAAAGAAGTATTAAAAATAAATAAAAAATAATTTAATATCAATCTACTAAATACCTCTTGTTACAAAGAAAATAACTCAAACAAAGAAGATAATACGCATAGTCACAACAAAGTAATTAATTAGATCACTCCATTAACAAGCAAGTATTCACTTGTTATCGTATTATTTTATATTCTTGTTTACTGTCGTCATCATGTTCAATTTTGAGATTAAATCACGATATAAAAGACGACGATCTCCATTTAGTCGTATTAGTCAAAGAAATAATTTCGAGGAGTTAACTTTGAATTGTGAACAAGAAGAAAATTTTTCATCATGCCAAAAAGTAAGTTTTTTTCTTTCAGAAATTTTATTCAGACATATTCTTAAGCAAATTGCTTCAAAAGCAAAGAAAACAGAAAAAATTATTTGAATCTACAATTTAATTTCTATTTCAGAAAACGATAATCGCAGAAGCCGCAGCGCCACTCGCAGCACGAGCCGCAGTTCCAGCGATAGTAGTTCTTCACGGTCAAGTCATCGCAGTTCGTCGGGCAGCAGCGATGAGGGTAAAAGCCCCAGGAGCAAGAAAGCAATTTGGTCGGACGACTCGGAATCGGACCGATCCCCGAGAAGAGACGCCAAGAACAAGACGACCCACAAGGGCAGAAAGGAAGCCGAGAAGAAACATAAGGATAGCGACCGTAAGATTTATCGTTTTATTTTACTCATTTATTTTATTTTTTAATTTGTAAATTTACATTACGTTTACGCTCTTATTTACAGGTAGACGAGAAGAAGTTAAGGATGCGGAAAAGAAGCCCATGAAAAAGTCTAACGAAGGACCTAGGCAGGGATCGGGATCTGGAACTAAGCGGAAAGCTGGTAATATTTTTTTATTTATTAATTTTAAATATTAACACATTCGAGACGTAGATTAATATTTTATATAATTCGATTATTTTCAAATACTCAATGCAAAACATTAACTAAATTAATTGCTCACTTTCAGGCGACGACGATAAGAAGCGTGCGAAGAGGATCGTGAAGGACCAAGTCAAGTCGGCCGTGAAGGACGCTAAGCGGAAGACATCCAAGAAGGATCCCCAGCCTCACTTCAGCGGCGGAGGAGCAGGTGAACAGCCAGGTACAATTAAGAAAAACTTCTCGTCCTACGAAGAGAAGAAAGATTCGCAAAATTCAATTTGGTGGGAGGGGTTTTTAGGAGGCGAATACTACCTCCGACTCCAAACATGGCATAACAACTCAAAAACATATTTATCTTTACGCAAAAATCAAAATGTGGGCGCAAATATTCTGGTCGACCACTATTGGTCATTAGTAAAAGCGTTAGAAGAAATGCGCAACGACGTTGGTAGCATGCTCCCGGCAAAACCGGACGCTTAGAGCTTTATTTGATGTTAAGCTCACTAAAAGTTTTAAAATTCAAATTTTGGTTACAAATACTAGATTATTAGTTATTGCTCCATAAATCCTCTCAATACTTACCTTCAAATTAGCACCGGATCAATTCTGAAAATAAATAAATTCCAATACTTCATTAATTAACTAAAATTGTTGTCTATTAATTTCTCACACAGTTGACGGACTTATCTTTGTTCGTCGTCATAGACGGGCAATTTTCCGAGGAAGGCTACGCCTGGATCAGCAGCATATGACCTATTTTCTCAAAACTCTGGCGAAATCAGTGGTGGCGGTGTTGGTGTGGTGGAGACGGGGATCCAAGTTATACTGCCCCTCAACCACTTTGGTTTGATTAAGGGGAGGTCAGGATTGGCCGCAGCAACAATGATATCCACAGCAGGTTTGTTGTTCATTATTACATTACTGTTTCAAATTGAATAATTACAAATTTATAAAATTTATTTAAGGTGGGATAATCGACCATGATTATACTGGGACGATGAAGATTATCTTGCACAACAACTCGAGCGAAAACTTCGCTTACAAAGCGGCGTCACGCCTCGGGCAGCTTGCAGTAATCCCAATGTACCACGGACCAGTGCGATACGTTGAAGGAACTAAGAAAGACGAAGAACACGGCGTTCAAAGAAGTGAGTTCTTATCCCGCGAGCCGCGCGGTGATAAGGGATTCGGTTCGACTGGACAATAACGCGTTTTTGGCATTGTTCATCACTTCACATATATCACTTCCAACTTGCTAACAATTTTTCATTTAAACTGTTTTGAATTAGTTAATTAATTAATAAATTAACTTTTTAACCGTCTGGTCGGTATTTCCAGTCTGTTCACTGGGTTGTCACAAGCACGATCATATTCATCTGAACATTTTGGCATTGTATAACAACTAGAGTTAAAAACAATCCCATGTTTAGACGATCTCGTTCATTCAAGTGTCGCTAAAACTCCCATTCTCATATGAACATTTTGACATTGCATACATGCTTACACTTTAAACAATCCCATGTTTAGTCAATCTCAAACATTGTAGAAGCTCTGATTCTCATATGAGCATTTTGGCATTGCGTGCCCAATTGCATGCATGCACTTTTGATAATTTCATATTTGTTATAACTTGGCCTAACAATGGTCAAGTTATAACAACAAGTACCCTCGAAATTTTTAGCTTAAAAAATCAAGCTAAAAATTACGATGATTTCATCTTTAAGAATTAAGTCTCTATGTCTGCCCGTTCAAAAGTTATTAAAGGTCAAAGTAGTTGGTGTATTTGTAAGGGACTTTTACACCAACTATTTTAAAAATAATTATTTTATTTGTAACTCGACCATTTGTCGCAACCGTTAAGGGTAACTAGGCACTAAAAGTCAAGCAATCGTGACTACATATATTACTCGACTAAAGTATGTATTCAAGGTTGCTAGACAACTTTAGTAATAATAATTACAATTATGATAAACTTAAATTATAATTAAATTACAATTATACATTATAATTACAATTATAATGTATTATGATAAACTGTCAAGCAATCTTGGTATGTATTCATATGTATATATGTATATATCAATCATGGGAGCTGTCCCCAGTCAACGAGGATTAGAAGAATTATTTTATATTTTAAATGATAGGTCGTTTTATTTACAAAAATCATGTAAGGGGCCGAATGGTGATCTCGGACGCCTATCCGGATCAAGTAAAGGTTTTCCCAACCCACCAACATCGGGTTTTTCCTCTACTCCCCAAGCCAACTAAGTGTATTTCATAGTTTATCAATGTTTATGTTAATAATTATTACTAAAATTATACATATACACGATTATACACACTATTTATAGTAGTGAATAAATCATATGTATATATCTCTTATTGTACAATATCAATTAATGAATTAATCACTTGAATAATAAAGCTTTAGAATTATCACTGTCAACGATTATAGAACGCATAAAAAGTCTCGACCTTATCCACCATTTGCCATAACGGCCTGAATTCTTGTATTGAATTCCACTTTGTATTGCTCACGGAGCGATTCTGCAGCTTCAAGGAGCTTGTTAAACATGTCCTAAAAGTAAAATTAATTGCAATTTCATTAATTAATGAGATTAATTAAATAATTAGTTATATATATCTATAATTGGCCAAGAGCCATCTGAATTAAATTTGAACTAATAATTTGTATTACTCACTTCAACACTTTGCTTATCCAAAATAGCAATGGCGGACACTGGAGATTTAGTTTGCTTGATGCACCTTCCCAGGATATATCGATTCCCAGAGAAGATGTACGGAATATTTTTCTCTGCTGCTAACGACAGTACTTCAGATGTCTTGTCATCAAGTCCCCCTGCATGAACAATATAATCAATTAGAACAAGGACGGAAAAGTATTGTACTTTTTTCGCAAATTCTCACCATCTCCACTGTGGGGCTCAATGTCCGGAGCTAAAATAACCAATTGTACTTTCCGCAAACGCATAGAACTCAGAACTTCTTTGATTCCGTTTACAAATCGACGCTTGGTTTGAAGTTTGATGGGGTCAGTCTTGTAAATTCTGTCCTGGAGTCGGTGAAGTTCCTGCATCAGAGGAATCACCAACCCGTGGAGTTCTTTAGTGACGAACATGTCGCAGTAGTCTCTGAACTTTCGAGTATGCATTTGAAATTTTACGAGCTGAATTGCACTTGCAGGTATTGCGGGTGGCGTCTTAGAACTTTCTTCTGCTTCTTCAATCAATTCTTTGAAAGATTTTTTGGGAGAGTTTTCCGGCACAGCCTCTGAATTTTCAAGTCGTGAGAAGTCTGAATTTTCAGGCAAAAATTCCGATTTATTTTCTGGTGGGGTTCCCGATTCTTCGGATGTGACGGAGTGTCTCAAGTCTGTTATACTATCCAGACCAGCACAGGATATTTCATCACCACTATCTTTGAGCTTATCACATTTTAATAAATCCGACCCAATTTTTTTATCCTCATCATCAGTAGATTCGGATGGCGAGACCTTCAAAGAAAGATGTACAGTTGCCTTTCTTGCTTCACGACTTTGTAAAATTGACTTTTTCAACTTTGATGGCTTCTTTTTCTTTTGTTTTATCTTTCCTCGATGGATAACCACAGGTCCCGAAGAATCCAAGAGATTTCCGACGGTGAGTTTCGGATTGTCCCGAATTGCGCTTAACCGATCATGCTTTGATTTGCGAGAAATTTGTTTATTTGCTACTCCATTTCGATTTCTAGGTGTTTCGAGCATGTCACAAATATTAACTGTGATTAACCTCTTGGACAACTTTGGTTTCTTGACACTCTCCTCGAGCAACAGTAGTGATGCAGAGGAGGAGCAAGGTGGTGATAGTACGGCTGAGGATGGTGTCTTCACCTTTATACTTTCACCAGTTTTCAGACACGCATGTGGTGGTAAAATTGCTGAGGACATGGACAATGCTGTAGCAAATGACTTGAATTGAGGGGATTCATTCAAGTTGGATGCAGAATGGAGGAGGGTTGGGAAATCACAGACTGAGGCTTGTGATGGAATTGGTGTTGGCGAGAATTGGAAGGCCCCAACAGATACTGAAGGAGTATTCGAAGAACCTGACTTGATCTTTTGAAATACGTCAGAATTAAGCAGGGTGACACGCGAGTCCTTTGGCTTGTAAAGCTCCTTGAAGATTTCCTCCTCTCGCTTTTTCTTCCTTTCCTCTTTCGAGAGAGCACTTTTCTTCTTTTTGTTCTTCTTCTTGGCGCTGTTCGACGCTACAGGATTTTGGCTGCCGTTTGGTGGAGTCACGACTGGCTCACTTGAAATCTTTGTCGTCGCTTCCTTCATTGGAGGTGACCCCCCAGATAGTGCTGCCTGTTCTACTAATCTTTGTTGTCCTCCACCTCCAGTCGGTATCTGTGAGGATGGCTTCTGGGAAGGCGTTTTAGTTCTGGTGCTGACTGGTCGTGACCTTTGTATCGTCTGCCATCCTTCTTTATCCATATTACTCGATGAGGCCGAGGGTGCGCTTGAGCGGTTATTTTCTTCTGGTCTTCTAACAAATCGAGTGCTTTTGTCGTCATTTGGGCTCGAAAGTTCTAGTTTTCTTCCTGCATTCGAATCTTTATTGGGTTGAATGAAGCTATCCTTTGTATATAGTCGACTGGGACCTGGAGATGGCTGCTGCGACGGATGTTGGTTTGTGGTATAAAGTTCAGAGGTCGGTTTACCTTGAGGTAGCTTGTTATCTTTGGAATGAATGGCCGTGCTCGAGTGTCCCCCAGCGCATTTTTGACTACCATTATTATTCGAGTTTAATCCAGGGGTTTCATGTCGAGCTGCAACAGAAAAATCGCGAAAATAATTAATCCGTTCCAAAATACTTCTTGCCCATCTCACTTAATCCTTGCATACCGTTATTCCCTGAACTTGAGCATGACGCTCCGACGTTTTCGTCTAAAGGAGTGTCACGAGCCCGAGGTTTAAAACGGTACGAGTTTTGTTTTTGTCTCCCATTTGCACGTTGCATGGCTGTAGATTTATTAAAAACGTTCCTTGCGCAGCTTCGGTCACCTAAATAAACCGTATTCATTTCTCAGTTTAGATAAAATACATTGTTTTGCATTTATCTCATCGCTTATCTCATCTCACTCATCTGGTCTAATTTACATTAAATCATCATCATCAAATTCAAATTACGAATTTGTGGCGATCAGACAGAACATGTGAAATTTATCATGCTATTTTTTAACTAGTAAATAATCAAAGGACAAGGTCGTGTGTGTAAGAATTTGGACAAATTACTCTAATAAGAATATTTGTTGATTTACCTATTTTTCCCTATAATTCCCGAAACCATCAATACACATGGCCAAATAAAATAAATATCACAGGTTCACAAAGTGTAAAGGTAGCTCAACACTTATCTCCACTGATTTATCAACGTTTATGTTAATAATAAATCCAAAAAATTTATTATTTATCACATGTTTCGACTGATATTTTTATTGATCAATGTTTACATAATTTTGAATTTTATTGTTGACGATTTGAGGCTGGCGGTGTGATCGTGAGTGACGTCAGAATTATACGTGTTTTTATTCCAATCTCTGCTACTCTACTACTCATCAACTGTTCTTGTTCTTTCATCTTCATCTTTCTTTAGCTCCGGAAATAACGCATCAGTAATTGTTTGTACTTAAACTTCACACTTAACGTTTCAAAACTTGTCGTTTTTAAGTACTTAGTTGCCCTTTTTGGGCAGGTCATCAACATCAACATGCCTTACGTCGGTTCAGGTAAGTAAGAAACATGTAAACAATCCATCGTAGTAAAAACCATCAAATGTTCCGTAGCTGGGCAAATGAATGAAAAGCATTGAAACGAAACTGTATTTATTTTATTTTATATTGAGTTAACATTTTCTTGCAGATGGTCAATTGGTGCAGACTAGGCCCTTTGGAATATCCTCGATTGTTGAATACTTTTGGGGCGCTATCAATTTCTTCAGTTTATTGTGAGTTGTCACTTGTCAGCACTAATCTGTATACATATGTATAAGAAATTGTATAACTAATTATGGTAATTTGAATTTGTCTACCTATAGTTTTCGTGGCTTACTGCACATGGACGACTCAGGGCCACAAAGGGGACAATACGGCAATAGGCAAAGAATTCCAGGAGGACGGTTAGTTCTTCATTACAACAAGGTTTATTACTTTTGGAATTATTGTTGATTGTGTTTCATTTCGTCTTTTAGACGAACGATTGGAGGATTTCGACCATCCGGGGGCGCTGCACCACCGCCTTGTGTTGGGGGCGGATGAGGTTAAGAACACCTACGATGAGGAGTCATTTCTCTTCCGTAGGCCACTTCTTCTGTTCTTCCACTACTAACGCTGTAAACCCACATCTTCTACATTTATACGAAACCAGGTTGGATAACTGCGACACAGCTTTGTTCGTTGTAGTTTTATGACATCTTTGTTCAGAAACTTTGTTCAAAGTGGAACTGGATTGATGAATTTCAACTTGGAGTATCGTATTCTTGTAGGTTTCCATTACCAAAAAATACTGGTGTCATATGTATTTAATATTTATGTATCCGTTCAAAATCAATCGTTATATATCGTAAATTATTAGTACAATTTTGTACACTGACGCCTTTGAAATGTAACTTTTACTATACAACCGAAATAATAACGTTTAACATACATATATAATCAACACCAAGATTCCTAAACTTTTTAGTTTGTTTCCGTGGAGTGAATGTGTTAAGATTATGTAATGGATAATTACATAATCTTAACACATTCACTCCACGGAAACAAACTAAAAAGTCTAGGAATCTTGAATCAACACAAATCTTTAAATGATTTCAATTAGTATTCAATGTCAAGATTTTATAAACTTGGATATTTTATCAATTTCACGTGCATTATATATTCATGTCATTTGTCAAAAGGATAACGGTAAAACTGCCACTGGTCTCGATTTATTGGGTTGTTCTGTGTAAATATTCCATTGGCGGTTGGCAATGTCGAATACGCCTGGAAAAAACATACAGCTTTATGAGCCTCATATCTAGTTATGCAATCAGAAGGGAATAAATCGTACCAACAGCAACGGTGACCACGACATCCGGAAGCTTATCCCCGTTTCGGAATATGGGATAATCAGGATCACTGCGATCACTCAGAATCTCTCGTACGACCGACAGCGTCTCTGGTTTGGGGTGTTTCTCAATCGCCTTGTGACGATGCACACTACTTCTGGACGCCTTGGGCAATTCAGTCGTCTGGATTCGCAAATATCTGAAAAAATAAAGTGTCATTGTTGATACATAAAGTGACTTCATGCTTATGTATCTCCTTTTGTGTGCACCTGTTGCAATGTGCATAAGTCCCCCCATGTTGAATTTCAAGTACATTAACCTCCGACTCGTCTCCATCGTTGTTGGGACACACCTCAATATTGTACAGTAAAGGAACCCCCGATGGGGTTTTGGCGAAACATGCATTGAGACTGAATCCGTCCGCTATCCCGGTCCCTTTGTCCTTCATCAGTGTTACCACTTCTTCCAAAGTGCCAGCTTTCAGCAGGGATCTCGCAATGAAGCTCCTCGCTATTTGAGAAGAAATTGCATATTCAGATATGTAATCAAACGATTTTATTCATTTTGTTTGAATGCGCACGAGATTTGTTGTTCAAGGTTCTGAGAGGGTACAACGTGTTCACGCTGTGGATAAAACCATATTCGTTGAAACCCATCGTGTAGCCCGGCAGACAACCAGCATAAGTCAGCGTTGTAAACTTTTCTATTTTCTCTCCGCTGGAATTCACAATCTCGGCCGAAACAATGAACACATTATTGACCAGTTCAGGCCCAGCGTCTTCCGTGTGTCCCAGTACGAGCTGTTTGATGCATATTACATTTAATTATTTTCAATAGTTCGAGTCCGTTTTTATAAACTGGTCAAACACAGGAACGCACTTCACCTCTTTCCCATTCGACAAAATGGAGGAGCAGCCGTTGCCTTCCTTGATGTCATCCTTACTCCAGACTTCGGCAGGAGATGTTATGAACACTTCCAGATTCAGCAGGAATAACTGAAAAGCACAGACTTATTCACATATTGAGCAAACAAAACAAAGGAGACCGATTGGATTACCTTGTAGAATGGGATGTTTGCCCCCTCCGCCATTCCTTTAATTTCTTTGACATATTCCGGAAATTTATTTTCACACAAGTCCAAATTTCTTTGGTAGAGTTCCTTCCCTGTAACGGTTTCATATTCTGGGAGGAGAGATTGGAGAAAGTAGTCGGATTTGGAAAGGTTGTCTTCGATGAGAGATCTGAATTGGCGTCCCTACAAACGTGTGCGTTTATACATAATTAATTGTAGCTGATTGTCCCCGCACGTTGTCTTAACAGATTATGTACATGTTTCAGTCGACTTACTATGGTGTATCCAACTGTGAAATTATCTCCTCGCACGTATAATACGGGGATCTGATTTAATCTAGCCCGTTCATTGTTGCAACGTTCCATTTTTCGAAATAAATCTCAATATTATTACGATATCAGTGAATTCGCACCTGCATATAAATATCTACGTACACGTGTGGTTTCTAGCATTAGCCACTGGCATAATCGTGAAATAAATGTTATATGAAACCAGTTTATATGAAACCACGACCATAGACGTATAATAGTAATATAAATAGCAAGCAATCTATCTACACACTAAATATTAGGTCATTACTCTTGCCTTACTGCATACATACTATACGTAGCATAGCTTCAGTTGTCAGTGTTCATCACTTCATCGGACATATGTCATATGTAATGTATTGATTGGGCACACGAGGCCGAATGACAATATTTTGTTTAATACGCAAAGATGAGCTCATAGGCAGTCGCGTTAATGATCTATTCCAATTGCATAGTCAATCAGTGAACAAATGAGGTTTATGAACTTCAATTTAGTAAATGAACGTATGTATTTATGCGTATGCCAGAATTCGATGTTTACAGGAAAACAATAATAATATAAGTATGTCGATGTTTAATAACGATTCATCGTGTATATCTAATATCTCACAAGCAAACAGCACGTTACTATTAATTCGCACGAAGAATAATTTGCATATATAAATATAAAGTATCACCAAGTTTAGAAATGATACACATTAACGATGAATATTACGGTGATTATTAAATACTTGCATAGATTTCATAAAAAGGTTGCTGTTGGTATGTGTATACATATAGACTATCATATTAGATGACCTAGTAGATCCAATATCATAAAACATTGAAGTAATCGTTAGTAATTAATATGTTGAATCTTTGGTAGGAGTCTTTTAAGAGACAGAATATTGTACAGATGATGCATAGGTTTATCACAGGTTTAGTTCGCCATCGTCGGTCGTTCTGCCCTTCTGGCTCGTTTCTCAGCTAAACGTGTACTTCGCCTTAAGCCACTGTTGAATCTTTTGCAGGAGTGATTATCCGAAACTTCCAACTCCGAGATGGCTTCTTCATCCGATTCCAAAGCATGGTTTCCTTCGTAAGTCCAGAGTCCGACCGTATTGTCCCACTAAAATTATCGGCGTTAACTAATTAATATGTTAATTGTACAATTTCTTACGAATCAAAAAATGCAGTAGCATATGTTCATAATAAATATAATATGAAATATAACAAAAAACGACGACATATGTACATACCGACGTGCTGACGATTTCTGGCCGTTCTGGATGCCAGGAAACGTCTCGAACACAGCTACGGTGACCTCTACATTGTCAAATTAATATATTAATAGTCAATTCTACTCTTAACGCAGTGCTAATAAAAACCAAGGCTAATAACAACCTCAAGATTGATTGTATCTTTCCAGTCAGTAAGTCATATATGACAACTCTTCCTGCAGCACACCCTGTATAAATGTATCGTTGTCCTGTGGAGTACGCTGGCGAAAATCGACATCGAATCAGTGTGTTCAGCACGCTATGTCCACGGTATGTCATTACGCTGACATCTCCTTCAATCGGTTTGCGAGGGACGCATACTATACCCAAAATCAAACACAAAACTTGAGTACTATGCTAACCAAGTTAATCTACATACGTTTAACTTTGCATAACGACTCATCACATACACTTTTTCGGAACTCTTTGCCATCTATAGTCCCAATTTTGATCAGCGACAAGTCGCTTGGTGTTTTGAATAGCATCTTCTGAAGCAAATACGCGCATATCCCACAATTTTATGGACTGGTCTTTGGAATTAGTTATCAAATATCTTCCATCCCCTTTCGAATCAATAAATGTAATCCCATCTATATGACTGCAATATCCAAATAAGTCAAATAAAACTTTTTACAGGGTCATAATATAAGAATAGCGATAATAAACATGCAAAACAAACAAACCCAGCAAGAACTCCCACGGGATGCGGATCACTTTCTCGTAGAGTACGACGGTCCCACACCTATTTATTAAATTGCAATAATTATTGTAATATGGTCATTGCATTTTTTCAAAATTTCTAATATCAGTGAATTCAAAAAATTATACTTTGCACAATCCATCGTCAGCTGCACTAAACAGTATGTTAGTAGACTGGTCGGCAAATGCCACTGTGTTTAAATCGTCTTCGTGTGCCTCCAGCTACAAATATCCAGAATTTTATTCATTTTCAGAGTTCAGATAAATTCACCCAACAAGCAGCGGTCCCAAAAAGATGGGAATCTTAGTGAGGCTTGGCGCAACTGCAGATATTAAAGCAATTTTCCGGAACAGCAATTGCCTTACTAAGATTTTCATCTTTTTGAGACCTTGTTTATTTAATACTTGTAATTAATAGTTTTTTGGATGTTTTGTTGTCAATGGTGTTTCTATTTTATTCATCCCGTTTTTTGTACATCTCATATGAAAAACTTCGTCATTTATGAACCGATTTTGATCGTACTACACTTAAAATTTGCACAAAAATTTACTCTAAAAGAAGGGTACCTATTTTCATGGTCATTTTGGCCAAGCGTTTGCAAACCGCTAGAACCCCAATTTTTGCACCATTGCATAGTACAACTATCCATGTTGAGATCACGAAAAAAATAGCCTGATCCCTATCACCATATTTTTCCAATTGGCATTCGCATGAGCACGATTTCGCCCATTTTTGGGTCGAAATTGGGGGTTAAATGATCACTTTAAAAAAACAAGCGTTTGCATGATCTCATTTCGATGATGTTAATTTTGCTGCATAAATCAACTATCCGAGTATTTGGTATGAAAAAATAAAGATGATCCCTGTCACCGATTTGCCACAAAGTCGACTGGAGTTGGGTAACTTTGGGTTTGTGTAAAAATCGGTGCACAAATTCTTAAAATAAGGCATATTTTTGTTGTCATCAGTGATTAAATGACCAAAAAACAAAATAACAAACAAAAGCGGATGGTTTTCAACCAATGTTTACATATATATTTACATCTGCTTGGACATTGGCAAATTCCGTTGCGACAAGATTTCGTCATTCTTGAGTCCCAGCTTATCAACTCAACTCTCTTCTCAACAAATTCTTGTCGGAGAGCCTTTCGCCCGTGTCGACGCCACCGCGCAGCGTAAACCAGCAACAACGACAACCGGAAAACTTGTTTACCAGCACTGTCGCGGAGTTGGTCACTGTCAACTTAACAAGAGGTAAACGCGATGCAAATTATATTCGCCAGTCGTGATCATAATGTTTATGTTTTTAGAACGTCCACCGTGGCACGGCCTTCACGAGTCTGGACCAATGGGGAAAAATCGAAGACTGCGAACTTCGAATGGGAGAAAAAGGCGAGTGGACCTTTCCCATGTCAAGAGCGCCACCATTACACGTAGACGTCGAAGTCCACACATTGATGTCACTGTGAGAAGCACTAGATTTTATAATTATTTATATAAGTATCTACTTATTTTTTAATTTTAGGCCCATGAAGTGCACCGCAGTGGACATGGAAAATGTAGCTGTTGTGAGAGACGGATTTCTTCGAACCAATGGAGCAGAGCGATTGGGGGAGTTGGTCCCAACGAGAAATTGCTGTGGGACATCGTGACGATGAAGCTTGGTCACACTGGGAAAAGTTTTACCCCCACCGACCTTATTTGCAAATCCTGCCACGCAAGACTGCGCTTTGATTACGAAAGGAACGGTTTTCAGGATTATCGAACTGCACTATCCAAATCTTCACGATTAGCTGTTCCAACCGTCTCTGATTTATGCGTAGCCGATACCTGCAGCACGATTGAGGAATCGCAGGAGCCAAGCAGCGTGGCGTCGACATCTCAATCCTCTTTGGACTCCAGTTTAACAGTCAATAGTCAGACCTCCCTGTCCATCAGCTTTTCATCTACCCAATCGGTTTGTAGTACACTATTTTACTTAAGCTCGATTATTAAAGATCAGTAATGATTTTGACTAATTATACTGCAGATATCCCTACTAAGCAATCATGCCAAAATTGATATCCCAACCGTGTCAAAAAGTGAACGGAGATGCTTCATTTGCAAGTCAGTTACTGGAAGGAAACGTGTGCCAGATTCAGCCATTCTTCAAGTACTACAACGTCACTATATTTACATCCCTCCCAAAAATAGGACTTGTGCATCTCATCTCGAGAATAACCAATTCACAAATGAAGCGCTCATTCAAATAACTGCAGACAAGCAAAGTTTTGAATTATCTGGTCCAGATATAACAAAATGGATAGCTCAACTCCTCAAGCACATTGATAACAAGGTCACCATCCTGGATTTTGGGAAAAATTCTCACATCAAACCAGAAGATTACCATCTACTTCTTGGTGTAACTCGTGACCAATTTTTGGAATTATTAGAAATATGTCGACATCACATCCATTCCAGCAGCAACAGAAGCGTTGAGAATGCACTGGCATTGTTTCTGATGAAGATGCGTCTCGATTTACCACAGAAAGTTTTGGCACTACTGTTTGGAATCGATGGGCAGCAGCGAGTAAGTGAAACAATTACCCGTGTCGCCGAAGTCTTGGATCGCGAGTTTGTTCCATACAATCTTGGATGCGGTGAAATGCATCTAAACAGAGAAATGGCAGAAAGTCACGATTCCGAGTTTTACCATCGTATTCTGGACACTCCACCGAAATCCTTGCACGTTACCTGTGATGCAACCTATTTGAATATACAAAAGCCATCGAATTTTGAAGTCCAGAGGAAGACATTCTCACTCCACAAGTTCAGGAATTTAGTCAAGCCCATGCTTATTGTCTTTGCTGATGGATATATTTTGGACGCCGATGGACCCTGGTTTTCAGATTTCAAAAATAACGACGCAAATATTTTAGAGAAGATCGTTAATCGTGCAGGGGCGGGTACACTTCTCATTCTTCTTCAGCCGGGCGACGTATTTATCCTTGACAGAGGATTTCGAGACTTTGTGGAGAAATTGAGGGCTCGTGTACATGCCGGAATTACTTAAAGGGAAGACTCAATTCTCAGCAGACGAAGCGAACCAGTCAAGAAAAGTGACAATGCTCCGGTTAATCGTGGAGGTAGTCAATGGTCAAATTAAGCTTCGCTTCCGGTTCTTCGACTCCATTATTCAAGCCACCTACCTGCCAAAAATAGCAATGTTTTTTCGAATTGCTTGTGCCATCCACAACAAATACGGGACTAGGTTTAGAAAGTCCCCAGAAAATGAAGACTACATAATCAATGAAGTAATTGGTGACATGGATCGAGCCAACACGTTAGAGATGCTGATCAAGGACAACGGCCTGCTCAGAAAACAAATTATTTGGACTGCACCAACTGAAGCTGATTTGGCGAACTTTCCAATTTTGTCTATTGATGATCTTAAGAAGATGACACTTGGGACCTTCTTGAGGAGGACGACGATGAATAATAATGTGCATTTTTATTTAAATTCTGTGTGGAGTGTTAAAGTTACCAGTTTTATAATTTTTTATAATAATGTTGTGCATTTCATGTGTAAGTGTTGAGTGCCAGTTTAAAATTCATAGTTATATGCATTCCTTCCTCTCTGTAATCTTTTTCAATATTGTCACCTTCGTTAAATTCTCCATTCGTCATTACAATGTAACCTGTTCGTTGCACATATATTCATATACAGGGTGGTTAAAATGTCACGCCACAATGGAAAATTTTTCAATGTATATGAGAAGAGCAGAGAATAAATATTTTTTTTGATATTTAAAATTATTTCCCCAAGTTACAAGTTACTATGCATGCCAAAGTTCCCCAAAATTGCGAATTTTACCAGTGGCCCAGGAATTATAATTAAAATCAAGGGGGCGTGGCCCAGGGGACCATCGAAACCAGGTACCCTTCTTTGTGCAATTGGTTTCTCGCTGCGATATGCCAGTAATTAACTATAAATATAAATGTGTTGCTAAGGGTACATTTTGGTTAATAACTCGGGTAAAAATCAAAAATTCGCTAGGTCGAATCGATAAACTTTTTTAAATTTGCTCAAAATGATCTGTGCAAAATTTTATCCAAATCGGTTGAGAAATGGCTAAGATATCGTAAAATTACACTTTTTTTAACGATAGTAACTGCATACTTAGTAATTTTTGTTGTTAGGTATTTGCCTCACTAAGAAAAACAACACCAAAAAAATAACATTACATTAAATGACTACCTTTAAAACCCTAGTGTTGTGTTCAAGATTGTACATGTAGAGGTATCCATCGTTGGCACCTCCTAAAATCTCACTTCCATCATCGGAAAACGCCAATGAAAAAATGCAGAAGCGTCTATTGTCTGGGCAGAGAGAAAGGGCCTCGTGTCGATCCACGTCACCGTATATGTTGCATAAATGCACTGCAGGTAAATATTGCAAGTTCTGTTAATTTAGCTTTACATCTTTAACCAAATTGATCTAAAATCATACATGATTCACTCCAACTTGAATATATAACAGATCGTCCGTCCGGGCTGCGAGAATAATCAAAACGTAGAATTGAGGAGTAAGAATAATTAAGAAATATATGTGAAAAGTGTCGGTTGTATGTTGACAATTCAAGAAAAAATAGCGAAGAAGGAATGATTCTTTCCGAAATTCAACCACAATGGATTTTGTAATCACCTAAACGCAGTGTCAAGGACAGACCATCCAACATCTCTCGCCATAATCTTTTTGAACTTTGAAAATCTTCCATTCGTTGTGTCGTAAATGCGAATAGCTCGATCTGAAAGAAGCACAGAACGATGATAACAAGTTGCCTGTTAATATCTTGAGTATATAGTATGTTCATACCTTGAGATGCACACAAGAAAATGTCGCCTTTTTTAGAATATGTTCCACAAAAGGCTTTATATCCATAATTAGCCACACGATTTATTGTATTTGGAAGAAATGTTTCACTGAGGCGGTTGCGGTGCGGTTTATCAAAGCCACTGAAACGAGAGATGTTGCCCATCTGCAAATTACACACGAATATAGTTACTGTCATGAAACTAAACTACCACCCCTAATTCGAGGATAATTTATATATAAACAGTAATAAACTAATGAACAACCTCACGTGACGCCAAAAGGCGAGGTAGTGAAAAGTCCCCCTGCTCATTTCCCGCAATGTCATTTCCCATTGTTAACTTCAGGTCATTTTTCTAACGCGCAATTAAATAAGTGTTATTAGACATCAAATAGGAGATAGAGCAACTTACACTTTCCAAGAGAAAATGCAGAGACTAGAGACTTACTTCAAGGACGCTAGTATCCACTGCATAATCTGATCGTGGAGCAACCACTTTTCTGTTTGCCGTTGGAGAATAACTCTCATCTCCTGAATCCTCTTCAGAACTCATTATGTGAATTTGGCCACTGCAAAGTGAAAGTACAATTTATTTAATGTAACCATTCATTATAAGATTTGCATACTTGCGAATCAGGACTTGAAACACTGAGATTAAATCCTCGGTAATTCGTCTAGTGCTCGTCCCGTTGTCCGCACCAGAGTCCGAGTCTGATTCGGATTCCATAGCTTCTTCTTCCGCAACAGCGATATTATTATTGTCGTTGACCACCCCTCTGCTGCTCCTCGTATTGTACTGATGTGCAGCAGCAGTAGCCCTGCTCGTGGAGGTCGAGGAATTGTTCGAAATATTTGAGCCGTCAATTCCCTGTGTCGTCAATCCTCTCGACGCACTGTTGTTTGAGCCCATGAGGGATTCCTCGAGGTGATGATGAGTCGTCGCCGTCGTCGTTTGTTGCCACGCAAAGCCACCTACTTCCTCCTCCCTAATAATTGCAACAAGACACAAGATCAATTATTACTATTATTAATACTACTAGACAGACAAGAGGAAATATGACATCTAGTGAAGGATGACCTTCTAAGGAAACGGTTTCGTCAATCTTACCTTCTGTTGTCACCTAACCTAAGCTGGGTGGGGGTAATTAAATTCACGCCGTAGGTCACGTCGCCATCATCACATTAATTAATTATATGGGAATCAAAATAACCAGAAATTCTCGAAAATAGAGTTTTCCAAATCAACTAGGTTTTCTTAACTGTGCCGAGAAATAAAATACAAAATCACGCTAGAATTTAATTGTGCATTGTGAAGTCACACGGTTCGGTATGGAAATGTATAGTACGAACGAATGGTGAATGTCCTTGTTTTTGTCCCATTCGCAAAAGTCGTATTCGTATTAATTCTGTATGTTCAGCTGTAGCGGAGAGTGATATGCGTAGCGTACTCTCTGCTAAAATCAGCCAGTCCGCTTCCCAATTCCATACAAATCTCAATCAATGAGACACTTGCGTGATCGGAGATTGCATAATTATTGCTAATGCTACTAACTTTTACTAAATGATTGAAACGTCCAACTTGTAATTCAACAGAAAAACATATTTATTGATTTTCTTCTAATCATTCTAAACCAAATTAACAAATCTGATGAATTCGTAGGATATTGCAAAAAAATCTTTCAGTAATATGTATCGATATCCGAGATTTTCATACAACCAGCCTACGATTCTCATTTGGAACATTCACAAGCACTGCATGCTCTTTTCATTTTGGTCAGAAACTCCAAACATATGAATTTGCTTCAAGAATATTCCGCAACGAACTCGATACTTACATTTGTAACTATTCTGACCATCAGCAGTAATTGTCTCAAGCAACTTAACATCAAAAAAGCTTTTAGTTCACACAACTTACTAAGTTCCACCCTAAATGCCAGTTACTAGGTTCAAAGAATTACCAGGAAAGAAATTTCGATGATCATCGTCGTCACAATCATCACCATCTACACACGAAAAGAAAGTTTGACCACGGTTTTTACGAACGAATGTGAAAAAGACGACGAGAAAGTGAGTGAGTTTCACTGTGTGTGACTGATTCAGTCAGCCAGTCAGTCTGAGTCAATTAGTCAACCAGTCCTCTTTCATCAAATTCATCAAGTATATACATAATGACGATAGACATTTTTTTCTTGAATTCAGTCTCCCACTTTATTAATCCTCAGTAATTAAATACTTAATTGAGATGGGGAGGCCTAAAAATTTTGAAAAATCGCAACACTGCTGGATGTCCAGCTGGAGAGGGTCAATCGAGGACCGGGTGGCTTGTCCATACAATCCCAAACATATCATGCCCTATCGACGTCTTCTCCTCCACGTCATCACCTGTGCTCAGGTAGGTACCAATTCATTTCAAATCTTCATAATAATTACAATTCGAGCTTGACTCTTGACTTTGGCGACTTACAAAGAAAAACCCCGAGTTAGCCGCAAAATTTGTGACCTGTCCGTACAATTCACTTCATCGGTGTCACAGGGAGCAGTTGGATGACCACTTGAAAACATGCCAAGAATATCAGATATTTAGCCTCACCAGGGTCATGAGTGGAAAAAGTACGTCTTAATCTTAATTCTTTATGGTAATCATTATAAACTTATGTATTGCTTGTGTGGACATTTTCCAGATGAGAATATTCAAAGTTACAAAGTAGACCCAAGCGTTAACAAGGTCATCTTCAAGGATGAAAAGACGGAAGAAATGTTACAACTTGACGATGAATGGAAACGGGAGATGTTGTAAAGGTTCTGTTTCTCAATAATTTCATTTCATCAAAGTGTATTGCATAGTGCTTAATGTCTTTAATTTATTACTCATTATTAATTAATTATGAAAGTAGAAATAGTTCACTTTAGTTTTGTTATTGACATTTGGAAGCTAAATCAATCTGTTTAGACAAGTCCACACTCTAAATGTATGTATGTATGTCCTGAGAATTAAGAAATATATGTAGGCACAATATTTTATAATAACAATTAATGATTATGTGAAAACCACTAGAACGAGAACAAGCGTATAGATGTAATAGTAAAACATTGGTATGCATGCACAACTCTGTAAAAAAAGCGTACAAAATTATAAAAAGCGGTTGGGACATTTTAAGATCTGGTAAAACTTATAAGGACAATATACGATGTGGCCAATCGTTTCGTTGAAGTTTGCGAGAAAGTTATTTCGAAGAGTTCATGCTCATTTCCGCTTTCATTTTAGCCATCATTTCTTGCATTTTTCTCAATTCTGATTCCTTCTCTTCCAACATTCGTTTCATTTTCTCCTTGTCCGTAGCAGTATCTCCTGCATGATGGTCCAAAATTAGTTCAGCCTGTCCGGCACGAGCCTCTTCGGCCAATTTCTGAAGACGATAGTTCTCATAATGTACTTCTTGTGTGACCTAATAGTAGTAGTTTAAGATTTTATTTATTAATATTTTAACTAAATATTAGTAAATAGTAAATAAATCCGAATAACTCACCTCTTGCAAGTCTTGCATGTGGGTTATCAGCATGTTCCGTAACTTAATAAAATCAGAATGCTCCGGATTTTCAATTTCAACCACTCCCCAAGGATACACGCGACCACGAAGTTTCTTCCCCTTCGCTTCAATGCTGGTCGTAGAACCAGCTACCTACATAGTACAAATATATCGTACTTAATTTTAATGGTACTGTTTTGACAGTAGTTTAAAACTATAATAAAATCACTCACAGCGAAAGGCATAGCTTCCTTCATTTGCCGAACCTCTTCCTTGTATTCCTGGTCTGTTTCAAGTGTACAAGTCAAGAAACCAAGTTTTATTTTTTGTAATGTTAGCAAGTTAATAATAATTCTTAACTTTCTAATTATTAGCCCAATTTGAAAGGGTAGTAAATAAAATATACACCTACCTTCATCTTCATCTACCTCCGGCAAAGTATATACCTTGATCCCTTCATCGTTAATCTCACGTCGAATTTGTTTCTTCAAATCATCGACTTCCTTCTTTGTCAACGCATCTATGTAGATGTAATATTATAAACCCGTATACTGGGTGGTAAGGGTTATGCATAATCAATTCATTATCCTACCTGCTCGCGATATGACTGGCACGATATTTACCTTCTGGTGCAATTGTCTCATAAACTGGATGTCCAGAGGCTTAAGGCTGAAAAAACGTTGTTCCATCAATTTTTCTCAAATAGGGTGTTATTATTGGTGGTCGTTGGGCTAAGGAAATACTAGACATAGATTAGATACTCACCCACGGCCAAAGGGTGAAATGAAATAAAAACAACAGTGGACACGACTGTCTGTAATGTTTCGCCGATTTAAGCCTCTTTCTCCGTGAAAAAATTTCTCAAATTGGTCGTCGATATACTTGACAATTGACTGAAAACTATAATACATTGATATTACTTTAAATTACGTTACTGCGGACACGTTTGAACAAAACATGCGAACCTGTCCTCATTGTTGATGGCGTCGCCAAATCCTGGAGTGTCGACAACGGTCAGTCGCAGTTTAACACCTCGTTCTTCAATCTCTACTGTTTTGGCACTGATTTTCACATTCTTGTGAAACTTTTCTATTAGAAATGATATCAAAGTTATGCTCTAAATAATTAGTACAGATAGTGTAGGTACATGCAGTGAGTAACTTATTGCTCAATTTTAACAGCAAATAATACAGGAAAATGAAAATAGTTTCAAACAATTATGATTGTTTTAGGGCACGACACACGAAACTATCAACCCATTATGCAGTAATTGTCCAAACCATAGCAAATCCAATAAGTACATGAAGGAGCAAGAAAGTCATTCTCTACGCAGCCTTGAATGGAAATCATCCGAATTATTGCTTCCATTAGTGTGAGCATTAAAATAAGCAAAAATCTAAAAGTAGTACAAATTTAGGCAAAAAAATAAATATTAAATAAATAAGTAAAAAAAACAAGATAATGCAGCGTTTCGAATTTATGAATAAATGGAACTAGATAAAAACCTAAAAGTTGTTGCGAAGTGAGTTCAGGACCATTTCTTGCCCCTGTCGTTGGTCTATAACCGTTGCCCACCACGCCCACTGTCCCGTTGGCGTGGTGTCCATTACCTTTGGCATCTGGAATTTTTCTGTCGGAATAAAGGTCTGCGAGAAATAAACTGTTGACCAACGTCGATTTTCCCAGCCCTGACTCACCTATGCACAAAACAATGCCAAATGTGAGTGTCAAATACATAGCTTAAAACCTAAAAAAAGACCTACCGACAACCATCAGGGTAAACTCGAAGCCCTTTTTGACCGATTTTCTGTGAACTTGGTTGGGTAAGTTTGCGAAACCGACATAACTTTGTGGATGCTCATTCTGCGCAAATAAGTAAACAAATAAGTTGATGATTTTAATGCAAAATGTAAACAAATAGTTCAGATTCTGAACTTCAGAACTTGAATACTACATAATCTGGTTCGAAAGACTGAGGTGACCTTGACTTACCCCGGATTTGACTTCACTGGACATCTTTAATAAGTCGTTGAAATAAAGTATGAGCTATGGGCTGACACTATAAAATAAGGACGGTAAACTGAAATTGAGGAAGGATGATGATAAAAAGAACGGAAATTGAGGAAAGAACCAGAGTCTGCTTTCTGTTTAGAAAACTCAACTGCCGACAACCGCTGAAAAATGTGTATTTTTTGCGGCTGGCTTGAACTATATATGAGCGATCTGGTATAAGGATGTGCTTGCTATAGATAATAGCATTGCTATTCCATGGGCTTGAACCAGTCATCTCGTTGGAGGACTACTGATCATGTTATCACTTTTCTCACTACATCTAGTAGCTCATAAATAAATATTATAGTATACATGACTTATAACAATATGCTAAACTATTACCGAAGTATGCTACACATTTTATCTCTCATACAATAGGCATGTGACCCTTCCCATGATGTCGCAATCGAAAAACCTACTCCAAGCAACTTCGCGGGGCCTTTTAAGACGGCATTATTACATAAAAGCCAGACTCTAATGAACGATTGGCATATAATTTTTAGCCCGAACTAGGGCTTATGTAATCGACCTGTCCGTCTGTCTGTCTTTCCATAACTCTCGAAGGAGTAGGCTGATTTTTACCAAATTTGATACAGACATGCATCTGGGCAACGACCGAGTTCGAAGATGGGTATTAGTGTTTCTCACGGGTCGGGTTCTTGCAAATCCGAAACCCGAACCCGATACTACTGATCCGAAACTTGAGGGCAACCCGAACCCGAAGAACCCGAAACCCGTTTGCAAGGATCCGAACCCGAACTGGCGGATCAAATCCGAAACCCGAACCCGAAAAACCGAATATATTTTAACTTTAAGGGGTGACTGGCTTTTTAGCCTAAAGGTTTCAAACAAACAATACTTCTGTAAATATGACCGAGGAATTATAATTAAGCACATTTCTGCATAAGTACATAACGCATTTTAAAATGTGAATCTTAATTCCTCGACCATAATAATGCAATCTCAAAAAATCGACCATGGATAATGGCTTTCCGTGACATTCAGAAATTTTTAAATCAGTTGAAAACTGAAAATGATTTTCAGTTTCAAGTTTCTGTGGTAAATAATGAACAACGATACAACACGACGGTTGCCAATCGACTGATAATTTATTGTCAACATGCAACATGATTATATAGACATCATGAGTAATAGAATATGTATTAATAAATGTATGAAACTGTTCCTCACGACACTTTCCAAAGTGTCTGACCTAAATAGAAAGAAAGTGCTAAATCCTTCTCCCAAGAATGGGAATGCTAAGAATGAGCTGACACTGTACAAAGGTCCAATAAAGTCGGTGCCATAAACATCCGTTATGAAAGGCTACTTGAAATAGCTAACCTAAATACCTAATATTAGATCATTTTATCCAACAGTTTCCAATATTAAAGTAAGCTCAAGCTAACTATTTAGCAAATTTTTGATAAAAAAATATATTTTATTTCAATATTCAAACCATAACACTAATTGAAGACACTTGTGAAAAGAAGTTACGACAATTAAAAATTTGAATTATTTAATGAATTACTGCAGCATAACCGTCGTAGCAAGTGTGGTTAACACTTTATTTTCTTTTTTAATGTTTTCGTATTCGTTGTGGCAAAAAGTTCTTGTTGGTTCGGGTTTCGGGTTCTTAGTCGGAACCCGAACCCGACCCCGAAATTTTGGGCTCACATTCTCCCAAATTTCACTTCGATATGACGATTTTGAAAAATCAGTATGGGTCACCCCATAGGGTCCATCAAGATTAAAATTTTTCCAACCTAAATTCAGTTTTTTCTGTTACAATCCACTAGCAACCTTTGTTCCAAATTTCAACTACGTACTACAAATTTTAGAAATCCGTCGGGTCACCCTATCGGGTCTCCCAGGTTTAAAATTTCTGAAACTCCATTCCAATTTAAACGCTTTGAGGTCAGTCGCAATCTTCATACTAAAATTACTGAAAATTATTACTATAGATATTTTTCAAGCTACAAATATTTTACTTGCACTTAAATAATTTAACCTGCTCTAAAGGTTCTTGGTAGTTAAGGGCAACGCATTTGGATAGTAATGACCCCCACCGGCCAACTACTTGGCCGATCATGCCCATCTCCGAACTCATCCTTACTTTTGACCCGAAGATGAAGTGTGCAAAATTTCAAGTCGATAGCTTTTGTTTAAAGAGAGTTATCGTGCGCACAGACGGACGCACAGACGGACGGACAGACAGACATCTTGGTAAATCTATAAGGCCATCTTAAAAGGCCTAAAACTGACCTCAGATTCGAAATCAGCGACCAAAAAACTATAAGAATCGATATTTTCCCACCCCCAACAACGTTGATATAATTAATTGAATTATTTGTAACAATTGTAAACACGGAACATGTGGACATGTAGATATTGGCATATCAGCCATAAGCCACCCCTCCTTTTGAAAACCCCCACTGACCTTTTTGAAAGTTTTAATGCACAAAATGCAAGATCATACTGCCCTACGACTAAAAAATAGGCTGATTTGACCAGTTTCAGGTCAGGTCATTGCAACTTGTCCTTGCAAAAGTGACCCCAGTTTGTGGTTAGGGGGACAAAGTTGCCTAGTACAAGTTCCGTTCCGCAATTTTTTTAGTCTGCGGGAGGCGCTCGTGGGGGACGCGTGTCCCTGGGTGAGCTCCCCATTGCAGCTGCGCCCCTGGACCGCCCTGCCTCTCTGGGGAGTCGGGTCCACCCGTGGTTTGTCCCACAGCCCCGACTCTCTTCCCGTTGGAGGGGTGGTCCGGGGGAGCAACGCTGCAAGGGGAGAGCCTTACGGGAAGGTCCCCCCTCCAATGCTCCTCCCACCCAGCAGACTCACCGGGTAGGGAGCCGGCGGGGCTTGCCAAAAGTGCGGGTGGCGCTTGGCAAGTGAGAGGGGCTCTCTACCTCCAACCGTTGGGTGACCGGGCTCTTTAGCTTGCACTCCCCTTGGGGCCGGCCGGGTTCCCGAGTTCGAAGCCTTAATGAGGGCCGATTTACGGGTGCGCTCCCACCTCGTAAGGCGAGGGTCAGACGGGCCCCCTAGGGGAACGCGGTTGCAGAGGCGGTGACGTGGGCATGGCTTTCCCGGTCTGTGGAGGTAGACCCCCCTTGCGCCTCAGGGCGCAAGTGGGGGCCCGCCCGCGTGGAGCACGAGGGAGCGACGTCCTCGTCGTGTGCTCTGGAAACGCCCTTCTTAGGGCGGCTAACAGCTCCCCCCTTATAAATGCATGGCATGGAACATGCAACCGCATGCAACCTTTGATCGCATGCAACCTTTGTCACCATGTCATAATTTCGCCATTTCTCGTCCGATTTGCATGAAATTTGGCACAATGCTTCTTATTCGTGTTGTTGACATGTCGCAAGGTCCCACCCGCCGCCACCACCTTGTTTTCGCCAATAATTTCGCCATTTCTCGTCTGATTTCCATCAAACTTCGACAGAGACTTATTTTTGGTGTTATCAACATGTCGCAAGGTCACACTCATCGCCACCACCTTGTTTTCGCCAAATTTCGTCGCCATGCCATAACTTCGCCATTTCTCGTCCGATTTGCATCAAACTTCGACAGAGACTTATTTTTGGTGTTATCAACATGTCGCAAGGTCACACTCATCGCCCACTTCGCCAAATTTCGTCGCCATGCCATAATTTCGCCATTTTTCGTCCGATTTCCATCAACTTTAGACAGAGACTTCTTTTTGGTGGTATCGACATGTCGCAAGGTCACACTCACCGCCACCCCCTTGTTTTCGCCAAATTTCGTCGCCATTCCATAATTTCGCCATTTCTCGTCCGATTTCCATCAAACTTCGACAGAGACTTCTTTTTGGTGGTATCGACATGTCGCAAGGTCACACTCACCGCCACCCCCTTGTTTTCGCCAAATTTCGTCGCCATGCCATAGTTTCGCCATTTCTCGTCCGATTTCCATTAAACTTCGACAGACTTCTTTTTGGTGGTAACATTCGTTGTAACGGTTTATTTATTCTACGTCTATTTTCCAAACCAGTAGGGGTGACCCTATCATAGCTCACAATAAATTGGTCCATGTTCCATGGTCCATCGATGGACCAATTTTTTTATAGTACATGGTCCATGGTCGAATCATGCAACATTTTGATTGCGAGATATGGACCCTACTGGGTCCTTAAAAATAATAATTCAGTCGTTATGACTTGCAATTTCACTTTGGTACAATATGACAAATGTCTCTAATATCAGCTTCCAAGTTTTAAAATAGCAACTGTTAGAAAGCGGTATGGGTTACTCGCTAGGGCTACTCTGATTCCACTTTGCTTGCTTTTAACTTCATATACTTCGATAAGAAACCATTAAGTATCACCATACCGAATTTCATCTTTTTAAGACAATTTCTAAAAATCGGTATGGTCCACCCCTTTCTACTACAATTCTGAAATTTTGGTGCATAACACCCCACCCACCACTTGACCGATTTCGCCCATCTTCGAACTTAACTCCTCATTTGACCCATACTATTAATATGAAAATTCTTCAAAAGGTACCCGAAATAGTCCGAAATACATGAAGGCATGCATTATGCATAACTTACATTTTATTGGCTCAATGGAAAAGTCCACATTTATTTTCTTAAATATCGTAATATTTAACAACAACAAATTAGAATATAAATGTTCCAAATTGATACTATATAGCAAAGCAGACCAACTGCAATTGGATACATAATTAAAAGTCTTTGCAATTAAAGTACAGACTGGTCATGTGGCCGTTATAAATTACGTAACATGCCCTGATTGGAAGCGGAGAGAACATTACAGTGTATTATTATTATCATGACTTACTTAATGACTGAAGATTGATTGATACTATTTTTTTAGTTATAAATAGTGAGAAGGAGTTTTGGGAGTCTGACACAAAAACACTACAGAAGAAATATGTTCTATTATTTTTATTTTTATCTGACTACTTAATCTTAATTGGGTTCCCATCTTATATAAATTATATAACATAATCTATCACCGATGCGGGGGTTGATTATTGGTGGGAGCCATCATCTCTGTCATTCTTCTTTTAAGCACTGCATTCTCAATTGCATTCAGATGGTTGTTAAGAATTTCTTCATTGTCGCCGAAAGTAGATGAGATCCAGGCCCTGATGAGTTCCACGTATTTCATCGCATCACACGTGGTAACCGGCCCTCCGACGACAGGCATTGCGGGGAGATGAGAGTTAAAGCTAAGAATTGGCTGAGAAGGAACATGCTGTTGTTGAAGGGGATTCGAGGATGACGAGTTGGGAGGTGTGGAATCAGGAGGATACAACCCTGCCATGAGTGAGGGAAGATCAAAGTCAGGAACGAGATCGTGATGATTGTTATTATTGACCGACGGGCTGTTGAGATGGCTGAGCTGCTGGTGATGATGGTGGTGGGTGAGGTGGGTGTGGTTATTTATGGCTGTGAGTTGACCCAATGTATGTTGTTCTAAACTCAGGGATGCCGCTGCTGCGAGTTGAAGTCGATCCTGACGATCTAACTCACTCATCAGAGAGTGTCGCCTCTTGAACACATCGATCCACCGAGTGGTTTGCGCTTTGAATTCCGGTTGCTTGTAGTACTCTGCATACTCCACGGCCTGGAAGTATATATAAGTAGTTGTTGATGAATTGCATGAATAATAACGCAATATTTATTTCGGGATACTATATCAATATAGAATAGGATTACAAATAAGTAGGATTATCTGACCTTATCCTGAAGCATTTTAGTGTCCAATGTGACTGCCGACTCTCGGCATTGGCGGACCCAATTGAAGAGTGCAGTGTCGATGATAGAGTACTTTTTCCAGTGGAGATTTTTCCGTTTTTTCTTGGGGCACAGATTCCTATCCAAAATGTCGCCCTTATTGCTCCAGATAGTTTGGACCGTGGATTGCGAAATTCCGAGGGAACGGGCCACATCACTCTACATACTGATCACTATAAATACCTTTCCTTAAGTAATTATACGTCAATAAAAATACCTGAGTCTGTCCGTTTTCAATCAGTCTGATAATCTCTACTTTGTCGGAGAGCTTGATGGTCCGACGATGTCGCTTGTTTGGGTTTTCTTCAATCTCAACAATCACTTTATCTGAAAACAATAATAAAATAAAAACGTGACAGTGAATGTACAATTTATATGTCTCGCTCTCGTACTATTTCGTTTTTTTCTCCCAGCTCCAGAAATCCTCTTCCTCGGAGTGATTCCATCCGTTTCACCTTGTTGTTGTAGTGCCATCAACTCTTCTGCAACAATAGGTTATATGAAATTGATTTGTTGTTAATTTGTGAGTTATTTTACAACTACAGTCAATGCATAGGCATTGCATAGTGCAATAAATAATGAGTTACCCTGGACCGTAATTTCAATTTTGTTTTTTTGTGACCTCCAGAGACGGATTGACTTTGGATCAACTTTATAAAATCTTGACGTAGCATTTACACTGTGCGTCTCGAGGAACTTTAGAACTTCTAACTTTTGTTGGAGGGTGAACGCCTCTCGCTTCTTCCTTTCACCAGAGGAGTCTATAAATTTGGGGACTGGATGAGAAGAGGGACACAACCTGGTCATGGTCATTGGTATGTGAACTGCAGTGGGTGATGCGAAGGGGTGTAATGTCGTTGATCCATAAAGGCTTGTTGATAAGGTAGAACCGCCATTGTGGTGATGATGAAAGGAGGATGACGACGGGTTGTCTTCCTCTTCAAATTCGGAGACTGATTCTTCAGATTCGTCGTCATCGTCTTCGTCTTCCTCCTCCTCGGAGGACGACGAGAGAATGTTCTCAATTACAGGTTTGAATAACATTCCAGGAGCATGAACGCCATGCAAATTATCGTCGTCCTCTTCTGCTGCCTCCTCATCTCCATCTGCTCGAGGGGAATCCTCCTCAACCTCTTGCTTAATCTGGGGCACTTCTTCTCCTGTCGGGTCCTGGTCGTCACCCAGATCAAGGTCGTCAAGACTGTGCGGATCTGCTACTTCAGTGGGTTGAGATGAATCCATAGTTTCAAATGCAGGAAACAAGTACACCTATGAAACGCCACATAAAAAATACGCCATAATTTTGAAGTACGGAACCTGAGGTAGTCAGCATAGACTAATACGAATTAATCATACTTTTTTAACACTCACCTTGCCTGAATCACGATTAGTTCATATATTTGATATATAAATTAGAAGTAATCAATCAGTGTCTAAATTCATTCACCAATTGGTCAAACTTTTGTCAATTAACATCGTTGGTTTATGAAGTCAGTCAGATGACGATTTTTTGTTTACAGTGCAATGTTTACTACATTGATTCGATGAAAAGAACCGAAAAGAACTGGTTCGTCCACAGGTCTGACCAAGTTTTGAGTGAGCTGAGGACGAGAAGTGGGTGGTGGGTGTGATGGTGTGTTCAGATCGCTCCCACTTTCGCGTTGGTGGTCCTCCCTCCCAAGGTTTTATGACTTTGTGTCCTCTGGGGAGCTGTGCAAATGTACACACGTCCACGGACCGCCTTGCAGATTGGGCTGGGGCAACACATGTTCACTTTCTCTTCGCATATGATCCGCACAACCCTCGTGTCAGTCCACTGTCAACAAGTCAACATAGTCCAAGTGTTGAACTCAACTTACAGTAGACACAGTGTGTTTCAGTTCAGCACTTGGACAAAGTCAACATTATCACTATCGTCAACTAATTTTGTGTTCCAATCCAAAGTTCTCTCGGAAATTGAACAATTGTTAGGACATGTAAATACTTGTACGGTCTAGTCGTACGCGAGTAACACCACCATTGCAAATTTGGGATATCGCCGTAAAGTCGATCATGATTCACAGTCTTTTTATCATCAATGTCTCTGGGTAAATACTAAATAGTGCAATAATTTTAATAAGCAATTAGTTTAATTCGGTATTGATTTATTTCTTTTGACCGCAGAGACGTGTTTATGGAGAAGCATTGGAAGTCAGTAATCTCCCGTTCCGTATGCGACTACTTTTTCGAGGAACAGAAGAAAATTTCCTCGCCTGTCGACATGCCACCCGTCGTAGCTACGCCACACCACTACCTCATCACCATTTTCAGGAACAATCTCTACTTTGTCGCAACCACTACAACGGAAGGTATCGTCGTCGCCGGCATAGGATAAAATTTATCAGATAAATATTAAACTGCGTAAAGGTGTATGTAGATATATTTTTAAACAAATGTAATTCTGATTACAATCATAGTCGCACCCCTCTTTGTGCTGGAATTTCTACACCGCGTCGTGGATATTTTTGAAGATTACTTCGGCGAATGCAACGAGACTATAATTAAAGAGCACTACGTTATCATTTATGAGGTATATATGCAAATACATAATACATTACGACATTTTGAACGCTAAAAGCAAAACTAGGACTTGGTAACTGATTGTTTGTTTTATTCTCTGTGTAGCTGTTGGACGAAATGTTGGATAACGGGTTTCCTCTTGCTACGGAATCTAACATATTGAAGGAACTAATCAAACCTCCAAACATTCTTCGAACAATTGCCAACACGGTCACTGGGAAAACAAAGTGATTTAGTTTTTCTGCACATATAATGTAGCTTTTTAGCTGATTGTGTGAAACAGGTCATCTATCATTGTTTTTGTGTGCCGTCTTTCAGTGTGAGCTGCACTCTGCCTTCTGGACAATTATCAAACATTCCATGGAGAAGATCCGGAGTCAAATATGCTAATAACGAGGCATATTTCGATGTAATTGAAGAAGTGGATGCTATCATTGATAAGAATGGATCCACTGTATTTGCAGAAATTCAAGGATATGTGAGTCACTGTTTAAGCACACACAGTAAAAATCATACCAAATGTAAAATATAAGTCTCTCTAAATTGCGGATGTTTGTACTTATAAATATTTTCAGATCGATTGTTGTATTAAGCTAAGTGGGATGCCAGATCTAACCATGACTTTTGTTAACCCGAGATCGCTAGACGATCTAAGCTTGCACCCTTGCATTCGATTCAAACGTTGGGAGGTTGGTAGCTGACATTGTGATTTATTCGATACGCTAAAATATTCATAACTAATTATTCGTTAATAGAATGAAAAGGTGTTGTCATTTATCCCCCCTGATGGAAACTTTCGTCTAATTTCCTACCATATCAGTTCGCAGAGCATCGTGGCCATTCCAATCTACCTCAAACACTATATTTCATTCCGAGAGGGGAAGCTGGACATCACAGTTGGGCCGAAGCAGACCATGGGGCGACAGGTACGTACAATTATTTTATTCACTTATATATATGCATATCAGAGTTTATGACGAGTGAATTTGCGATTTACATGATTATTAAACATGCATACATACGTACTAGATGATTTTGTAAAGTATTGGTATATTTAGTTTAAATGGAGTAGTTAATAAAGCTAACTTTAAACGCGCATTTTGTTAGTGTGTCAGTGAACATTATAATTGATAGTGTGACTTCTTAAAGGTGGAGGAAGTGTCCCTGGAAATCCCCATGCCAAAATCTGTAGCTAATTGCAACTTGACGGCTTCCCAAGGACGGTATACCTTTGACCCTGTCAGTAAAGTGTTTCACTGGGACGTGGGAAAAATTGACATTACGAAGTTGCCTAACATCAAGGGATCGGTAATTAATAAATCAATAGTTAGACTACTAATAATCTAACATGATAAACTAATTGCGTTCATTACTACCTCTATAGATAAGTTTAGGGGCCGGGGCTGGTCCGGTGGAAGCAAATCCAACTGTTACGGTCCATTTTGTGATCAATCAGATGGCCGTGTCGGGTTTGAAGGTGAGCCGACTGGACATGTACGGGGAAAAGTATCGACCTTTCAAAGGGGTCAAATATATCACAAAGGCGGGCAAATATCAATTCCGCCTGTGATAAGCCTGTTGCTGTTTTTGCTATGCTGATCAAAATACTACTTACCCATCCGGTCCTCGAAAAACATGACCTGCATTCATACTATATGATATTTATTATTTATCTTATTTCTTATGGAATGTGTGTAACGGGTTTCTGGTGCATAAAATTAAAGGGTCTCCCGTAGACCATCACTATTCGATTATTGTACATACATTTGTGTAAAAGTTTTGTTATGCTGTGTATTGTATATCAAGCCGGATGACCAGATGACACACTTTTTATAATTTATCGCAGTGACATACAGTTTGGTTTGATTTTGCTCAAGTTCTAAGGAACAATAATTGAACTTCTGTAAAATGTTTATCCAAACATGATTTACATGGCTCATTATAAAAAATGTATTTCCCCACAACTTTAAGTTTTGCGACAATTAAAGTACTTATTCGTGTAAAAAGGCCTTAGAGTTTTAAAGCAAGTCAAGATTTCATATGCTGATTTTTAAGCACATTGTACGCAAGATGGCTCGACATTCTCACTTTCACTAAAGTGCTTTCACTCAGACTGCTTCCTTCCCATGCACTTTCTCAACTTCCCAGGCGAGTTCTGAAACTGCGATAAGGATAGAAACCTGGCTGTAATTCAAGCTGACGATACAATTGTGATTATCTCAGAGCCTAATTCTGTAATTGGCATTTTCAAGATGTGGGAGAAGTGTTTATTATGGGGAAGTCACTAAATAAGTGGAAATTATTTTTGCATGGGCTTCCAGCCAACTATCTCTTTGAAACTGTTCTCGTGTGTGGACCATTCTAACAAAGTCAGACTTGAAATCAAGTAATTATTGGCAACATGACACATCACGCTACGTTATGTTTAAATACTAGTTCCGAAAGTTGACAATTTAATGGCACGTTAAAAATGAGGGAGGGAAACGGCGTGACTCATTGGAGGACAGTCTGACAGGTTATTTGACAGCGGAAAACTTGTGAGACAACAATAATTATCTCATTTCAGCGACATGCAACGCTGTGAATAATGCACTTGGTCTTGGTAAAAGTGACTTTGTTGTTCCCTGGAGAAACTGTGTTGCCGTCAACCTGCAGTTGTCACAGAGTTGGTCGATGTCCACTAATAAAGCCAACCAATCAATTCTTCCCAATTCGTTACACTCGTGTGTTTACTTCAACGGCTCAAAGTTGTTTCCCAGAAGAATTACCCGTCCGTGGAGGAGAATCTATTGGATTTATGAGACAGAGATCTGATTGTAATGAGACCAAATTAATTGGGATTTTCTGGCGATGCTGCAGCGAGGGGCCACTTTGGAAATGTGTAGCATGAAGTAGCCCCAAGCCACCCGACAACAGTGTCGCCGTAACGGAGTACATACACAGTGGATCATATTAGTTAATTGATTTCTGCTGTTTTCGCTGAAGCGTCGTGGTTGCTGCAAGAACCGACTTGCTGACGACTACAGGATTTATGCCTTGGAACCGATTTAGTGGAGCTGGATCACTGCAAACGAGTCAAATCCCCCACAACCACAAGTCCACCCACCATGTCGACAGGGCTGGGACGCGCGGGCATGCACACGTTCCGGGAGATTATAGCTGGGATATTGTCATCATGTGTGCACAAGCCCACCGGATCACACTCAATGCAACCATTTAATTTCAGGTTTCAGTGCGAAAAGCATAACAAATATGGATGTGCCTTCCCCTTATAAGTACAAGTTACCTCACGGCGATGGTTTCAGCTATGTATTCCAAGTATTTCCTCATATTTTCTGGGTTGCAACTCAGTTGCAAGTTTACGTACAGTAAAATTATTATGCAACAATAATGCATTTGGACTCATATCACGATTCGCCCAGAAACCCGGAAATCACCAGCCTGAGGCTCCTACTACGGCGAACAGACCCTTGAAGGCTCACCATCAATAGGACGCGGAAGTCTCTTTGCTGTTAGAGTGCATATTCTGCAGAGATCTGCTTTCCCATCCCCGAATGCATACGTACGTACTCTTCTTGACTCTTGAGTTACACACTGTGTCGCATTTCTCCAGTTTTAAATTGTTGGGCACATCCATCCTGATTCAATGTGAAGTTTTTTGGTCTCTCCCACTTTTAAATCTGTTTCTCGACTCTTTTCGTTTTAATGATATTACCAAATGTCTGAAAAGTGCTATTGAGGGAGAATTATTGGAACTGGAACTGGAACCAGTACGAGACTGGGAGCAGCAGCAGAAGAGTGAATTTCAAGTGGGTCAGTTAAGTGTGCATGATTGCGTCGCAGAACCATCAACCAAATGGGCAAAATTCTCTACATAGTGTGTCTTCAAAGTTGAAATATTTCCCCAAATTTTTCACGAGCTTTCGACCCCAGAAAAGAATAGAAATCGTGAGATTAGTGGAAAGACAGATAATTAACTTTTAGTTCCTTTTCTATCAAATGTCATTAATAATCGGACGAAAACTCTTTTTGCATAAGAATGGTCAAAATGTAATGAAATTGTACCCAACGTCTCAAATACCGAGGGATCACTTCTTTTCATGGTGTGTTCGGCATTTGCATGCTGAGTTATTAGCGAAGTGACCGAAAGCTGGGGAAATTGAGACGACGACTTTCTCCTTCGCGTGGGCGAACAATGCTTGCAGCCAAGTATCGAAATCTGTTGACACACGGCTAATCGTCATCCTCCTCATTCTGCACAGTTGCCCACCTACGAATAAATATGTAAGTACTTGATCCGTCTCTCTCTTGTGGTCTGCCGAGACTTTAATCAATTATTCATGGCGGATGACGTAAGAGGAGCGTCGCCTCGTCCTGGCCTCCTCCAAAATACCAATTTCACACAAGACCAATTAAACGCTTTAGCTCTCCCTTGAGACGCCAAGGTAAGAAAATCACATGCTCTCCGAGCCTCCTCTTCATCCTTACTGCAACGACATTGTGAGCGAGGGTGAGCCAAGCACTTTGTCGCAACATGCCTGCCTCTCATAGGGCCAAAGATGAGAGCCCAGAGTGACCCAGGCGCGTATGTGGACCACCCTCAAAGTAATTCTTGTCTGGGTGACTTGGGTGTAAAGTTAAGTGCGAGTATTAAATATGAGCCCATTAGATCTCGTCGTCCAGAATGGTTATTACATGGGAAGTAGTTACGAGCAATTTCGAAATGCAAAAATCAACGACCCAAACTTCGAATGCTTGGACCAGGCTAAGATTGCGAATCTGAGATTGCAAAGATCTCTCAGGGAGGATTGGTCCCCGTGTGGCCTGGATTAATGGGATTTACTTACTACATTATGACTACGACGAGAGATTTAAGCCACTGGGTTATCTAATTATATCCCAATCTGAGACCAACCCTGGCTTCGTCGTCCAGCTCCCAAAAGTAACCATTCAGCCTCGTAATCATCGTACATACATCGGATTACAAAGTGTCCCTTGGTATTGGTCGTCCCATCCTCCACACATGCATTTAAAGAGGTCAAAGACGAGGTCAACATTCTGAGGACCCAGTAGCAGTGTGGGCTGTGGTGTGAGCCACAATTCAGGGCCCCATTCGAGACTGTGCAGCACAAAACTTGGATGACCCACTGGGACAAGTTTCAGAATTGAACATGCAATTATCCGGATATAGTTGATCCTAATCTTCTCAATGTGTCACGGGAGGCACACTTAACTTGACCAGATATCCTCGTGACAAGCTTACTTATCTGGACTAGTACCTCTTCCGTAATATAACTTTACTTGAAATCTAGACTTTGGCTACTTATGCCCTAAAAATGACTTTGATAATGCTTTCAGCGCTTGACTTGACTTTAGGATGATGAAATCTTAACTTTAACTCGCAATTAAAATAACAAAGCTTGAAAATACTTATTTTTGGAAATTAAAATGGAGCTTTATTTCAATCAAACTATTTGGCATGAACAGCAAAAATCACACTTCCTCTCTCTTCGAGTTCAACTTACAGACTACTTATTTTTTACAAATGGCTACTTTTTATATTAAACTTATTACCAGGCCAACGCGCCCCTTTTCTTCTCATTCACCCTCTTACACTTAATCAATATCCGAATCCCTCAACAACCCACTCAATACATAGGTAATGTACATACATAGGTAATGTACATACGTACATAGGTAATGTACATACATAGGTAATGTACGTACATAGGTAATGTGTACCGCCATAAGGATCATTTTCTACATAAGGATCATGAAAACTCCATAAGGATCATGAAAACTCCATAAGGATCATGCATTCTACAATTATAATTACCATTCAAAAAACTTATCGATGACTTATTTCGTAATTCCTAAATGCTAAATGGTGGACAAATTTCTTAAAATAATATTGCTTAAAACTATTGCTTTATAAATTATTTTACACTCCCTACGGTCCCACGACACAATGCGAAAAATTGCTTCTCAAAACTTTTCTTGTCAATACAAGTTTAAGTTCCTCGAAACGAAGTGAAGTCCACTTTCTGGAGAAAGCACAAACCTTGTCATCCTGTCATGTTACCGCACCTGAGCCATGCTATTCTCGAATCGCTGCATTATTCACCTCCCTGCCTATAGTCGTGCGTGTTAAAAGCAGGCGAATTAAAATTTTCCCTGTTGTATCTTCAGTAGGCAAAAAGTTCCGTGCTGGAAAGAAACTATGCTTTTTGTGTAGTAACAGCAGTTTTGAGTAGGATAATAATTATTGGCATTTTCAAAGAAAACAAAATTTAACAAGAACGAGCCAATGAATGTTTGCCAAAGTTTTACTTCCTTTTTGTAGCTTTGAATCCTGTCATATAATTTCAGGGAATTAGTTGACCGCATACTTTGCTCGATCTACTGCCCGTTCAAGAGGTCTTCCCAGAATAGCGCGATCCTCCTGTCCACCTTCAGCAAATACTGACTCGCGAATCCCAGAATAAACGTAGGGAGCTCCTTTATTTAGTTCATTTGGTAACCAAAAGACAGCTCTTTTGTCAGTTGACGAGCCAACTAGATAACAGCATAGCGAGCACTGTGATATTATTGCAGTGCTGCCACGACATAAATTTTAGGGATACGATATTTGTGGTGCCGTCTGATACAGGGGACTGAGAAATTGCGAGTCTTGGGGACGGAATTGGTGTAGATTATCGTGATTTGATGGATGAATTTGAAAGTTGTGAGAGTGCGGAACCCTCATTAATCCCTCGAACCTAATGGCCGGGATTATTCAGCCACGAAAACCTTCATTGTGCGGCTGATGTATGACTCCCATCTCATCTCACTTGAGCAGAGCGTAATAAGAGTACACGCATGCATCCGTATGGACGCGGGGGCATTATGCTCGTGCTTATCTGAGAGGAAGTGGAGTAAGCCGAGTGTCGAGTATTGATTGCGATTGTGAGTAATTGCTTTCCTAATCTGAATTTAAAATGTGCTATGGGAGAGC